TATCAATCTTGATGAAAAGACTTGAGGCAATCTTTCATCTGACCTAACAGAAAAATGTCATCTCTTTCACAAACTGTTTGCTGCGTCCTGAAATCTGTGAGGTGCTGCTGTTGTCGCCTGTACATCAGTGTGTTCCTGCAGGAGTTATTGAAAAACAGAGATTTGAAAATAATCCTCCGATGGTTTTGATTTAAAGTAGACATGGTTTGTCTTTGATTGACACATATCCACTAGCTTTTTGGACCGCGATTAAGCGTTATAAAAATATCATGCTGCTTCTGAGTGAATATCATATGTTTCCCATAAGAAATAGTCCACACGCTATCTTTCAAGCTCTAACAGCATTTACCTCCTGGCAAAGATCAGACCGAGGCGCTGAGGCACAGATCAGTGGAGGAGTCTCTGGAGAAAACTTTGTCTTCATCTCGCTCTCAATAATAATAACATGCATGCTTACAGACTTGAATATGCAGAGATACCACACAATCATTTTCCTCCTTTTTCCACCCATTTTTAATCTGTATTTCTTCTTCCTCCTATATATTTATATTGTGTTTATGCATATACAATGCCAGTATAAGTTTCTCTGTCTATTTGCACTGCATAATCCATGCGAAAGGAGTCAGAGACGTTGCAATTACTCTCATTATTACCATAAAAACAATCTCTATGTGTACTCACACACCAGAAGGACCCATCTTATTGAATCTACTTCCTTTTACAGATGATGGATTCACCTCCTGTCATGGTGGATGTTGTCTGATTTCCTTGCTGTGGAAATATGGTTTTATTTCTTGGCTTATCTCAGCTGCCTATACCTCATCTGCTCCTGTTTCCCTCCGCATTACTCTCCCTCTGCATTTCTCTCTCTCCCTTTCCCTCCATCTGACTATCTCCCCAACATTACCACCACCAGCAGAGAAATGATGGTAATTGGCCATTTTGGGCTTGGACAGCTGCTAACATGAAAGCGAAAGTGGCTTCGGCTTGGAGTGCTGGGCGCCAGCCTCTTCACTGGTTTTTCCCCTAATAAATAGAATACCTTTTTCCCCCCTCACATGCTCTGTATCCTGAAAAAACACACATAAATAAATGAATGTAGATAAAACATTTGGGACACATGCACACTTATGCATATTGTCTCCGAGGATTTCACCTTGTCTTTGCTGACTGATTGGAAGTGAGAGCAGAGACAGACGTATGTCTCCCATACACAGATTAAAAAGCCTCTTATCTCTCCTCTTAAGGCCTTTAAGCAAGGACGATGTGCTTCACTGAATTATAAATGAGAAAGTTCCACCTGACTTGTAGCTTTTAATTTAAACTAAGCCATTACTTTACTTGTATCAATTAGGAATCCTTGGATTTTATGAAATTGGCTGGCAAAAGTGTGAGATCACGCCTTTTTTTCCCCGTTTTGACCGAGCCTCTTTGCAAATGTGTAAAGCAAATTAAATCATCCCTCAGTGTTAAAGTGGAAAATCATGGGATTGAACGGAGTATTCCACTATTCTGGGGAACATCCCGAAGCTTGGTACCTTGTAACAGAGATCCAATCGATGCCTGTAGCTTTAATCACATTTAACTTTAATGCTAGCCACATCTCTAAGGTGTAATTCTTTACTTTCACACCAAATTACTTTTTAGCCAGAGGCACATCTTCTCAAAAAGTGCATCAGTGGTGACAGCTTCAGCACTATGACCATGATCCATTGATTGACACATGGCTAAAGGCTGTATCCCAACAGGGAGGGATTCTGATCTCAAGTATGACCGTCAATTTCAGGGAAAATACTACACATGTAACCACACATTCATTAGCGAGCCATAAACCTGAAGCCTTTAGGGGAACTCACTCTTAAATACTGGGCCTAAATTCAGGTGCAGACCAGCTCAGAACACAATCACTGCCCTTAATCAGGTTCAGTAGCAGTTTCTTATTGAACCTATCTAACAGCAACCAATAATTCAATGAGGGAATGAACTAAAGCCCGGAACTCCAGCAGTTAATTAAAAATCTCATAGCAAAATTGTTCAATTTCATTTCATCACTTTAGATCAATTCCTCTGGTTTCACTCTATCAGCTTGATTCCCCTGAAACATGGATTTGCCTGTGTGGTATTACCCCCCGAAATAGACAATATTCTCAAATGTACGCTATATCTGATTTTTAATAATAGAAGATTGTCTTGTAATCCAGTTTCACTTGCAAGACGCATTAACAGGGAATTATTTGAAAGAGCTAGAGTGCCACCATGTGGTTGAAGACTTTAACTGCATTTTGTGCAGAGATCACAGTTTATAAAGTGTACACATCACAAAAGGAGGTTATTTCTGGGAAAGGTAGACCATCTCTGCAGCATAAGCTTTTTATGTTTAGTACTGAATTTACATTTCTATATATTTAGTAAAAATAAATAAATAAATAAATCAGTAAAGCCATTACCTGAATTCAAGTTTAGTGAGAAACAGTTTCAGATGGTTCCACTAGATGTCTCTCTTGACTAAACTGGAGTCCTAGTTTTGGATTTAAAGTATAACAACTTGTACACGAGAGTTACATCACCCATACAGTGAGGATCTAATGTGTTTGAAGGAGTGCAAGCTTGTGAGGATGACCTGGGGGGATGCACATGTGGTGTATAATAAGGACATGCAGAAACTAAAGACTACTGGTAGAAGATTACAAATGAAGCACAGCAGGCTATGTGCATTGCATGAAACTGGAAACTGACTGATTAAAGACAGACAAAAATATTAAAAAGTAAAATGACTCAGAGGCTTTGAAGCATGGAAGGGACTCAGATTGTTGGGACTTGGCTTGAAAACCAAGTCCCAACAGTTTCAATGTCCCTGCATGGACCATTTGAAAGTGAAAAGTTACAATTTACTTCCTGGGCAACTAACAAGGAACTAAACTCTAACTTCTCATTAGTGTGCAGCCCCAGCACATCCATAAGATCCTGTTTTTCAAGTTGAGTTTTGGCCTAAGTGTGTATCATATTTTATATCAACATGAAAATTTGAATACCTCCTTAAAAAATGCAGTTTATACTACATCCTAGATATCTGTGTTAGATCTTACAGACTGAATTTAATCAGTTATAACTAACGACACGGTTTGTACATTTTTTTCTAAATTTGTAAATGTGTTCATCCATCTGCTTCCTTTTAATTCTTTGGAAAGAGAAATGTTTTTAAATCAGCAAAAGTCAGTTATACATTTATTTTCTGAATCTCACATCATCTCGTAAACTGTTACAAACTTCCTCCCCCGCACAGTGGCAAAGTCTGCAGCAGATTTATAGCCTACAAATGCAAGTTTCTTGTAGGCAGAAACACCACTGAATAGTCTTGCGCCTGTGCGATAAGGCATTAATAAACATGACCTGCTGCTCAACCCCTTTAGCGACGTTTGACCATTAAAGTGATTAAAAATGTTTTACTTGAAATGGCTTTATTTATTATAATCAAAATGACAATTATAATCCAACTTGTTTGGAGGCCTGTGGCTGTTTTAGGTCACCATGGTAACTCAGTATACAATAAGCATTCATAAAAACTCCCAAAAACAAACATTTTATTATGTCAAATTAGATATTCATGTGTTAATAATCTTTTGCCCTTAAAATCATCCAATAAATGAATAAAGATTATGTTTTGAGAGTTATTCATACACCAGGGTTTTGAATGAAGGGACTATTCTGTTATGCTGCTTGCTTAAAATATTAAAATTGAAGTACACTCCAAAAATGAAAGCCCTGTTTTTCTCCTTCTCTCTGTAAGAAGACAGAGAGTGTGCAGTGAAGGGTTGGAGAAGAGATGCACGCTCACCATGCATATCCCTCTGCCTCTAACTAGGACATGTTTAAGATGCTTGTAGCAAGGACAGGGAGATAGAGTGGGATGGAGGAAGGGATTATATCCAGCAATAATTGATAGGCCTTATAATGCGGCTTCTGCTCCATCTCTATTAGGAGCCAGACTGCCCATCTACTATTTTCACAGGCTGAGCCGCTCAGAGGACACTGACCAGAGACAAAGATGCGGTCAAAGGTCAGTATTCGTCAAAGAGATAATGAAGACAATGCTCTAAGAACTTTATCAGCATCAAACCTGGGAGAAGAGAATCGGTTTATTCTCTGTCACTTCACTAATTCTGCAATATCATGCGTTAAATCTCAGCTTTTCACTCTGTTCACTGATCCTGACATGTTGTGCTGACAGGAAACAGTAGGGTCTACATTGTTTCAGCTCCTCAGTTAAATGTCCCTCCTCCTCTCACTCCCAGCCCTCCCTTCATCAGCCCATCCCCTGGGTTTTCCCAGTCTGAAACTTTGTTCTGCAAAGCACCCAGATGAGCAGAAATGAATTTTTGGAGGAGCCAGCCTGCTTTCCTCTCACTGCTGCTGACCCAAAAAACACAGCCAAGTCCAGTTCAGCCCAAGGCCTGTACAGCAAGACACGGAGCCAGATAAACAATCACACAGAAACAGAGCTAGGATAAACATCTGCCACATCACACTTGGACTTCTGACGGCAGCTTTTGCAAAAATGGAAACTAGTTTACTGACCCACATATGTCTGGTTTTGAAAGAAAGCAAATAGTGAAGAAATAATGAACCAAGAGTGCTTTTAATGCTGTCAAGATGAGACTTCTTGAAGTGTCATACAGATGTTCTTTCCGGTGTGTTGATTTTAAATCAAATTCCTAAAAAATATGCGGTTTCCTCCCTTGCTCTAAAACAGGAAGTAGAACTGTGGTTGTCTTCCGCTCGTCTTGTTTAATGGAACCCCCCTTCCTGTTTTCAGATTCATCCTGATAATGGCCGAAAGTCCCCTGCTGAAATCTACACACATACACAAACACTCACTCCCCCCCCGTCCGGTCCATCTCATTCCTTCTTTCCCCCTGTGTTTCTCTACTTGTTCCTCAAAGATGGCAGCTGGACAAGCTGTTTGGGAGATCTCCCCATCACCGACAACTCCGACCTTTCCAGGCATTAACATTCCAGTTTGAGGTCCATGTGTGTGCCATGTGAGCTGGTACATGTGTATGTTGTGTGTCTGTGAGTGTGAGGAGCCTAAGTGATTGATTATCCCAGAGTGAGTGCAGTTAAGATGAAAGTGGCTAAGGACTGCAAGGATGAGCTGGTGTGGTCTGTCTCTGTCTGTGTGTGTGTGTAAGTGTGTGTGTGTTTAGTGCCATGTGCAGCCAGGCCGGGGAAGTATGCAGGTCAGGGCAGGGGGAATGTCAGGAATGCCAGTGTAACTCAAACTCGCTTCTACAACTGGAGGCAGCTACTACCTGGGCATATATTTGTACCAAAGGTGGGCAGAAGTCTTAATCTATGTGACTGCCAACAAACTTAACCATATAAGGAGTCATACTTGCTAGCCTAACACTAGCATCATTAATGGTCACCATGTAGAGATATATGTAGTTGTGTTACTCAGCACAAAAAGTACCGAAGCACCTGTACAGAAAACAAAACTTTCCTAAACACCCAGCTGTTCTCATATAAGCAACACCCCCTGAATCCTGTTCCCAGGCTTTGGTAAGCCTTTCATTTGATATCACAACATATCTATGACCCCCCTCACCCTCCTCCTCACCCTCCCTGTCTGGCCGGCTTTTTCACAACAGCCTGTTTTCACTCAGCAGCCCCGACAAAGACTGGTGAAATAATTACAGCTGGGCCTAAACTCAGCAAGTGTTTGTCTCCTGTAATCTCCACCAAACCAACCAGCAGGGACCGTGTCATAGGAAGAGGAGGAAGAAGTCGATTGTTCTGAAAACGAGAGGCCGATGACATCATTTCAAAGAGCGCTCAACACTCACCGTAAATGAGCAACAAAGTAAACTGGCTGTAATGTAAGCAGCCGGCCCAACGTCAACAAAAAATTATCACCTGTCTCCCTCCATTCACCTCTCGCTTTCTTTCTGTCCTCAAAGCAAAAATTCATTTTGTATATCTATATTTGCTGAACAGTCATGCTATGTTTTATTTTGTCTGTATATGCCAGTTTTGAGCTGAAACATTTGGCCCGTTTGAGCCAGGATGTCTTTTGTGACGGGAGGGGACAACAGGAAGACTGCTTGGGGTTGTGAGGAAGTGAGTAAGTCAGGGGGAGGGAGGGAAGGAGTTAGGGAATGGGAGCGAAGGAGAACAACAAATAGTTAGTCAACGCAAAAGTATGAGGAAAACAAAGAAACAGGCAAATGAAAACATTGAGAATAGAGGGGGAAAAAAGGATTATATTTTTATGATATGAATACAAGGGCTGATTAGGTTTACATATGAAGCAGTGTAGTAAAGATGCTCCATCAGCGGAGAGGTCATTTGAAGATGAGGCTGCTGTAAATCGCAGTGACAGCTGTGGGTGACTTATGCGGGAAGTGTAGCATGTAAATCACTGTGTTGCTAATACTACTACTACACCCTCAAGTGCTTAAAGCCGCTTCAGGGAAAGGGCCGCACAGAGTAGAGCGGCTTCTCAGGAGAAGCAAGGGAAACACGGACACATAGAGATATTTACATACGCTCAGACAGACTTCCTGGCATTGTCAGCCTGAGAGCGTTGATGTCAGATCCACTCCTTCCTGTGCAGAAGGGAGAACGCCATGCGATGACAATGGGCCCAAACAGGACAAAGAGGAAATGTTTAAATTTAGGCCCCTTCTTCCACCATCTCCTCTTTCACGGCTATGGGGTACTGGAGCTGTTTAGTTTTTGTGAATTCCTCCAGATTTCCCCCTGAGCTCCCTCTCCCCATTGTGTCATTTCAATGGAAAGATTTTCACATTCAACACAAATCCCAGAGGAGGATCAGCTAGTGAGACCAGAGTTCAGTCAATCACTTATTTTCACTGATGCTCTCTTAGAAATTATAAGAGCCTCTTTAAATACACGTAAATTAGATATGGGGGAAAAAACAAGTTTGAAAAAGACAACAACAAAGAATTTGGAGAATGATAACTGGATTACAACGACAGCGAAAAGTCATGTTCTACAGGATAGACTTCCCTTAGGAGTGAAAAATAATCCTGACTAAACTTGATCTATATCATAACAACCACACTTAAAAAACATGACAACAAATTCAACAGTTCCTGAGTGTGTGTCTGAGTGTGTGTTTTCCCCGTGTATGTGTGTGTGTGTTTGTGTGTGTGTCGGTGTGTATGCAGAGGGTGTGTTAGTGTGTGAGCTGCTCTGTCTGCGTGAGAGCTTTATCACAAATCAGAGTGTCGGCGTCTGCAGGAGCTAACAGGGCAAGAGTTCACCGGTCTGTCGCTAACTCGGGGTGTTTCTCTCACTTTGACGAGAGCTAACGAAGTTTAGAGGCAAAAAATTTAAATAAAAAATCCGAACACATGAGGTCTTCAAAGGAGTCCCTGTCCGCGACGACGTTGCCTCAGCCTCGCTCGTGGATAAAAGTTAAGCCTGTGGAGTACACTGGATAAGTTCAGGCGGTGTGAACTGCGGAGTTGTGTTGACTTTAAGGACTGCGACAGCGATGCCCCTTTAGACGGGGAAAGTTTGTGTGAGGTAAGTTTAGTCACCTTTGACGGCTAAATAACACCATATATTATTATTAAGGGCAACACTTCACATGGAAGTTAGTGGAGTTGTTGAAAAGTGTCCTGAACGAAAGGTTAATTTAGTTTAAAGCGGAAGTATTAACACCATCCAGGCTAATAAACCCTGCAGTAATATGACAAATTTCACTTTAATGCCAAACAAATGACATGACACTAGCTATGTTTAACAGACTGACAAAACTGCTGAACACACACTTAATCCCTGTTTGGTTTCAGTTTCAGATAAAAGACGACTTTTTGAAAAGCTGTCAATGTATTTTTTTAAGAATAAAACGAGTTTATTTTCACGGTAGCTTTTTTCCATCTCTACTTTATAACAAAGAAAAAAGAAAAAAACTTTAAAATGCTATTTCAGATGCTAAAAGAGGAGCTTGCATGTCTATTAATTTCTTATGGCGTTCCTGATTTTCTAAATGCCAGAGTGACTCCATTACATTTCCTCCTCAAAAAGCTGCCCATAAAAGAGCTTATAAATAGCTTTAATCGTGACATTTTGCAAAGAGGCTAGCTCAAAGGCGATACATCTTCAGTGATGACAACAAAGACGTGTGCTAGTAGCCCCAATTACAGGCAGGGTGTCCATACATTAAAGGAGGATCAAATGGAGGTAATTAACATGTGTCGTACTTGTCGAGCATCCTCTTCCTCAGAAGGAGCTTATCTGAGCTGTGATGATGATGATGATGATGATGATGTCACAGGCCTGAAATAAACCAGACATCTCCTTAGTGAGTGTTTCCATGACAACACAGCCTCCTGGTTTAAACGGTGGATGGGGGACTGTGTCTCAAATAATTACTTTGGATAATGTTGACCAAGTATGAGGTGGGGGGTGTGAGGTGACTGTTGACTCATGCTACCAAAGCCCTTTATTGTTCACACTGAACTAAGATCTCTAATGCCTTCACTTTTTAGTGTGTTCACGATTAAAAATAATGATTAGGGGAGAGTGGGGTAAGATGAGCCATTTTTCATATTTCAGATCACTACATCAAGGCAATCATAGTTTTGTTTCTAACGAGTGTATCTGCATATATTTCAAGATGTTGTGCATCTCTGCAAACCAACAGAATGAGTGTAAACATAATTGTCTTGATAATATAGCATGCCAAAAAAAGTGGTCTCCTATGGTCAAGAGAGGGGGTTAAGCCATACCCCCCCCCCCCCACACACACACACACACACACACACTCTCCACCCCAGCCCTCACCTTCTCTCTTCCTAAATTACAGTCACTTCATGTTTATTTTTATGTATTATAGGTTATTCAACTGGTACAATAATTCTTTTTATTATTATTGCATATAACTGCTAAAAAACTGTATAAAAAAACATTTTAACATGAGAATGTCTTTAAGTGATTCAGAACATTCTCAGCTGTATTTTTTAAAAGAAAAAGTAACACATTTCAACAATCTGAACTGAAACTCTGATCCTCTCATCAGACTCCTTTATGGCTCAACTTACCCCTGAACTACTATTATGACTTTATTAGTCCTCTAAGCTAAAATGGTGGACTTTTATGCTAGGTTTTTGACATCATGTTGTAGCTCATAGGTACCAATTGATGTATAAAACAAATGTAAAATGATCTTTTTTGGTCTGAACACAATTCTAATAAAACTTATGGCAGACTAAATTCCCTTTCAAGAGTGAAAAATGTTTTTTTTTTGGAAAATAAATGTCTAACCCTTCACCCATGTGCTTCTAACCTTCACAGACTCCATGAATTGATGCCCATCTCCTAAATATTTGGTCACATGATCAATTTCTTTTACCATTTCCAAGCAACAGGGGGTGGCTGAACTTACCCTTTGGCTCAACTTACCCCTACATTGAAAATATCCAACCTTCTTTTTGGAACATTTATTTTGACATGGTTTGGCTTTTAAGGCCTACATTTATAGGCATTCTCAGTGGGTCAGAAACAAACAACCAAACATGTCATGAGATGATAAAGGCAGTCAGTTTAATGCCAGTCGCCTAAAATGTGGTTTTGTTCCTCCAGGTATTTTGAGAGAGGAGAGTGAGGGGAGAGAGACATGATGTCCATTGGGGCTGATAGCTGACACTGTAGAATGAGAGAGGATGGAGCAGACAGACAACCCTGCCCCTGAGAGCAACAACCCTAATGGGTTTGTCAACCGAGTGTTTAATGTTTCTCTGGATGTGGAGAATGAGACCAGCAGTGTTTATATTCAGGAGACTGGGCCAGGGCCTGCAGAAGGGCAGGGAGAGACCCAAGCTGCCTCTTCTCAGACCCCTGTCAAGGACAGACAGGAGGTCAACAGGAGGCCCCGTGCCACAGGGGGCATCTGGAAGATCTTGAACCGAAAAAGAGCTGTCTCAGAGCTGGAGCGCAGACCCCACTCCATGATCCTGCCCGGGGAGGCTTCCATCCCGAAACTCTCATTTGCTGACAAAGTTCGCTCTTTCAAGAAGCTCAAGTCCCCCTCGGTGTTCAGAGGAAAGACAGGAAAACTGTCAACTTCCAAGTTCAGCAGCTCTTTAGTGGATGAGGAATCCTTCTGCCGGGATATAGGAACTCCTCAGCAGACCAGCAGGGGCACACTTAAACACAGTGGAAAGAGACACTCGTATGCAGGCTACACGGCTGAATTTGACTGTTCATTCGAAGACCTCGACCTCACTGCTCCTGTAGATGGCCAACAGCGCACTGTACAGAGCGAGACCGTGACTCAGAACGGTTGTAAACCCCCAGAGCGGCTTAGCTATATAAAAAGAAACCACAACTACTCAACAAATTGTAACAAAACAACCACTGTCTGTGAAGAACCGAATAACCAATGCAGTCCAAGCACCAGACATAGTAGAACTAAGAGGCACAAAGATGTGTGGAGTTACCTGAGAAGGATTTCACTTTTAGGGAAGACCAATCCGGTCTTCTCAGAGAGGAGCTTTGACTCTGAGCTTCCCTCTTTGGATAAAACCCTAGACTCTGACTATGGTTCTGTAGACTTTGAGAGTGTCAGAGACTTTCAACCTGTGCCCCCAAAACACTCTGAAACAAAGGGACACTTTGGGGGTTTGTTTAAGTTTTTCAACTCAGTCGCAGAGACAGCCAGGAAATGGCGGACAACATCACACTCCTTCTCTCCCCCAGAGGGAGAGAGGACTCAGATGAGCTCCCCTAGGGCCGTACAGCGCACAGTGGACAACATTCATAGTGTGTCCCTGACACTCCACAGTGAAGGACTCCCACAACCCCAGCCTCCTCCGTCATCACCAGTGACTGCTAAATCCTCACACTGCAGTAGTTTTGATAGTGAGGCTCCAGCACCTGTAGCAGGTGGAGGATCCCCTAAGGTGATCCTCAAAGCCTTTAGGACATGCCAAGGATCTCAAGCTGCCAATGGCTTTAGGAGTTCTGAGTGCACAGACAAGTATATGGACAAAGAGGGAAACCACATATCCACAACCATAGTAGAAAATCATATCTCCCAATCGGGTCCAAGCACAGAGACTAAAAAAGAAGCCGAGGTCGAAGGGGCGCCAGTTAACTGCGCCTGTGAGGAGGAAAAGGTAGAGAGACAGCCAGGAAATGAGCAGGATTCCAGGGATGCTCCACCTGACTCCCACCAGGGACAGGAAGTGAATGTCCAATCACAACAAGGTGATAAAGAGAGCACAACCAATAGCGTGCCAGCATCAGATTCTACAGAGGAAATATTTAAGGTATGTGACTTAAAAAAAATATAAGAAGCTCTGATCATAAAATTTCAATAAATGCATTCCTTAAAGATAGCATTGATTTGTACTTCAGATAAGGAGTTTTACATGTTCAGTGTCTCACATTAATGCCATACCTACATTTCATTGCAGGCGTCTTACACATCATTAACGTTGCTTAAGGCATGCATCATATAATTACTGCATAAATGCTACAAACATCATTTATGTAACAATTTTAACCATGGTCATGCTTCTTTTCCTAAAAACCATAAACAAACAACTGGCTGTACATGGTACCAGAGCTGTTCCTTGTTTCCTCAATACATGACTCCTAGGTGTGGTTCGTTAACTGCCGTGGAGTTACAAAAACATTCAAGACTACACATAGCCTGTGAGGACATGAATTGAGCACCTACTCTAAAGCTGTACTTTTGCCCCATCTATTGGAGAGAGAGGGAAACAGTCAGTAATTACAGTGCTGAATAACAACACGTTACAGGAGTTTGTCCTTTCCTGCGAGACTGACTGCCTTGTGTCGCATGCAAGGAAACCCTAGTTCCCATAAAGCTGGCCGTGTGTGGCCGCAGTAGCCCCTGAGCTCTGTGACGTCTGCACTTTATGACAGCACCCTTCCCTTCTCACTCCAGTGGAAACATTAGTCATCTCCCTTCTAGTCACACCAACGAGTCAGGACATGTTAGCCCAAACTCCTAATGACAGAATGAGATGTGACATCTCAATACTCAGCACACTTTTCATAGGGGTTTATTATGCAAGGGCATGAGTTGTGGGAATCTGTGTTGTGGGAAGGGTGTTAAAAGTGCGGTCTTGCAATAATTTGAGAGATGGGATTATTCTAGGAAAACCCTTCTCCCTCATCACCAACTGTTTACATGTTAAATCTACTTGTTTATTGTTTTGCTACTCTTAAGTTTAACTACCAATAAGGGGCAGTCTTGGCGCTAGTGAGCAACCACTCAGGTACTGCAATTAAAGCATGAGCTCTTAGAGGGTAGCATCTTTTGAAAAGCATTATGGGGTGTATTTGTTGAATCTGTAGAGACATTCCTCTCAAGTCCCAACACAAGAAATGCATTGTTGCACCATTATCTGGGCCAAACCGCTGAGTATCTGTGCCAATCACAGCTGTGTGAGCAGATTGCCAGCCAGACTGGCTGCAGTGTAAGGCAGCAGTGCCCAGCCGGGCCCCACTCTAGCACAGAGAAGACCTCTGTACCTACCAGGCCCCTGCGCCCTCGTCCCCGCCCGGCCTCAGCTGTACTGGACCTCTGGAGGCCCAACCCGGACCGAGAACTCTACAGCCATTACAGTGAGGTTGGCTCTCTGTGTCGGCGGAGACGAAAGGCGGCTCCCTCAATGCAACCATCTCCCGGGTACAGACGGACGGCTGCTCGCTCCAGGCCCTGCTCTGTCATAGAAACCAGTGTCACTAGGGAGACTCAGTCCACGGAGCTGCACCACAGAGTAAGATGCCTAATGACAAAAACACAGGCACCAAACTCACAGAAATATCACATGAAATAAATATACTGCGAGTAAATAATAATGTGTGTATGAAGGAGGTTTAAAGATGTTATTATGATGCGAAGAAATTAAAGTACACTGTGAGAATCTTGCTGGTGGAACTCACTAACTCAGCGGTAAATATAGCCCAAGTCCATAATGAATCAAACACTAACCACAGGCTTTGAAGGGCAGCCCAGTGCTAACCCAGTATTTATACAACGTTCACTGTTAGCTGCAACAATGCATGCATGCGCTGCCCCATTTATAGAGGCCTGTATTTCTGGATTGCTGCTTTTCCCTCAGCTCACCTCTCCCTCTCTTTCTCTCTCTCCCTTTTCTTTCTTTCTTTCTTTGTGGCCTCTCTGTCTCTACCTCACTCCGTGCTTTTTTTTCTGTGGCCAATTTTCTGCCTCATCGCTCCCATAAGCTCCACTTCTCATTGCCCTAACTCAGAGTCACTTCATTTTAACCTGAGAGACCGCCCGGTTGGCGTGATGTATAGTCTCTCATGGTTTGCTGCAGGGCATGCACATCGGCCACTGCACTAGAATAGACTTGGTGTATGTGAAATAGCTTAATTTGCAGCAAAAAAGGGGGACAGGACAGTAAAGGATGGATCTTTTTATTAAAGTGAAGAACAGGGGAGTGTGTGAATTCAACCTTGTATGTGAGTGTCTGCATCAAAGTATCTCTATATGGAATATAGGAGATGCCCTAACTATTCAGTACCCTATAGGCCTTGTCTCGTCCCCCTGGTGTGTCACCGTTAGAGCCCCCACTCAGGGTATCTCTACAGCGGTGCCGCTCTTTACCACTGCCCCCCAGCACTCTCACTGCCCTGGCACTACTCCTGCCTCAGTCAGGTACCTTTTTGCATATGATTATCTTACATTAATATGCAGACTGTTGATTGGTTTCTGTTTGTTGAATTGATCGTCTGTTTGCGTGTCTGTCTCCATGTGTGCAACCCCAGACATCGGTCAGTCCTCATCGTCAGTCCGTCTGCGCTCTGGAGGCTCTGGGAGCTGCAGGAGGCGGAGGCTGTTGAGACCTGGTTCGGAACCACTGCAGGTCAACATTGTAAGTCCACCTAACACACTCATCAACACACAAGTTAAAGCAGTGTGATCCAGTTACTCTTTTATTTTCTGGTTTCATTTTAAGGCCTTAAAAAATAAAAAAGCACAGATTTTTCCATTAAAAAAACACTGAGACCACTTTCAAAAAGTCACACACAAAAACACATCCGTAATACTAAGTTTGTTCATCCCTGGCAATATGTTAGCAGATGTAGAGAGGATTTGGATGCATAATAGAGGGGAAGAATGACTAATAAATAACCTCTTACTGATAACGGTGATATGGAGATGACAGAGCAGTGGTCACCGTTTCATCAGATAAACATGGTACTGATCCGTGAAGACGGTGGCCACATGGATTAATCACATCCCTTACCCGTAGGCCATTACTCATTTGAATCCGGTCCTGGACATTTCCTTAAACTCAAGAGAGCAGGTGCAGACAAATGGGCTGAATTTTGCAGCAGAACGATGAATAGCATTGAATTCCTTTCCTGTACCTGGTGTGTTGTAAACGGTGAGAAGTGTCTTTTGTCTGTCTGGTGTGTAGAATTTTCTTCAGCACACTTGAGAGTTATACTACTCAAGAAGAGAAACCAGGCATTTCAGAATCAGCGCTTTGATGTGCAAGTGTCCTCAGGGGGGATTCTCATGCAAGGAGATGCAGAGTTTCTCTGAAACATCCTGACAAGGAAGTGAACTGTTCTGAACTGTGTCCAACATCTTTATCAGTAAAACTGCAATGAACGAGGGATGAACGCTATTTACTTGATCAGTGTAATTTCAATCTTTACTTTAGAAAATAGACACACACTCTTCAGTTAAGTTAGGAATATAATACATTATGTTGAGACATTTCTGATGTGAAAGTTATGAATGAGCTATGTGAGCACAGCTAACATTTTATACAGCAAAATCAAATTCAGGGTATTAGCATGGAGTCAGTGAGAATTCACCACAACACTTGAGGTACAATATGCAGCACATTTCCACGAGACCCTGTCTGTCTGTCTGTTCAACTGTGGAATTACAAGCCCCCAGCTTTCAGTCCTGACACATCTTTGCACTGATATTTAGTAAACTGTGTCTTTAAAGGGGTGATACTACTGCCTTAAGGCTTTGATTATAACTTCTTCTTGCTGGTCTAAATAGTGTTTGTGAGCCACTGCACGTTGTTGCCATGACACTCGCTGGCTCCTGTTCATCTTCTTGCTTCTATCTTTAGGCAGCCTTTTTAAGTGTGAGCTAAATAGAGAAAGTGTGTGGGTGAGAGAGAGAAAAAGGGGTGGGAGAGTAACAGAGAGGGGAAGAGAGATGCTCCCTTTGTATGTGCACTTTTGTGTCATGGCCCTCCCCAGGGGCTGGAAACATGGACTCACAGAACTGGGAATGTCTTGTGTCTGTTTTGAATGGCTTTTCATTTGTAGATCATTTGCATCAGACCTAAATGCTGTGATTTATGACAGCGTTTTGAGCATGAAGGTTGCATACTCATATTTATTCACCGTTAGCATAGAATATGACATAACATGGTAAGCCCGCTGTTTTGCGGTCACGTGGATGGGGGGAGCGTATTTTGCTGTTTATTTCGGGTAAGTCATGCATTGTTTATTTGTTATGGATCTAATGTCAGGATCGGATCTGCTGTTTGAAATACAGCGTGGTGTGTGTTACACTCTTCCTGTTAGGATGACTGCCGGAGCCTTGAGGCCGCAGGCAGAGAGAAAGCATTCTCACTGCAGTGGATTAGCTGCTAATGCTGACGCCTCTCTTCTCCCTTTCATTTAAATGGATTTCTCCCCCAGTCACTGCCCTCTCCTCTCCTCTTTCCTCTCCTCTCCTCTCTTCTCCTCTCCTCTTCTCTCCTCCTCTTCTTTAAAAAAGTAGCAATACCAGTTTTTGATAAGTCCTATGCAGATGAGAGGACAGTTCTCTGTGTGTTACTAATGCTGTGCCCGAAGCTCTGCTGTCAACTTGTCAGAAAAGGGAGACTGTCTTATTAAGGGCTTCGTGCAGATTAAGAGTTTCCACAGAAATCTTATATGATTAAGTTTGGGCTAACCTAGGTCTGTGTGGTCATAATCATATTATGCAATGCTATCTATTTATTATTAACGCATGAGTCAGCAGGCAGTGGCCAGTTGGCCTATTAGAGGGGCAGTGATAAAAGGGACAAATTTGGGTTGAACAAGTACTTATGTTTTGAGCACCCGCTCTCATATGTTAATGTAACCATATGCACATAAATTCTGTTTTACGTGCCCCCTAGGGATCAAGTTCTTGAGCACACTGTGATGATTTTTTCAGCACATACACACACTTCACATGCTCTCCTTATGGATTCAGAATCCATCTGTCAGGGTGTATGAGTCATTGCATTGACAGCAACAATGTTTGGTAAAAAATGAATAGCCCAGGCTGCATATCTCTGTCAAACACACTGTGAATGTGGCATTTTTTTTCACATTGGGTTTATTTTAAACCCTGTTGAGACAATCCATGAGAATAGGGCTTAAAATAACTGCATACATGTACAGTCTGCACAAGGCAACCTAGAATCTTTTATCAGTGTTCATTCAACATTGCTTCCCACCCCTAGGCACAGGCACGTATCCACTGTGTCTTTCTGCAGCTACTAGCTAATGCTATTTTTTAAGAATGCGGTGGCTCTGGTAAATAGCAGCGCCACTGACTGAATCTGAGCAGGTGGTTGTGTCAGAGCATCCCCAGGCTGTGTCTTCCAAAGAATGGTTTCTGCCTGTCAGGTATGTGAATGTCTGCTGTGGTTGTTGTTGTTGTTATATGCATAAGCATGCAACTCCACGCTTGTGTGGTGTGTGTGTGTGAGGGTATCTGAGTGTGTGTGTTCGAAGAAGGGACAGAAAGGCTCAGGGCCTTTCTCTTATATAACTGTCGAGAGGGTTTCCTGTTCTCCCTGCAAAAAACATTTCCACTTTTACTTCAGAGGGCTGCATGTTCCCGGGGACAGTGGGAGCAGTGCTCTGTGTTAATTCACTTGCTCACTGGTGTATCCTGTTTTACAGTATCTCCACATCAGATCTAGTATCTTGTCAGAGCGTGCATGCCTCTGCATGTACAGATTTTTGTTTGCGTTTTTGGAGCACGTTCTAACCTAAGCAGGGCAGGTGAATTTTTTTGCCGCCAGTGTCTCTCTCACTATGTTTTGCTGCAGACACAGTGGGTAAGAGAGGGTGTATCAGTAGATAATTTCAGTTATGTCACAACGTGTTGTGGTTTTTGTTATGAGACTCGTTGAGGCCTAAGGCACTGTTGTGCTTATTATCCTGCATTATTTGTATCATTTCTGATAGTTTTCCCAGGCTGCTAAGGTGACTTTATCCACAGTCATCAGCTTCTGTTTATGTCACAGAGTTTGTTTTCATAGCTATTGCAAAGCTTCACGTAAGACATTTTTGGTTATGACAGAAAAATGACACCTTGTTTTAAGTAATACAAACATTCCTTATCATCCAATAACACCATCATAGAGCAGACGCACAGACCAACATCTGACTTACAACCTACAGTAACTTAAGCAGAAAAAGCTGAACTATTCTGTTTTAAGCTGTTAAAATTTTCATGAATCTTCTGTTTTCTGCCTCTCTTAGGCAAAAACCTGCATCACAGGGTTTTCTAAATATCTGGTTTGGCTGATTGCCATTATAACTTACAGTGTACTGTGTATCAGCGGCTGATGAAATGTTATGACTTTACACATTTTAGAGCAAAAATAGTGAGTTTTATGCTGGGTAAAATAAAATAAAAAATACCCTAAGCATAATTTGACCTTTGCCTTGCTCACTACAATTACATGCATGGCCAACTCTCATGCTGTCTGAGCAGAGTTCAACACCAACCCTGACATTGTGAGCAAAAAAAAGAGGAATGAAAGCAGTGAAGTATTTACACTTATTCATGCTTATAACTCATCATCTCAGGATTTTACATGTTGCTGCTTTACCAACACACAAACTGATATCGAGTAGTTCTGGATATTGTGCGTTTAATGTCAGTGTACTCAGAGATTGACCAACTCCATGTCCCTTTCTTGAACGTTTACCTCCTGACCTGTCGGTTCTTAAAATACAACAATGACTGCAAGTCAGCAAAACTCTGACTTCAGTTAAGTAGATAGTGCATTACCCTAATTAAATGCAACTTTCAAACCACACAGCTATGACAGGCATCGCTCACATGTGTACTATTTCTAGACTTGTTTATGACCTCAGGACAAATCTCACGGACATGACAATGACCACTTATGTGAGTAACGGTGAACCATCAATTTTTTTGATGACATTGGTTTTGTTTTTGAGAATAGAATAGAATAGACTGTAATAGAGTAGAAAACAGTAGTATACAAGAGAATAATATAGAATAGAATAGAATAGAATAGAATAGAATAGAATGCTATATCATGAATAAAATAGAACACACCAAAATGAAAACTGAACATAATTTAGTAGAATAGAAAAATGTGAAAAGAATAGAATGTCTGAAAACAGAACAATAGAATTAAAAAATGTAATCGGATAAGAATATTTAAGAACAACGAAATAGAATAATATTGAAAGAATAGAATTGATTGTAATAGTATGGTATAAATAGAATAGAATATATTTTTTTAAAAAGTGGAATAAAACAATCTAAAAAGTGTAGAATATTTCCAAACAATAGAGTATAATGGAGTAGAACAGAAAAAAATCATCAAAAATATCAATCAAAAATAGAGTAATATGAACAGATTAGAATTGAATATATGAGAATATTGAATAGAAAAGAGTAGAATAGTTTGACATGAACAGAGTAGAAATTTTAAAGGAATATTGCATTATGATAGCTATAGATGGATAAAGAATATTGCACATGATGTGAGTATATATATTTCTTTCATGAGAATACTGTACTCATAAAACTCTGAGTAATATAGCAGTTGTTGATTGTTTTCATTGTGCACAGTTATAAGTAATGGTTATACAATGGTTGTAAATTTTGGTGGATTGAGTATTTGCACCCTGAAGAGAATACCTTCCCTCAGTCTTGGTCTTGTTGTCCCTGTCCTAAAACAATGAGACAGAAGCTAAGTGCCTGTACAGTGCTCTGATAGTTAGAATTTATCCTGCAGGCCACTGAGAGAGATTGGTAGTATTTTTCTGGCAGCTGCCACTTCCTGTATACATTATTTAACTTAACTATTCTGCCTCTGACCTCTCTGGCTCTCTGCTACACCACATGTGGCGTCAGAGTCAACCCTCCATCACATACACCTATTATGCAACCCCCTCGCTTCTTGTATTTGTTCCTCATTCCCCCTCTACTTCCACCCCCCTTTGTGTCTGACCTCAAAGCTGGTCATACCTCCCTCCATCACTCCTATCTCTATTTTCTCCTGTTCTCAGATGAAGTTTTCTCTCCCCCACTGTTTTTTTCACTCCCACACTTTGTCCCTCCACTCCTCACTTCATCCCTTTCCTCCCCTATAGGCATGCGAAAACACCTGCTTCCTGTGACCTGTCATATGCGTTCATGTCCTTCTGTGCGTCCATGCCTGTGCACAATCAAGTACATAAGATAGTAAACATTTTAGTGAATGTTTTACAAGGCAGCACTATATCAGGAAGACTAGGAAGCATTTGATGGAAGAAACGGACCTATCAGTGAGATCTACACTGCTGAGAAACACAGAATGCAAAACAACTCTGCACCCAAATATCGTTTCACTGCAGAGTTTTGCATTTCAATCCGATGCTCTGCTTTTGAACTCTCGTGGTGTGGAAGCGCTGAGAATGTAAAATGATTTCAGCTCTGAGGACAGGTGGAGCTGTAGATTTTTCTTACACCATTCCAGCCCCCTGTTACAGTGAGTTACATTAGTATGTAGTGTGCATGATGGAGAATAAGAAGGCTGTAAAGCCAAACCCAGTTTTATACTACCTTTCATGATGTGACCAGCCTCAATTGTAAATGGTACAATCAAGTTTGTCTGCTCCCAAAGGAAAACAGTGAGAATATCCCAACACACTGCATGCAGATATAGAAGCCAGATAACTGGGGAAGGATGGGATGGAACTATTGCTCTTACCTCCCAGTGTTTTAGGCGGCAGGTGGCTGACAGTACTCTGATGAATGCTGACACCAGCAAACACGCTAAGTACACTCACAACCGGTGCTGGAGTGGTACAGCAAAGCAGTGGCAGCTTAGGCAGCCAACCAAATCCCAGCTTCGGTGATTTGATTTTATCCCAAACTCTACAGCTGGCTCTCAAATGACCAATCTTTTGGTTTTATTTGAGTACACACTGGCACCGGTGGTAAACAGACACAAAAATAAAGAACAGTCTGTGTTTTCAGCTGTGTTCCTTAATGCTTTCTTTTTGTTGCAGTTTGTGAGAGGCTACATATTGTCTTTGGGGAGCTTGTTACAGTAGCAGACGCACTGTTTATCCTCTGTGGTAAATTTACAGACATTTCAAACTCACCACACATCTAGTAAAGAGAAGGAAAGGGCAGGCCTCTGGGATTTCAGTTTGCCAATTTAGCGCATTTTGTACCCTTTGATAAGGTGTCCCAAGATGCGTACGTCTAAAGCAAGCAACATATGTGTAAAATAGAATCAAGCCCACTCTTCAGAAAAAAAAGCAGCTTGGTAATGAGAAAACATTTATGGATTACCTAAAAGTAGTGAGTAGATGATAAATAAAAACAGACTTTACAACATGTAATCGTGGATTTTCAGAACAAGATGACTATCGTGGTAAAAGTGATTAGCACATTAATCACATGAGACCCCACATATGATGACAAATCACAGATTTAACTCGCAAAAGGAGTGCAGCAACATGACCAATAAAACACACCACACACCAACATTCTCACCTACAACCTGGAAAAATTGAAGTTCCTTTGCTTTGGACACTAGGGTAGCTGAATGATGCCAGCAGCAGTTTCTGTTGAACTCTTCTACTTGTCCGTTCAATTGTGGTGCGTTTTACAAGACACAGTGTAAAAACTCTGCTATTGCTGCCACAAATCAACAAGTTGATCCCCATAATCCGTGCTGCAGGATTAGTTAGCATTTGTTCTGCTCCCTTCTTCAGTCAACTTGCGACCTAGTTGGCTATTGTTTCATTTCACGTGACAACCCAGATTGTTCACACACCACATACACACACAACAAAGCTTGCTTTGGGCTGTAAATACTGAACATCTTTGATCATCCTGATTTGAGTTTATAAATACAAGAGGACTGGGTGGAGTGAAATTACTCCTTGTGTACTTCACTCTGCAGGAAAATCTGGCAAGACCCTTCAGATAATGGGGCCTTTGCTGACTTGGGAATGACTGGGCCCAAGTTTGTCCTGATGGTCTTGTGAGTCCATGCTTTAGCTATACATTGCCATGACACTGGAAACAGCAGGGCACAGCTAGACTGGAGCTATTCTCAAGACAAAAGTTGTTTGACTGTGGTTTCATTGCTATTTGAATTTTTAATAGAGACAGAGGGAGAAGGCTGTGAAGTTTAGATCTCTATTATTTTGAATTTTTAATGTCACAGTAAATGCACACTCCCAAGGCAAATAAAACAGATTTGTCAGAGGAACATAGAAATGATAGCAACTTCTTTTAGTACAGAGTGGAAACAGGTGAGACATGGATTAGATAAGCTTCATATTTTGTGCTTCTCCTTCTGCAGGCTTGAGTTCAAAGGCCTGTTTTTATTCCGCACGAGACTTTATATTCCCTCTATTCTGTCATTGTTTATACAGACTCTGTGTCTCCTCTTTCCATGCTATGACTTCACAGTGTTACAGAGACTCACTTGGGGCTGACTGGAGAACACAGTTGCAGGGAACATTCAGCTTGTTCTACAGTCTCTAAAACACACAGACATTGCACTGGTTTGTCATGTAACGATAATAATCCATTTTTTTCTGGTCCCGCAGCTATGGCATGAATAAATAGGAACATTTCTCCCGGAGCCATTCGGTCAAGTGTTATGATATCACTTGGGCTGTCTTTAACCCTATTTTCTCTACCCTACTTGGCATGACCGACCTCTTTTATCTCATCTATCACAAACTATTTCTAGCAATTCTCAATGCTCTGACCCACTGACTCGCCTAACAGCCAAATTGAGCTGAACGAATAAACAGCTGATGTCTGAACAATGGTGACAAAACTGTGTTCAGGAAAAGTCCAGCAATTTATTTTTAGGGCGCTTTGTGGCTGAAAGGCTTGGGAGGAAGCAGGAAGCTCGTGTGGTTGTCGTGGGGTTGGGAGGGGAACAAAAGAATTGGAGCAGACTGAAGGGGAAATGGGCGTGGTGGGCTCTGCCGTCCATTAGCCAAATACCTACTGACCACAAAGAGAGTCATGCTAGGACTAAAATTACAAATCTTTTTGTAGAAATTCAAAGAAAAGCTGCAGAAAGAAATAAGCTGGAGGATATTTCCCCTGAAGCAAACTGAACTCAGGGCATTTGGCTTTTCCATTTTGTGCCAGTGTGTGACATTTTGTCTAATGCCTGCAAATTAGTTCAACTCGCGATTGTTTTTCAATCCCTTTTTGTTCAAAGCTGAGCGTTGCAAGCATTGTACTCATAAAGTTGGCATTGTGTTGATGGATGATGCCAATATTGTTGCAAACGACCACTCCCCAAAGTAACAGAGCTTCCTGTCTGCATCCCACCAGGATGATTATAAGTATTATTTGTAGATGTGCCTCTGAGGCTTACATGGAATTATTGCACTGAAGAAACAGTATAATTACACCATGCTCTCCTCTGCAACATTTCATCAACCCTGTGAAAGGAGGGTGTCAGGGATGTGCTTTGTGCTCACATCTCTTTGTGATTTTCATTGACAGGATCTGGAGGCACACTCAGGCTTTGGACAGAATCCAGTTTGATGACATTAGATCAGCCTCTGTTATTTGCTGATGTCATTATCATCTCCCTTTGGCTTAATTGGACCGTGACATCCGATGTGCGCTGGAGTAGCACTCTCACGAGAGAAATGTCCCAATCAAGTGCGGAGTGAGCAGCTGCTTCTCTTGGAGAGGGTCAGGGTCATTTTGACATGAGGGTGAAGGGTGAGATCATGAGATTAAGAATGCCAGTTTGATGCATTGGTGACTGTAATAGGCATTAGATCACATCCTAATGAAGAGGGAGTATGCTGCCACAACATTAAGTCATAAAAAAATAACAATGACCAGCTTTAGCCAAAAACTTGTAAGCTCAGGGAAGCCACAGGAAGTAGAGATTTTAAATACGAAAAGCTGAAACGAGCCCCTGCAGGATCACAAAGAAATAAGCCCTCTGTTTCTCTCGGTCTTAATGCAGCACTCACATGCTTGTGATATGACATGTTTATTTATCATTACGATCATTCATCCTGGCTGCAGCTTCCCTTCTTGAAGTGGTTTCAGTATAAAGATGGAGAACAATAGCATATCATTAAATACAGTAGAAGTAAATATGACACTACAGCTGTGTGGGATCAAACATTACGCAGCTATCTTTGAAATTCAGAGGCTTTTGAAAAACAAAGTCTCTCGTATAAATCTCTTTCTGCCAAGGCGCTGCAGGAAATGTCTTTTCCTCCTCTTAAGAGTAATTTTAAGAGATAAACACTTGATCTGGGTCGTTTTTACTGCTTTAATGTGATGTAGCCTATTTGCCATTTCTTAAACTGGAATTAGAGTGTATGAGATATTATTGTATCTTGTTTCAAATATTAAAATATATTATGTTTCTACGTATTTGGGGGTCTAAAAGACTAACACAAATGAAGAGCTAGGATTTGCCACAGTGTATTACTTAAAAGTGGACTTTATGAACAGCAAATGCTTGATTTTTACAGCTTAGACTGATGAAGTGTCTTACAGTATTATAGAAAGGTTCCCTACAGAGACTGATGTAACGGTGAGATCAGTTTCTTTAGAAGTAGATGAAGACTTGACAGAGTTTGATACAAAGATCCTAGCCTCAAACAGAAAAAAACGGCCTATGGCATATCTCTCTCTCTCTATTTATACATATATATACAAACATACACACTATATGCTATATACACTCCACATTGAATTTTGAGGCTTCAATCTTTAATTTTTATTTTATTTTAAGTGTTTTTTATGTTTTTCAGACACTTGAGCGTATTAAACTTTGTGGGAAAAGACTTGCAGATCTTAGAAATATACCTTTAACTGTGTCAACCAAAAGTGGCCTCGTATTAAGAAAACATCAGCATCAGTCGAACATCAATCTTTTTCCTTGCAGAGCTAAAAAGGAATCTCTCTTTCTGGATTCACTGTATTAGTGCTAGTTCTGCATGTTGTTCACGTACAGTAACTTTAAATGAAGTCCCTTTGAACACATGACGCTCTGTCGTGGAAGATATTCTGCCATTTTTTACAATCTCTCTCCCTCTTTTGTATATGTATGAGTATATTAGCATTGGTGTCTGTGCAGATTTAGACTTTCAGATGTGACCTTTGTTGTCTAAATGTCAGGGAGATTGGAGAGGGAGCCCACAGAGGTAGGGCAGGCTTATGTAATCTGCTCACACTGCATTTCACACACACACATGAAATCACACAAGCACAGAGGAGGAAAAAAGGACTGTTTTAGGATGGTTGTCATATCTCAGTTGTGATGCTCCCTGTATCTCACAGAAAGCCTGGCTTTCAGAAGCAATGGCTTTTATCAGCATGTATGTGCAGAGAGTGCCCTGGAAATTATTTATGGCTTTAAAAATACTGATACAGTGCACTCTTTCGTGTTATTCTGTACAACTTATTCTGGGGGTCTTTTGATCCCTCCCAAGGCTCTGAGATGAATGTGAAGAAAGAGTGTAGTTTGAAGCAGACTTGTGTGTCTATGTGCATGTGTGTGAAGCCATGGATATGCAAGTGTACGTGCTTTGTTGGTATGGTACTGAACCGATTCTCACGTATGAATTCATTACAATCATGTTGTTCTACTCAAACTTGTGATATAAACACCAGGACAAGAGCTGCAGGCTATACTGCAAATTCAGTCTTTATCTGAGATATCACTGAGAATACAGAGGCCAAAATAATTATATGCATACCAAGGGCGAAAAATGTGCTTCAGGTAGGAAATAGAGCCATTTTGCACTTTCACTCACAATCTTAACAATGAGCCTGATATTGAGAAGAAGAAACTTTGGCTGTGGCTCCAATAGTCATGTGCTAATGTTTACACTGGCTCGGTCATAGCTGCAAGAAGATCGCTCGTACAACCCTACCAGTTTGAGCAAGAGTCTGACCCAGAGGGAGAGGCTCCGGAAGAAACTCTCAGCCGCGTTCAGACCAAACGCGACTTGAAGCGACCTCGTCGACACGTCCTATGTATTATTCAAAGCCGCCAGGAGGGTCACGCTTAAGGAGGAAGATATGAATGTTGAAAAAATTACAACCAGAGCTCTGCTACAATGTAAGATTTTGGTGCTCTAAAACTTCTCTGAAGCCTGGTTAATAGGATGGCCGACCGTCCAGCATTAGCCGGGACGTCCCGTATTTGAGCCAAAAGAGGCGCGTCGCCGCACGTGTAAATGCTAAAGCTACATGCTGCTCTGGAGGGGGATTTTGTCCCCCGCCGACGGAGTTGTCGGGGAAGAAGCGAGCGGCTAAAATACGGGAGGATCCGGTAAACCGGCGCGGATCCGGTGTGTCAAAGCGTGGTGGCCGTGCTGAGGCACCGGGGGAATTTAGGCTAAACATTAAGTCAAAATAAAACGTTCACACTTACAGATGCCACGTTTGTATTAGGATCACGGATAGTTGGTATGGATCCATTCTTTATCTTCAGACATCTAGCAAATCCAGCGTTGAACTGTCCCTCGTTGATAAAACAGTCCGAAGTGAAATGGTGGGCACATACATACAGATATTTTGGAAGTGCCGCGGGTACATTCCCATTAGAAATAAAATCCACCCATTGAGTCCTCAAATCCTCCGACCAGGGAGTTTTCAGAAGAGTTTTGTGCTCGTTTGTGCAGCCAACAACAGAGCAAACGCTTCCTCTTTTTCAGATCGTACTTCCGCCATGGTTCTAACCGGAGCTACGCGAGCGAGCGGCCGGAAATAATGGCGCTGTTTTGATAATTTTTTGGGCAGGGTTTTTTTGGGGCGGCTCCATGGGCAGTACCAACAACTCGCCAGCACTGACATGACGTCATGTCAGTGGAGTCTTCAGAACGGCTCTGAGCACACAGTTCCTAAATACGGAGATAACTAAACAACGACTGGATGGAATTTTTTCGAACTTGGGGGGATTGTAGCGGTTTCCTATCCCTGATATGCACCCCCCTCCCGTTAACAAAGTCAGTTTTTCATGCCATGGCCCCTTTAACACAACTCACCTACTTTCTTCCAGCAGCTGCTTGTTTGTGGCGAGACCCCGGGCCAGTCCATTACGGACTGCTGCGGGGTGACGCAGCTCAAGGAAGAACATTTATGATCATTTCTTTATCATTTCCTTGAAGTATTTATCACCACATTAATCATTTTGCACTGAAGACACAGTATTTTTGTGCCTTAGCGTCTCAGTCTGGTTGCATTTCCATGAAGTACTGAAAAGTTTTACAAGTTCTCCAAACTAGCTGTGACTCTAGAGGGCCAAAGAAGGCTCTGATGATTAAAAACAAGGGAAAAAAATGTTAAGCTAATATTTAATATTTATCTTAGACTTGGATAGAGCAGTATTAGTTGTAGCTGATTTTGAATGTGTTGGGTTCAAGAAAACGATGCATTGTTACTGTTGCTGCTTTAGTACAGTATGTGTTTATCTGCCCAGGGCGTCACATGGCCTGGAAATGAGATTCACTGTAAGTATTGGCTAAAACCACTGGGCCTCAGAAAGTTATTTCCTGTCCCAGAAATTACTGTATAGTTTGTTTAGTTTTAAGGATTGTACACCGACACCGCCTACATTTGAGGTTGGAGACGCTTTACTTGTACCTCGATTATTCTGGATCTTCTCAGCCCACTTCTTTAATACAGATTTCTTCCATTTCTACATCTCTGAAACAGCAGGTGTGATCTGCAGCTACATCTGATTTGAGGGACACAGGGCATCAGCACCAGTGCATGTTTATGTAAACCAATAAGGTTAGGACGCACACTCTGCAATCCTGCTGCCAAACCAGCTTGCCCACCCACCTGAACTGCTAAATATATCTACAAAGGTTTCCTAGGGTTTCATGTGTACTTGTGCCTTTGCATCAGCCTCAACATTGAAACAATTAAAAAGTACACAAAATTTGCAGGATGCACATCATGCTGCTCTCATGCATTACACTTAATATTAAGTTATGAGTTTAAAGGGAAATTCACTGCATTTTCAAAAAACCTTGGGTAACTAACACACTGATCTAAGTCATCCTCAGGTCATTTAGAGGGGTGGTACTGTCCATTTTGAAATCTGATGACCACCGAAGCCACCTCTTTAAAATCTTAAGGTAGAACTAAAAATATAACTGTTTTGGCCGCTTACGAACAGACTGGTGGATAAACTTTCTTTGTTTTCAAAAACAACATCCTTGAGCTGTGTCCCCCCCCCCGCTGCAGTCAGTTTGGACTCGCCCGAGGTCTCTGTACAAACAAGCGGCTGTCGGAAGAGAGTAGGTGAGTTGAATTTAGTCTCTTTGCTAAAGAAATTAGGCAAAGTTAAAAAGATGTTTGGTGGCTAGTACTATGGCTAGGACCCTATATGTACTGTTGATGAAGTTAGGTGCTGTTTTGAGCATTATTTGTGGCTATAGAGTGGCGTTTTGGTTGAGGTTTGCGCGTGGCTCCTGAGACCGCTGTGTATTGCTATCGTTCGGTCATTACTAAAGTTGGTATAACTAGAGAAGCAAGCGGTCAGCGATATTCATCTCTCGATGGGGTGTGTAACTTGGTGTTACGGTGTGTTTGACCCTAACTTAATTTTACACCGGAATATCCCTTCAATGTGATTTAAAGACCATCATCAAAGTAGAAAAAGGAGACAGAGAGCGTGAATGCTATTTATGAGTGTAACTGAGCACATGCCCTGGCCACCCCGCTTATGTTGGAGCTTGGTTCAGCCCCCTTTGTTACAAAAGTGTAGACACACCCCTGCCCATCAAGATTTATGAGCCCTGAAAACTTTTCAGGGCTGAATTTGACTACGTAAAGTGTCAGAACCTATTTTTGGTGCTTATAAATAATTTACATTCATTTTTTTTCTGCAACTGAATATTTAATTTTAAAGCTAAACTTCAGGTATTTTGAAACTTGATTTAAACCGAAAATGTAATAGAAATAAAGGGAAAACAGTGACTAACCTTGATGTTAAAATATTTACTTTTTGTTTTGATCTGATGTTTTAAGTAAATCTTTGAGTGGTGTAGAATCTAACCATTACTAATCTTGATTACATTCAAAGGTTTGAACCGAACTGTATGATTAAATAAGACACTATCAAATGCTCAGGAAGTATCCTGAAGTTGCTGCTGCTTGCATCAGGTCTGTTTGTTGGCGCATTAATGTTTCTGTAGAGTGTAAGTGTGGTTGATTATCAGATCAACTATAGGCGTACTGTATCTGATTGATACCCGGCCACGGACCAAGTGGCAGGAGAGGCTGACATTATGCCAATAAAATTATACGATGGTGATCACTTTGAGGAACGTGCATCCTTTCTTCTGACATTTATTCTTCCTCATCTCGGACCGTTAATGATAAATGATAAATCACCAGGGCACGGTGATATTTTTAGCCGGGGTGGGAGATAAATGAGGTTATGATTCTGGCCACAGTGGTCGATGTAGTCAACGAGGGGCTGGCTGTGCCCCTCCCCCGACTGTAGGTGATGGCTGAAGCCGGTAGCCTGGCAGCGGAGCGCTGATCAGTATTAATGCAGGACCGCCTCTCAGCCTCACAGCCGATCTCTCTGCGGTCCCCATCACCGGAAGGCAGCTCAGCAGCTGCGGACAGCCTGCACACAGCCTCCTTCTTGTTTGCTTTGAGAATCTATTGGCCTGAGATTCGCTTGGTTTAGGGGAAGAGGCGAAACACCGGCAGGTGTTGACTAGCGGGGAGAAATCGCGGTGCAGACTGATGACGATGATGATGGTGAGGATGATGCATCTCTTCCCGTGCCTTTATGAATTACATCGCGTAGTGTGAAGAGGCGTAGGGGGCATCTTTTTTCATTTCTTGCCTAACTGTAATGGTGGATTGCTCGGTGGCTTTGAGGCTACGTGTCTTGAAGGGGGAGCTGGATACCAGCCGTCACTGAGAGCGCAGCTCAGCACCGGCCCGCAGCGCTGCGCCATGGCCTTGGATGTCCAGACTTGCGCGGTGTTTACGGTGATCGCGGTTCTCGTGCTTGTGAACGTGCTGTTGATGTTCATCCTCGGTACTCGTTAATGGATCTGCGCTTGGGGCCCGGTTCGCAGCGCACCACGCTCTCATACAGGACGGGAGAAAAAGGCTGTGCGCGTTGGTCGAGAGCGGGGACACCCGGCGCTCCATCACGGCTACGCGTTGAAATGAATGACGTTGGTACAACATAATATATTTCTGTTACCCCCTCCCCAATCCTTCGTTATGTCTTGTGTCTTCTCACCGTTTGTGGTAGCTAGTGTTGTCTGGTGGTGGTGGTAGTTGTGCGGATACAGATCTGTGATGCTCTTACCTTTTTCTGTGGTGACTGGAAAAATCATATTTCCCCGCATATAAACATGTCCCCCCCTACATCGATCCCCCTCTCCTCTCCATGTTGTATATTGTGGATTATGCGCATGGATTTTAATCTTTACCAGTGAGATATACGATTTAAATAAATATGATGGTCTTTTTTTCAACAGCATCTGCTGCTGCGTCAGGATTTGTTTTCCTAATATGATTCACTGTAGCCACATCCACAATATGGCAGCTGATAAGCTAGCTGAGCAGGGGTCTCTCCTCTGAAGGAAAGGAGATATTTGTAGCTAATAGCCGTGCTGGTGAGAGGTTTGTGCTGCTGATCACAGACTTTAGGGGACCGTTTGTAAGCTCAGTTGAACAGTAACCAATAGCAGGCAGGGCTAGGCCTAATAAAGGAGGGCCTCCGTCACTCCAGGTTTCCCCCATTTTAGATGCAGCTAAACTCAGCTCCCATTTCACAGCCCACAATAGTCACACTTGTCCCTTTTGCAACATTTCAATAAGTGCCTGTATCTGAGGCCAAAACGTTACCACACCTGACCACTGAGTAATTACTAATAAAAGATGTATGAGTGTATGGTCATAAATCTGACAGATGAACTGTCTCCCAAATGAAAAGAGATGTCAGATGGAGATGAAAATTCCTTTACCCTCTTTTCCTCTACATGCAATGCTATAATCTGATAAAGGGTTGGAGGCAGGTGCCATGAATGTTGAATGAGTGTCAGAAATAGATATGCTAAAAGCCTATCCCAGAGCTGTCCATGGCAGTCCTATTAATAGGGATGGTAGGCTGGCTGGGTTTTTAAGATACCGTATGTGCTCTCACACACTCAAGGCTAAGTGCTGTGTGTTTTTTTAGATAAGTGGTAAATGTTGTACTGTAGGTAATGTTTTATGAACACAGATACATCTATCACATGCCGTGCCATGTGGTGTGGTGTTTTCATCACTGTGGTAAAAAGCATAAACAGCCTACCTAGCAGGGATCCCACAGGACCGTAAACAGAGCATCATAATATTGTACACTGCAATAGTGAGGGCTCAGGGATGCACAGTGCTACTTACAGATGTGTGTTCACATGTGAGCATGAGAGCCCGTCTTGTTGCTTATGTATGTGAGATCATCTGGGTGGCTGTTATCTGTAGATCCTCTTAGAATCCGAGGCGTGCACACATCCCGAGTGTTCACACATTTGTAATCCCCCCAGGGCCAGGTGCCTTCTAATAGAGTTCTGTTAAATGCTGTGCAGTCAGAAGTGTCAATGTGCGGATGGTGTGTGCGAGCGAGACAGCAGCGTGTGAGAGGATGTGTGTGTATTTCTCACTGGTTTTAGGCAGAGCATCTTTGATTGGCTCCCAGACTCAGGGTATAAGTGTATTACATAACAGGGCTGGCAGACACAGGGAGGACAGACCGCGAGACTCACTCGGTGCGTCGGAAAGAGAAGCCTCTTTCTGGAATACGGCACCTTGTTACTCATTATCACAGGCTCAGCTCATGCGGAGGACCGTCACCTCGACCTCATCTGAGAGAGATTTATCTATCATGATTGTATGAACCGGACTTCTCCATGCATACACTCTCCGAACAGTTACATGCCACAAACATGGTAAGGCTGGCTTTAGGTGTGTGTGAGTGTGTGTTTGCTCAGGGATGCTGTAGGTGCTTTGGTGCAGATGTGCTTCAGCTACAGATAGAGGAGGATGTTGGAATGCAGTGGAGCTGCCAGTGCAGTGAATGCTGATGTGTTGTGCTGCAAAGATGATATTAGGGAGTGAATCGCCTTTCTGTTATTCCAGGTTTCTTTGTCAGTCTCCACGTATGTGATTGAATAAGAAAGGAAAAGCACTGTCTATACGTCCACATACAGGAAAAGATTTCTCTGCATTCATTTGCATTGACCCAAATACAGGTTTGCGGTTTAAAGAACGGCTGTTTCCCCCCCGTGATCTTTGATGTTGTAACTGCAGTGTAACCAAAATGATGACATAGGTTGTTACAGCTGGTACACACACAGGTGATGATGAGCATTGTGGCAAGACTTTGTGTTTACTTTGTGCCTTTTGATCAAGCTAGGTGTGAGGGTGAGCCAAGGCAGGAATTGTGAAGATTGATTATGTAATGCTTTTAATTTATTCAGGCATGGAGAAGGGGGGAAAAGGATGCAATGTATCGGAGAGGGCAGTGCTGATCTCATCAGGGAGATGGAGGGATGAGGGGGAAGGAGAAAGTGAGCAGGGTGGAACATTGGCTGTGAATGGATCTCTGTCTGTCTCTCCCTTTTGCTCTTTCTGTCTGTTGCCTATATTACAGCAGATTGATGGGAACTGGAGAGATTGTGCTTGGAGTGAATGGTGCTGAAAATGGAGTGGCGCTTGAAGGGGGGCTAAAGGGTGTGTGTGTTAAGAGTGGGGTGTGTGTATGTTGGAGGAAGGCAAGATTAAGAAGAGGAGACATTAAAGGAAGGTAAAGGAAGGAAGTGAGACTAACCAATGCTCATCTGTCCTGCGGGTGCTGTTGCAGGCAGAGGTCCGGATGTCAGATGGTGTTGGTCAAGTAGAACTAATTGGCTTACATTTTTTTCCTTAACTACCACTTAGAAATGTTTTATCTTACCCCTTTTTTTGAATGAGAAAATCTCACTAGTATTAATTGTTACTGTTTCCATGGCAGTCTGACTTATGTTTTTTGCATTAATCCCCCCTCTTCCTGGAATAGAGAGCTTTGGCAAACATGCTCAAGCTGCTGTTACCCTGACTCTCTGTCCACGTGATGATGTCTGATCGAATCAACCTACTCAGCAATATCTTTGATCTAAAACCTGCATCCTGGGGCCCACATTGTGTATCTCTGCGTTTCATACTGACATGGGAATGATGTTAGTGTATTCTCTAATGTGATTGGCTCCTCTTTTCTGAGATCCAATAACAGAGGAGGGCTTTCGCAGTTATTCAGCGGTCACTCTGTGTGTGTCGGCTCACACATGCACCTAAATTTGGAAATATTCTGGCACCTCCTGAAGTGTCCTTGCCTCATCCCATCATCTTGTCAATACCAGTGAAGCATCCTCATCTGTCGCCATGACGACGGCTGTTCTTTCCCTTCCAGGCACGGGCGTCCCTCCCTGTGCTCACTCCTCTGCCCAGATTGGCTTGTATCCCCTGTAGCTGTCTCAGCGAGCCATCTGGGAGGAAGGCTTGTCTACAGGTTGAAGGGGCAACATAGCTGCTGAGTCTGAGAGCTTAGATCCTCACGGGGGGGTTTGGTTGAATATAAACAACACACACACAAACACAGACACACACAAACATAACTGCATCAGCATTAGGTGGGACTGCATTTTTGCACTAAACTGATGAAGTGCATTTTATATGGCTGAAGGGTTTGAATGGTATGAAAGGAAAAGCAATCCTAAGGGACTTGATGAAATGATTGAACTAGCTAAATTAAGGGTATCACATTGGCTCTGTATTATGATGCAAAAGCCTTAATGCATACAAAGAAGTAATCTAATGTCCATCCTTGTGCTATCTTTGTGTCCAGACCTTTGATAACTCCTTACCTAAAGCCTAAGCAGCTCCTGTCAGGCTTGGTTAGCGATAGCTGCTCTGCCCACAGCCCCAGGGATTGAATGCATGGTTAGCTCTGGATTGGAGACTGCTGATGAGCACTACCTTGGAGGGAGCAATTGGAACAAACATTTGGAGCTGTGCCATAGAGGCACACGCAGCCTTTTTAATGTATAAGAAGTTTAAAAGTGTAGCTGCAAATGTGAGTGCTGCTTCGGTGTGTGTGTTTGTGCATGTCTCAGCACAACAAAGCCGAGTCCTCTGTGTTATGGATGGTGAAGCTGTTTGGTAGATGGATGATGTCAGACTCTGGTCTCTCTCAGGAACATTGTCTGCTGTCTTCTGTCCTTTAATGAGAACAACCTTTAGCCTCTCCAAATCCCTTAAAGAATACTGATGGCCTGACAGGCCTCCGTGCTCCTACAGATGATGCTGAAGACAAGCCCTTTAAGAAACACCCTCCTCATGTAAATGCACCTTCCTATAAAGCTTCAACAGTTATTTCCAGTGTCGCATAATGTCCACATTATTTATTCATGATGCTAAAATCAATAGAAGATGTTTGATGAGTCATGCCTCCATGCTCTGTCAAAGGCTGTGCTGCAGATTAAATAACAAGCTCTAGTGACAGCACGAAGGAAAAGAGATTATCCCTTCACATTTGTTTGCTCCTCAGCATTTATATTACATTAACACATGTAATTATTCTAATGTCATAATGGGCCAATTACAGTCCCTGTGTAGAGACTGGTGCTGTGTTTATGAGTGCTGCGTTGTTTTTCCACTAATGGCTCTGCCTGTTTTGTGTTGTTGTATTTTGTTGTGCTGTGTTGTGTTCTATGTCAGCTATTGTGTTGCTCTATTTGCAATCCCTAAGCTGCTAGTGGGCCCTGGCTTTGAGGGTGTGTATTTGCATCTATTAGTAATCTGAGTGGGTTTAGCAACAAGGATTCTCACAAATTGAGGTCTAAATAAGGATGAGTACTGAATTAAATCCCTTTCAAATTTAATTTATAAGCTGTTTTGGATCAGGTGGACCCATATTTATTCATCAATGTCTGCAGTGTTGTTCGTGCTGTTTCTCTGGTGTCTCCTCAACAGAAGTTATGCTCAATAAGAATAAAGCATAAGATATCACTGTTTTTCCCTCCCTTTTCCCCAGTTGATAAGTGGAGGTTCAATCGTTAACGCTGAGGCGGTATGGGACCATGTGACCATGGCGGACCGGGAGTTGGCGTTTAAGGCTGGTGACGTCATCAAGGTGCTGGACGCCTCCAACAAAGACTGGTGGTGGGGCCAGATTGATGAGGAGGAAGGATGGTTCCCTGCCAGCTTTGTACGGGTGAGTTAGCTGCTGCCATGGCTGGCCAATGACCATAGACACAACACGCACCCACACACACAGAAATGGAGGCACATAAACATATGCACACAGGCTGCCCAATACACAGAGGGAAGGTGCGCAAAAACCGTCACATACACACAAAAAAAAGAGGCGCATTAGTATGCCTTCTCCACACACACAGAGACACACTCCATGGAATAATGCTGTGCTTTAATAAAACATAACACTGGAGAGATGAGAGGACAGCTAGTTGTTGAGTGCCTTTACCGGGTGTTCAGGGACAACGACACAGAGATGCTGATGAGCCCCTTTTTAAGCTTGGCATTACCTCCAACTGTTACCCTTGAAACTCACTTGAATTTTTAACGTCCCCCACTTCACATTGTTATTATATAATCTCACCCATATCTGAGCTTAACTAAAGCTAACACACAAGTCTGACTCCTTTAATTAGCTTCTGTTTGACAAAGAGAAAAAAAAAAAACAGGCGAGTGAGAATGGTTGTGGTAGGTAGGTAAGGCTTCCCACAGCAGAGCACCCCCACAGACACTCCTCATGGCCATTTCCACCTGTCCGCCCTTCCATATTCACTCCTGAGAGGGCAGGGCAGACAGGCTGACTGACTGTCAACCAAAAAGTATCTTTCTGTTCTGTCATTCTCTCTCTCCAAGGTGGAACCCCACCCTCCTCAGCCCCAAACAAAACAGGTTTTCTATATCAACCCCATAGCAACTCCACGGTTCCAAAACACCACGTCAAAGGTGCGTTTTCCCAGCTTCATCCAATTCATCCAGCCTGCCCGCCCACCCGCCCGCTCTAGTCTGTCCACACAACGTGCCCTTGACATTACCAGACATTAACGTTCCCATGACGTTATCACATCATCTTTAACAGGGTCGATAGCGAGGAAGAACTGATGAGTCAAAAGTAAAATCCTGATCAAAGTCTTCTGAAGGCCTGCACTCAAATTCTGTTAAGATTTACATAGAAGTAGATGGATCATTGGAGACATTATTCCTGTCAACATTCATTATTTCTTCTCCAAAAGGTGGCAATTTTCTTCAGTACTCTATTTACTATTGACTCTGGCTATTTCTCAGTCCTAATGCTGCGCTAGTAGTTCTCGTCTGCAGTCAATGCTCTACCACCCGTCACTCTGCTTGTCTGTGGCGCTGCATTTCTCATCTTGTGTTTGGCATTCTACCCGTCGGATCTTTGATGTTTCTTGGCAAACTGTGTGTCATCAGGTGTTGGCTGCTGGACATCTGAAACCACGCTCTCTCGGGCCCTAACTTTGAAAAAGAGTGAAATACACGATGTACTGTGTGGGGATATGTGTGTGTCTGAATGTTGTTGAATGCATGCAGGTGTGAAGTTGTGTGTGAGTGTATATGCATGCATGTTTGCAGGGGAGGGGACTTTTTAGCTAGGATTTAGGTAGGGCTGGGTGATTAAACGGTAACAATATGTATCAAAAATTGATTTTCCTCAATATCAATATAAAATATGGTCAATATGCATTTCGATAATTGGAATTCTGCCTGTTTTGGTTGGCTGTACAAATAGCCAATGAAAAGGGAAGTTGTTCCAGGTCCGCTTTGTGCTGAACCAATCATGTGCTGAAGTAGAACCAAGTAGCAAACAACTGTATAGTAGCAGGCTGCAACTACACACAACCATAGCATGTGACACATGACACCGACAGAGCTGTCGGTGAGAAAAAAACAAAATGAGTGCTACCCCGGCAGAAATGCAAATGAAGGCTCAACAGGTGATGACATCGAAAACAACACTGGCACGAAAATGTCGGTGGTGGGGAGGTATTTTGTTTTTTTATGGTCAGACATGAAAAACAGAGTAGTGTGCACTGCAAATTATGTCGGTTACATGTTCGCGCAGAGTCGGGGAATACCTCAAATCTTTTTTACCACCTGAAGCAGTGCCATGTGGTAGAGCACGCGCAACGCAACAGGTCACAAACCCCAAGTGGAGCAAGGAGCTCATGGCGCCTGTGCAGCCGAAACAGCTGACCATTCAGTTTGCTTTCTCTAGCGCAACACCTTACGACAAAATGCAGTAGCTTATTGTATTGCAAAAGACATGCTACCAATAAGCACTGTTAAATTTCATTTTTTATATCGTGATATATATCGATATCCACTGATATGAAAAAAATATATCGTGATAAGCTTTTTCCCATATCGCCGTGCCCTAGAGTTAGGCAATAACTTTCCCCTAGATACCGGTCTCTTAAAGATGCAGTTCTCCTTGAACTCTTTGGACCACTAGTCTTACTTACTGTCCCTTAAAATGAAGCTGTGTATTTGAGAAGATGTGTGTTTATGTATGTGAAGTGTGTGTATGTGTGTGCAGTGTGCTCATTGGAAGAGATATGCGCCACATGTATTGCAAACATTTTGTGATTAGAATTCCTAAATGCGCATTTACTAACACCTTTTTCATCAGGTTATTTATACACTTAAAACTCAGCTGAGCATGTCTTATTAAAGTGCATGTGTGTGTCTGTGTGTGTTTTTGTGTGTGTGCGAATGTGTTTGAACTCAGCTGTGGGTGAACCAAGAGGATGGGGGAGCGGAGCCAGCAGAAGGGACCAGCGAGGTGCAGAACGGGCACCTGGACCCGACCAATGACTGCCTGTGTCTAGGCTCTCCCCTGCAGAATCGAGACCAGATGAGAGCTAACGTCATCAATGAGATCATGAGCACAGAGAGACACTACATCAAACACCTCAAGGACATCTGTGAGGTACGAAACACGTGCTCACATCCAGCTGAACACTCACTCACACACACACAGCTCTTCCTGTACTAATACCTTGAAGATGATAAGAAAGATAAATGGAAATGAAATGAATCAGCTGAAACGTGTACGAGAGAAGAAGCAGCAGCCCTTTTTGATGCTACACAATTCTTAACACTCCCACATTCACACTTTTTATCATGGCATATTTTTTTTCTGTTGATCTAAAAAACAGTCCAAAAATAGTCTCCTTCTTGGATGTAAAAATTCAATTTGTCAGTTGCGCACAGCAGTGGCAGCTGCCATACTTGGACTGATTTAGCCCAGATTAAATTTTTTTTAATCATATTATGAATCATGCTGAGGTGGCAAGCTAAAATTCACACCTAATAAAAATAAACAAAAAGCCTTGCAATTTGCTGTGTTATGAGGATTTTGTGCCTGATTTAAATACGCAGACATTTGTGGTTTCACTTGGCATTTTACTACATGGCATTACTTTTACTGTTAAGCAAGAAATACTCATGCTTCCACAGTACAGATACAGCAGTGAATATGGGACAGCTTTTTCCTAGTATAAGTATTGAGATCCATGTGACGTGTACTATCAGTAATGCATTTCTTTTGGTTCGTAAATAAACAAATTTAGATACAGTGCTGGTTGCAAAGCTGTCTCATCCAACTGCAGAGGATAATACCTTTGCATTATAACACGAGGTGAGCTGGGTGTTCCCTTGCAACTTCTTGCCTATTTTAAAAAATTAGCACACCCTTTGTCAGTGCAGCAATATATTAAAAAATGTTGCTGTGTTGTGTATATCTCTTCGCTGCACCTCTACACCACCTTCCTCTAGAGTATGCTGCATTTTTAACTTTCCACAAACTTGCTCAGGCAGGAGTTTATAGCTTTAAATATCACAACTGAGCACAGAAATAAACAAGGCATTCATAGTATGAATTTAATTTTGTCATAACTATTTTCAAACTGTGTGCTATATGTTGCCAAGAGGAAGGATATCAATAATTAAGGGCAACTAATCAGGAGGAAAACACAGATTTGAAATCCCTGTGTGTATAAAGTCAAAATGCCTCGTAGCAGATGTTTTCCTTGTCCGTAGTTGAATACTTGATGGCTTCAGAGGCCGGGCTAGTCACTTAAGACGCTATCATTCTTAATATAGTATTTTGAGTAATATAAGAGAATTCAGAAAGTTTACCAACAAAACCATCCGTTTGATTTTTTTCCAGTTACTAATGGAGGCTGCACTGTTCTCAAATCAAAGTTACCCCAGTTTAAAGCAACACCTCTGTGTTAATGGATTGTATTTAGGTTGACCTTAAGGAAACAAAACAAAACAGAAAAAGCTCAGCTGGTGTATTTTGCTACAAAACAGAGTATCCTGAGTACCCAAGTGTGAAAAAGCTCAAATCTACCTCACTCTGAAAAACTTTTCCCTATGATCAAAAGCTTCAGGGCATTTAATTAACCACAAGAATCGGACTGACAAATTGGGGCCACAGTTCAGCCTATAGTAAAGTGTTTTTGACTCGACTGAACAGTCAAAGTCCATTCTCAACACAAAGAATGACTTTGCGTGTTTATCACGAGGAATATAAAACAGGACTGAGACGAACAAAGACTAAGGCTTTTTCTTTTGCATGTTTTATGTTCTGACCCGAAGCTTCAGTGACATGTTTCTATTTGAAACTCAGCGCTTCTCCTGTATCCTCTTTGAGAGATCCTCTATTGTTGTGACCGTATTATTGCAGGGCTACCTGCGCCAGTGCAGGAAGCGTGTGGACATGTTCAATGACGACCAGCTAAAGGTCATCTTCGGGAACATTGAGGACATCTATCGCTTCCAAATGGGATTTGTTAGAGACTTGGAGAAACAGTACAACACAGAGGAACCACACCTCTCTGAGATTGGACCGTGCTTTTTAGAACATGTGAGTTATTTTTTTTTTTTTACTTAATATCAGTTTAGCTATATTTAGAATAAAAATATGTATATCTTATACATGCTGTGTTAGTTAGTGATAATTCATGACAGTGTTGAAGCTTTTTTCAAGATCATTACAGTTAAATTGTAAAAAATAATTAGGAACAAGCTAACAGTTTACAAGAGTTATATGTGATCATAAACTGAAGCAGAACTGAAAATAAAGAGGAATTACATTAGAAACAGGATCTTTTAGCAGCACTTCTCTCCCTTATTTTGCTTTGCAGCAAGATGGGTTTTGGATCTACTCTGAATACTGTAACAACCACCTGGATGCTTGTATGGAGCTGAGCAAACTGATGAGGGATGGCAGGTACCAGCACTTCTTTGAGGCCTGTCGTCTTCTCCAGCAAATGATTGACATCGCCATAGATGGCTTCTTACTCACCCCTGTCCAGAAAATCTGCAAATATCCACTCCAGTTGGCTGAGCTTCTCAAATACACTGCACAGGAGCACAGGTACGGTCCACTTTTGGCGTGGGGTCACATTTAATCTGCTGAATGAGTTGCCGTTTGATGATTGTACATTTGTCGCTCAAAAGAAGATGTTATTCATGCGTCATTGTTCTCCAGATGCATTGTGTTTTGATGTGGCGTCTGCAGGTGTTGGGTTTATTGTGCTGTTGTGGTGATTATACATGCATGAACTGAAACAAATGTTGCTTACACTGTTCGTAACAGCTTTCTGTGAATGTTATAGAGGAAAGCCATCTCTGATGCATTGACATTACAGTGCTGCAATTCATAGCCAGTGGTCTGAGGACCATTGCATAGAACTGTGGATATAAATAGATAACAGATTAAATATGAATTTGAGCTTTTGCTGGCTGCTACACAAGCATTCCCCACACACTGCCTGCACAGTAGAGAAACACAGAACACAACATAAACATTTGCAGATGATCTCCAGCATCCAGATGTGTGCAAACCCACAGAAAACATGGTGTAAATGATGAAGCATGTCTCAGCCAGCTTCAGGTCATCCACAAACCATGAGCTCTCAGCCAGAGAGAGGCAGGTGCCAGCTCTGCCGGAGAGGCCTGCCAGATCACAGTGTTTGACTGTTGGGAGCTGTAGAAAATCTGCCAGATATAGGCTCGCTCCATGTCACACACACATACACACACAGCGTTGTCACACACACACACACACACACACACACTTATTATCTTCCAAAGTGAGGATTGGATCCGTAGCACATCTAAGCCAGAGGGATAAATCCTGCTCAGTTAGCATAGACGCAGTCAGAGTTAACTGCAGATAGAGAAAGTGGCTGATTAGAATTAAATAGCAGTGTGTTATTTTGACCGGGTTCCAGCAGACTTATTGCTGTTACTTAAGTTTATAACCCAAGACTTTTAATAGGCTACTCTGTATCATTCACCACTGCAACTTTACATGTCTTTTTTTTTTTTTTTCACCGTGGCTCATCTCCAAGAGCTGTAACTTTCCCCTTTAACACCCCCAAGTAATTATGTGTACACTGTGTCTGTAGTGACTATCGATACGTGGCGGCAGCGCTGGCGGTAATGCGGAACGTCACTCAGCAGATCAACGAGAGGAAGAGGAGGCTGGAAAACATAGACAAGATAGCCCAGTGGCAGGCGTCGGTTCTGGACTGGGAGGTATGTGTATGCATTGATTGTGGAGTAATTGCAAAGCATCTGATGTCCACCGATGTTGTTTTATTGGCAAAATCTGGTCGGATCTGTTTCGTCCATCTGTTCAGTACCAGTCTATGCCCAGAGACAGAAAACTTTAGTTTTGCTCCATTTATCTGACACCCAATTTTAGACAGTTTCACACAACCTACTTTGGGAAAAAAAACATCTCACATGTAATTTGGGAGAGGATGCATCATGCTTTTCAAGCTTTTTTCTTTCCTTTAAAGGTGTAGTTTGTTTTTATTTGTTTGAAGAGGGGTTGTATGCGGCATTTCTCAATCGCAAGTGTATTACCCACAGGGGATCATGGTCAGCGCAGGCACTTTGTTAAACATTGTTTACAGAGCCAGATCAGAAGTAAATCCATCAGTACCTACAGATGGGACAGCTTTACCATGTAATGTATTGAATTACAACAAACCCAAACAAAAACACTATTCTCGTTTAAAAGCACACCATATTTGGGAATTTTTTCAGAAATTGCTGTCAGAGGCCCTTTTCGTTTTTGCCCTATTCTCAGATGTGGTATCTAGGTTCTGCCACCTGCAGTGCACTCATCACCTTATTGGCTCTGCAGGCTTCAAAAGAGGCAAAAGTACAACAAAACTAAAGAATAAGGGATTCTGACAGCACTGATGACATGCCATTTACTGTTGTCACTAGTGGATATCTATGCGCTGGAGTTTAAAGAGTAATAGGACGACTTCACAAACTGTTTCCAGTTCTGTGGTAAATGAAGAGCAGGAAAGATCGAAAGTTACCTGGTGGTGCTGCAAACGCCTTCCTGTCACAACAGTCTTTTTAGAACCTCTCAGGATCAGAGCATACCAGCAAATCACATACAGCTGCAGTCTGCATCACTAAATTAGCCAGATTTCCCTGCTGCACCATGGGCTGGTTTGAACCATCTTTGTTCAATATTCAGGAGTTCAATCAGAAAAAAACAGAAGATGCTTCTCCAGAGTGTGACAGTGCCAACTGTTCTTCACATGAATGTCTGGGTCTAGGATGAAGAAACAAAAGGGAAGAGACTCAATAAACAACACTAAACACTCAAGTGACTTACACATCATAGACCTAATTATTAGTTTGGTACACTTCAGGCAGAAGAACGCCAAAGTGCCAGCTCTGAGAAGAGTTCAAATATAAGAAATGTAAAGTACTGAAGAATTTCTTAATGGAGCCTACGATTACACCAGGAATAGTGTTTTGGTTGAAGTTTGATAAAATTTGCTTAAATGCTAGGTAGAGCTAGTGTGGTTGATTGGCTAGGTTCTGGTCTGATGCTGCTGCTGCTTTATCAAAAAAAAAAAAAAAAAAAGAATAAAGGCCAAGCTGACCGGGATCTCCTGTGAAAAAAAAAACACTTACTATTGACAAGTACAATATAAACTCACTTGGAATAAAAATATCCTTTCAGTATTTGTCTTATAAAAAGGCTAAACTGTATCTTCACATGAATGTCTGGGTCTAGGATGAAGAAACAAAAGGGAAAAGACTCAATAAACAACACTGAACACTCAATGAAGCAATCACTGAAGTGATATGTATTATGTAGAAACATGATATTTATTATTACAGAACCTTTTGAATTCTTAACATCACTCTACCAACTGAATAGATGTTTTTATTTTCAAATGTTTAGATCCAAGCACTTCTCTTAATATTCATAATAGGATTTTCTTCAGATTTGAAAGGAAGGTCTGGTTACTCTCTGGAGGATTATAAGAGACAGATTTGAAGAATGACAATCACAATAAAATAAGTATGGGGATAAGATTTTTAAAAAAGTGGATCCTACTTGCAGCTTAATGGCTTTTTTTTTTTGAACAGCTGTATGTCCCAGCTGATAAAGTAGGCTTTTTGTTTCCACCAGATGACATCGCAGTAGCACCATCAGGATTAACCTCTCAAACTTAACACAAAAATCACTGTTACCTGTTTTGACAGGTTGATAACTTTGAACTTCAACAAGCAAACTGACTCAACAGCATGCGTGGAAGGAGCTATTATAAGCTTTTCAGCTTTTGGAAGCAGCTTGAACACGTAGTTGCATCCATGTTTATGTTCTTTATTTACACACTGCATTTCTGTATTGTATGTGTGCGTGTTTGTGTGTCTAGGGAGATGATATCTTGGACAGGAGCTCAGAACTCATCTACACTGGGGAGTTGTCATGGATCTATCAGCCGTATGGACGCAGCCAGCAGCGAGTCTTCTTCCTCTTTGATCACCAGCTGGTTCTCTGTAAGAAGGTAGGCTTTCTCTCTCTCTCTTGTTCTCTCCTCTCTCTTTGTTCCCTTTCTTGCCTTTTTTCTAAGAGCATTGTTGGCTGAAAAACAAGCTGATAAGCTAAAACACACCCTCAGTCTGTGCTCTTAAAAGTTGTGTATCACATGGCTGGTGACTGAGGTACTTTAAGACAATGTGACTTCATCAACCTCACTGGTGAGCTGCAAAAGGATTATGTAATGCTGTATGAGACGCACCAGCCCTCTGTGAAGATGCGCTCAAATCTTCTGCACCTTTTACAAAATGGAGCTTTGGTACTTTGGGCTCTAATGCACTGAGGCTGTGCTCTCCTGTCAGATGGATGTTCATGCTTGGTTAGACTCTATAACACATGCACACAGAGACACTGCCACAAACGCAGACAGACACTCACGAATACACGCACACGGGGGCTGAATAACTGCGTCATCCCACGAATGCATGTGTACACAAGTAGGAACAACGATTTAAACCATTAAACAGACAAACAAAGCCCTATAGGTCGGTGATTTTCTGTTTTTCTATTCTCCGTCTCTCTCTCTCATCTCTGGCACCAAAAATGAACTCAAGTATTCCTGACAGTCACCATGTTTGTAAGCTGATCTCATCAGCTTAATTAATTCTGCTTCAAGACACACTGAATTATAAAACCCAGTCTTTGCTCTACACTTCCTCATCCTCATCTCGAACATGTGTAATGGCAGCCCTCAGGGTGATGTGACAAACACGCTGCGTGTTGTCCTCCATCTTTTCTTCCTATCTCCTTATCAGCACACAGATGCACATTTGTCCATGCATGCTTACAAAAAGATGCCGCCCTTATTTTTACATCTTACCTTCGTCAACCTCAAAGTGATTGTGAGTTGGTCCTGAGGCTATGGATAAATATATTTATATATATATATTCTCCTGGAAATTGCAAAGTCCTCATAGATTAAGGTTATTTTTGGTTGTTGCACGGCTGCAGAAATGGAAGAATCAATCAGTGTTTCAGTTGGAAAATAATTGATGTGTGAATATTTTGACGACCGATTTATCAATTGTCTTTCCTTTTTAGCAAAATGCCAAACACTCTTTGATTTCAGCTTCTGCAGAGAGAGAATTTAATGCCTTTTTGTCTTGTGTGAGGGTAAATGAAAGTACTCTGGTTTTTGAGGTGTTGATGGGTGAAACTGTCAGACAGAAGATGTTATCTTGGCTTGTGAGAAACTTTGAGATTTCGTCACTTTTTCTATTCTTCAGACCAAAGGTGTCTTATTCAAGAAAACAGTTTAAGTTTTGTTAACAAGCATTAAAAATGAATGTGATGTGCTGCTCTGTGGTGAGAGAGTTGAAGACTTTAAATCAAAGATCCGCAGGTTTTTGAATTTTATGAGGTCATGTCAGATAACTTATGAATGAATGAGTCAAGTCAAATATTGGTGGATTTACAATTCTTCTTTTACCACCTTGTCAAAAAACGTTCACACTTCTATTTTGTTGTAATGACTGTTATTTACACACTCATATATTTGCAGCCCAATATGTGCTGAGTCAGTTCAAATCACTCCTCATTTGCAGTGAACTGATTTACTAGCTACCATTTTATTAGCTCATTCTAATCTTGAGTGTGTCAATTTATCTGTTTGGAGCCTAAAAATGTCCATGAGATGAATACAGTGCAAAGCTTTTAAAACTCTGACAGGATGGTACAAAATGATGTTAAGAAAGTGCGACTGTCCAAACGTTTACATGTAGTTAAATCACAGCTGTTCAGGGGGTTTATTTCAGACACAATGCCTGTCTTTGATATCAAAGTAAGGCTGTGTCAACATGACAGAATGAACAAATGCAGAAATTAGAGATGCACCAATCCAATTTTGTCTGATCAAATTCAATACCGATACTTGAGCTGAGCGTATTGGCCGATATCCGATACCGATCCAATACTACTGTTAAAATAATAATCTGTTTACCTTGCCCTTGGAGTGAAGGCATCAGGCTTGACATTAGCCTTATTAAAAAAAAAGGGTTTAGCAACAAATTAACACAGATATAAATTTACTTAATATTATTTATTAACAAAAAAAAAATTGCACATTAGCACACAGCAAAAAAAAGTAAGACTTCCCTGTAAACATTTAGTGCAAAGATAGATAGATAGATAGATAGATAGATAGATAGATAGATAGATAGATAGATAGATAGATAGATAGATAGAGCAAACAGAATCACTGTGTTGTTGTGTATGATATTAATTAAAAGACTAAAAGACTGATTGGAACGCTTGATCGGCATCATTCATCAGATGTCCGATCCAGTTAATTTGTCAATATCGGAGCCAATATCCGATTCAAATATGGAATTTGCGCATCGCTAGCAGAAATCCACAATCTCAAAAGAATACATTCATATAGGCCTACCTGCAATATTAGTTATAAAGTGTTTAAATAACTTAACTTGGATCTCAATCTCTTGTATGATACTCAAACATACATAGGGGTTGATCAACTGGTGATGAAATAATGACTAAAATTATGGAAATAAACAGTTGAAAATATGGAAAAACCACAGTCAGAGTTTATCACTGTGTTTCTGTGAGGTTGTGCCTTTGATCGCATACATGAACAGAAAACCTTATGAGTGTCCTTTTTTTGTTGAACTAGCGCTTTCTATATTTTGTGGTAGCAAGTGCCAAGCAGATTTGTTGTGAAATATTGCATTCTGCTATGTGTGTGGAAGGTGTTTGTATGTTTGGGCAGCAGATGGAAAGGGTTGCATAAGACAGACTCTCAGGATAACAGGGGAGGGTTGCTTGTTGACACCTCTATGGTTCAGCACACACACACACACACGCACGCATGCACGTACGCACATTAACAGACATCTTTCCCGCTCTTCCGCAGGACCTGATACGTCGGGACATTCTGTACTATAAGGGACGCATCGACATGGACCGCTATGAGGTGCGGGACGCCATTGATGGGCGTGACGATGACTTCAACGTCAGCGTGAAGAATGCATTTAAATTGTGCAACAAAGACAGCGAGGAGATCCACATCTTCCTGGCCAAGAAGCCAGAGGAGAAGATTCGCTGGCTCAGGGCCTTCCATGAGGAGAGGAAGATGGTGCAGGAGGATGAGAAAATCGGTTAGTCACGCACCTCCCTGTTTGGAAAGCACCCGCTTCATTGACAATGGCCAACAGAGCTTCTGCTACATGTGCTTGCTGTTTGCCTCATGGAGACTTATTTAGTACAAAAATGGATTCCCTTGCTTGTGTAAATGAAGGAAAAATCAAAGTTATGTGAGGCTGACAATTAAGTTTAAGCTTTGATTGGCAGGGTCATGCTCAAAATGTTGTCAAGGAAGCATCAGAGGACACTTCTTTGTATGATTAAGCTTTTGTACTTAATATATATTAAGGTGACTATATTCTGAATCCCCAAAAAGAGGACACTAATACGGACGGCAGAGTCGAAGAGTCGCGCATAGTAAATTTTGAGAGTTTTTCAGGTCGGGTCGTGTTTTTTTTACATGCTTCCAACTCAGTTAGTCCACACTACACAAACTCAACACTTCCACACAAAATCCCAGACATTTTAAGGATTTTATAAACTCCCCCAGACAAGGCCAGAAAGCCCCCCAAAAAGAGGGCAGGTCTGGGTAAAAAAGGACGTATGGTCACTCTAATATATATCCTAAGTCATTCTTGATTAACGGTTTTCAATGCTAAGTATGTCATTGTTAGATTCTTACCTTACAAGTTAACGTTTGATACCACATGAAAACAAGTATATTCATACTTTGTTTGAAAGCTATATACAGCTAATCCTGTAGGGGTGTGATCAGCTTGTATTCCTGGCCAGATACACAACCCCCTAACCCTAAATACAAGCTGATGTTAGCATTAGCATTAGTTATTATTGTCGCGTTTACATGTGATGTTGAAGTCTTGAATTTTGCTAGTTTTGGCAACTGTTTACGCTTTCATGAAAGCCAAGCTTAACTCAGTCCACTTAGTCATTCTAGTGCAGATGCTCCTTGTGGAAGCCATTTTATTGCTGTGAAGGTAATATGGATGAGCTAATCAATTTTGAGGGCTTATAGATAACCGTATTGAATAAACACATTGACCGGCCGACTGGCAGATACATCCTTTAGGCAGCATTATCTACCCGCGGCATTAGTGTCAAAATATCTCAAGCAGTGCTGAAAATGTGCCGGATTGACGTTGTTTCTTGTTGTTTAGGTTTTGAGATCTCTGAGTACCAGAAGCGACAGGCGGCTATGACAGTGAGAAAGGTGACCAAACAGAAAGGTGAGGCAACAAGAAGATATCAGGTGATTTTCCTTTTCTTTTCCTCGCTGGTGTGCTCTGTCTTCTCATCGCTGTTTACTCTTCCTTTAACCTGCTCTCTTTTTTTACTTTCTACACCTTTTTTGAAACATGCTTCTTTGTTTACAAATGGACATAGACTATCTGTGTACTTAGTAAGCGATAAAATTGAAGTGGATTCATGTTGTCACACTATAGTAGTTTCACTATTTTCGCTTTAAGATAATTGTCTGTTAGTCTGCACATGAGCTTGACATGAGGATGAGTTTTAAGGCAGCTGTTAAGCATCAATGAAAAGACAGAGGGCTGTTTGCATGAAGTATTGAGTTTAAAGGGAGATACCAGCCCTGCTGACATGTGGGTCTTGTTTCACGCTTGTCTTGGAAAAAAATATTACCTCAGACACCTGTTTGCATTTTTTCCCCTACTGAGTTAGCCTAGTTGTTGGCTCTTATTACTTTTACATCCAGGTGATTAAATCAAAAACTAAAAAACAAACTTTCTGTTGATATGTTCTTCTAATAGAAGGTTAATCCGCCTTTACGTTTTTTAAATTGGTTAAGTTTGTGATATATTCAGTTAACGCTGTTTAAGTCTCTCCAACAGCAACTATCTCAGTAACAGGAAAACATGTCAAGCGAGTTATTCAAGGCTTTTTTTTTCTTAGCTAAGCATCTGTCAGAGGACCCACATGTCTAAACTGCTGGCATCACCCTTTAAGATTTAGCTGTTTTAGTGCCAGGCTAGATGTTTGTACATTTACCATTACTGATGTTCTTGCTATTGCCAGATTCACGATAAGCATGACCATCCATTAAAGTATTAATTAACCAATATCCACTGCTGGAATGTTCTCTCTGACGTTAGGTTCCCTGTAGATGTCTGTCAGAAGTTTATGTTGTGTGTTTCTAAGTGCTGTATGTGTACATGGCTGGCACAAGGTGAAGTACTCTCTTGAATTTCAGATTCATTTATAGATTTCATCTTGAGAAAGAGGGCCATGTTGTATGGACATGGTTTGAAAATGATAAAGGTATATGCATTAGAGTTCTCCTTAGAGCTAGCACAATAAGATGCCATGGCAACTGCTAAGCAGCATTGGGAGGTGTTCTGATTAACATTGGAGCATGCAGTCACTGTCCAATCTGTTTACAAGCATTATCTTGACTTTCCAAGATAAACAGGCCCCACTAACACAAAGAGATCGAACCCTTTTAACTGCAAAAACAGTTTTGGGCTAAATACCCGTAACAAAAAGACACTGTTTCTCATCTTTTGTTTTCCTTTCTGAGATGCCATGGCAACTTTTGAATATCTCATCTCCAAATATTGATTGTATCTAATTTTTAACTGCACTAGCTTAGTTGTGATGCTTGTAGACTGTAGCTTAATGACATTGTAGACTGTAGTTTAAATGCATATTAACAGCTTTTTGTTGGCTCTATTTTTGCCACTCTTGTGTTCTCAAGTGTTCGGGGGTGCTATTCAAACAAATGTGCTGTCTACAAACATGGAGGAACAGTGTCTCCCCGTCAAAGTGCCTGGTTTCATCCCCGTATCAGATACAATCTGTCGGTTCTCTTGTTTGCCTGCGACAGAGTTTGATTGAATAGCACCTAAAGTCTCCCTTGTGTCATTGCTAGAGCTGAATCTGACCTCTCTCACGATTCAGCTGTCATCATATGATCACACTGTATCATATCGCAGGTTTAATATGCAGGAATGTTTACAGTGAAAGCTCATCTGTACGTCTGTGTGCCTGTTTTCTTTGGAAGCATGACTCGATGTTGTGTTGTTGTGTCTGTTTCCGATCCATTACTGATGATGTTTCCTCTTTATTATCCACCTCCTTTCTTTTTCTCTATCGCTTTGCGCCCTGCAACGCCTCCTTGAACCCCCACCCTCACCCCTCCCCACTTCTTGCTCTATTTGCACCTGCCTTCTTAGGTGTAAACAGGTGCACACCCCCCTCATACCCGCCCCCCCAGGACCCCCTCTCTGCGGGGCAGTATGAGGTAACGGAGGACATGGCACAAGGAGAGGTTTTTGAATTCAGTCAATCCAAAAGAGGCCAGGCTCCTTTCTGGCAGAATTTTAGTAGATTAGCTCCATTTAAGAAATAGAGATTCACAGACTTTTCTGAAGGACCAGCTATTTTTCTTAGAAGCACTAAACACTGGATGATCATGTCTCATGATGAAGAAAAAAAACAACAACAAAAAAAAAACACACTCACACAAGAGACTTCAAAGGACCAATGTTAATACAAAGTGTGATTGGAAGCAGCAAGAGGACTGAACACTTGAAGAATTGCGGAAAAATAAGACTTTACAATTCATATATGTTAGCGTTCTTAGTTATCATGCTTCTCCAGCTGACTCGTCTGTCATGAACTTTCCCTCGGATTCTGCATTTTCACACCATCTGAATGTCCTGGAGTCATTGAGATTGTTATATTATTTCATTTTAAATCCATGATCCGTTTAGAAACACAAGGCCAAGCCAGGGCATTCCTAGTCGTATGATTGTTTTTCCAAAAAGCTGGGTTCTTGCTGTGCTGCTATGTGAGATTGCTCGCTGCATTCTTCTGAATGTGTGATCAAACAATGACGGGCCTCGACTACCGGCTGCGGCGTCTGAAGGACCTGCAAAGCTCGACTGTCAGCATCTTCTCTGAGTTAGATCCATTCCGCCACCGATCACAGACTGCTCAGGCAATCTCCGCTCCACTGATGTCTGCGTCTGGATCTCACTCTCTCAACGCTCCACACTCCTCTCTTGCTGTTTGCATATAGTAGCCCTCTCTCCACTGAGTGTGACGCTCACAGAGTTTCCCTCTCTCTCCCGCATCCCTCTCTCGTCCTCTCTATCTCTCTACCCACCTGCTCAGCCCTCTATGAGTCAGTGGCTCTCAGAGAAAGAGCTTCATTCTTTTGGAAAGCTGCCATTGGCCATGATATGATGGGTCAGGGAACAAATCAATATTTGGAACATCAATAGAATATTTACATCCTTTCACCAACCACTTTTGACAGGGTATTCATAACCAATCACGCCGGGGGCTGCTGGGTTGAGTTTGACGGAGAGCTAGCCGTTCAGATGAAACAGCTGGGAACAGGAGATAGGCAGGCCGCGCTCCACCTGCCTTGTGTCAGAGCCCCTCCCCATTCTCCCCAGAGACCACCCCTGTAGCACTGTGCTGGCAGCTCACTGGGTGTTTGGAAAGAGCACAGCCTACCTCCGGAAAGAGCTAAAAGTGAAGCTGATGAATTGGCCAAGGTGTAAAATAATATCTCTTTCTCACGTCAGCAGTAAAAAAAAAAAAAAAAAAACTTCATCGGTTGACTTGATTATTTTTTACTGCTCACATTGTAAAAAGCACATATTCAGTCAGAAGTGTACTTTTTCTGCACTTGGTTTGGAAAGATGCAAACATGCAATGCCACCGGTGAGAAATGAGAAAGCATCAGCACAAGGGGAAATGGTTGGACCAAAAAAAAAAGGGCAGGTATTGTAAATGAACAGGACAAGCATATCAGCTGGTTGTGAGCCAGAAGTGGAAGAGAGAGAGATCACTGCAGAAGTGTGAGCCAATACCACAGGGAGGCAGAAAAGTGAATTTAATCTGTAGCATGCAGGTGTCCTCTGATAGATTCATGCGTCTCTGAAGACTGCGGCTCCGAATCTTGGCTCCTCTCCCCCCCGTCACTTTGTTTTCCAAATCTGATCCAGTGTTCTGGCGGTTAGCTCGGCACTGTTAAGTGATTTGCGAAGGACTTAGGCCTGGTCAGATTGATTTTTTTCATCAACACGGTCCCCAAAGCTGCTGTGAGCAAGATCCTGTGCTACTACAAGAGAGGGGTTAGAAAAGAGAAGATCTGCAGAGGAGGAAGTACCAAATTCAAATCACATCATGAAGGTGTTATTTTTTCTTTTTTTTTTTCTGCAGTTGGAATGTAAGTGACACATCGCTCTTTAGTTAGTGTTCATATTTTGACCTCAGATAAAGATGATGACATTTTGTGTTAAATTATATCACCTGATGGACAGTGCATATACAGTATGACAACTTGTGCAATGTGATATATCATTATATATCTTCACTATTCACTACAACGTGATATGAAAGAGTTATATATCGTTCTATGTCATTTGTTTGCCTTCTTATAGGCCTTATAACCTATTGGAAAAAAAGACCTTAGACTTGCTTTGTATGTTGTGTAATTTATGTTTTGTTTCAGTAAAGAAAGTTGAGAAAAGGGTGAGTTGGCTGCTGGTGTCTGTAGAGATGGCTCCCAGTGAGATTGTTTTGGACGATAACTCTCTGGTCTGGCACAGCAAAAAGAAATGGTTCCCAGGCCAAGATAACCTCAGGTCCCGTGCTGCACCCACTCCCAATCCCTCACCCCCATCAGTCCCCCTACTCTTTAACTACCAGTACCAACCTACAGACACAAGCATGCAGGCAAACACACACAAACACAAACACACACACAGACGCATGATCATACGCACTTGCTGGCCCGTTCTGCTGCGGAGAAGAGAGATGCTATCTAACAGTGCCTTCCAGCATTCCACTAGTGATTATCTATTCAGTTTCACAGGCAGATTTGAATTAGTCATGTATTTTCCCTTCAGTGTGGGACTCGCATCTCTCTCTTTCTTTCTTTCTCTCTCTCTTTCTGTCTCTCATACACACTGGGAATTCCTCCTTCACCAGTGCATGAGATCCACTCGGACAGAAACTTGGAGGTCAGGCCTCTATTCCATAAGAGTAGATACTGTGCTGTCTGACTGAAACACTTCAAAACACCTTTGTATGATTATATTCTCTCACACTCACATAGCCGTAATTTTATTGCACAAAAGAAGTTAATTCTAATTTTAAAGGTTTAGAGACTTACATAGAGTTCCTTTATTATCTATTTAACTTGCTGAAAGTTTCATTTGAGTATATAGTAGGAAACTGATTTTCATTAGTCAAGTTAGGTTTCACATTTGAAAGTATATTATTATCAGTGAATTGAAAAAAGAATCATCTATTTTACCTTTATCAGCTACACACTGTAAATAATGTAAAAAGGACAGATCATATATTTGGATATTGGTATTTTGCGTTGGAGACGAATGTTGTTCCAGTTCTAGCGTGCGGTAGACCTCAGTACCAGGTAAATGCATGCTTGTGGCATCCAATATTTTGCATGAGACTTAAGACAAATCTTAACAGATTGTTTAGTTTCATTTAACTTCCAATGGGGTTTTTATTTATTTTTTTTTTCAACAACACGGAACCATTCATTTGTGAACCCATGCCATCTCACTAAGGGGAGTTCTTTTCTCTGTCCACCTGTCTCCTGCTCACTGCTCATCACAGGTTGTAGCTTCTGTTTTTATTTATTGTCAAGCACGAGGGGAACATGTCCCCTCACGCTGTAGTAAAGACTGAACTGTTGATAGGTGAAATGAAAGGCACTGATGCTCTCTTTTGCCCAGATATAAATAGAAATTGAAGTGTATCATTATTTTGAATCTGTCTTTATTTACTTTGACTCCAAATTATCCTGTTGCTGTCAGAACTGCTGGTTATTATTTGAAAAAGAAAAAAAAAAACATAGAGGCAAAACGGGTATAAATTTTTCTATGACAATGGTGAACCAAAAAAGGATCTAGCACTGATCACGGGTGTTCGTGTATAGATTTATAGTCAAGCAGAAGAGCTGAATAAATGCAGAACCTCTCGGGAGGAGCTAAAAATAAACATAATCCTGAAGACGGCGCACACACGCTCACAGTACTTCATTTTAATTCATATCATGCTCTTGTTTCTACTTAAGAAATGATTCTTTGAAGTACAATAACTTGACAGTAGAAATTAATTCCTCACTTGTATTTATTGAATGCAGTATTAAGTAGATCCATTTTGGCCATCTTGTTAAAAAGATGTGTGTATATATATATATAATGCTTTTATTTTCTTATATAATTATCTTTCTGACCTTGTCCTGAGAGCTGAGAGGGCAACTTTCCTCTCTCACTTTCTCGCTCTCTCTTTTTCTCTCACTCTTTCCAGTCGTAAAACCAAGACAGCCAAGTTAGCAGAGCGTCACTCAGATGCATCAGAGGTTGCTCAGATTTACGTAATTCCTCTGGGCACAGGGTGTACATGAGCCGCTGAGCGCACTCACTCACATTTAGCATAGCAGCATCTTCAGTAGGAACTCCTTGCAGTTGGTTACGCGGTCTTGTGTTGTTTCAGAAAAGTCAGGGTACAACAGAGTCTTCAATGAGCCATATATCGATGTGGTGTTCACCGACAACAAGGTTAACAGAAGACTAACATCCCAATTTTGGAATCTGCTCATTGTATATTACCATCTAGTTTGAGGTCTGGATTTTTGCCTATCACAGAAAAATTATATCACAGTATTCATATCCTTTGTCACCATATGCAAACATTTGTCATTTTCTTTCTCGCTGGCCTTTGAGTTTGATTATTTGTTGTAGAAATGAAAAACCTGAAAAATAATGCCTATTCAATCCAGAAACTGTGAATGGGAGAGTGGAGATGTCAACTGTATGTACATTATATGTTTTGATGTAATCAGAAGCACTGGGAATATGTTGTACTTTGCTGTAAAAATAAATCCATATCTGATATAGCTGTACTTTTGTTGAAAATAAAACCTCTTCAGAACTGCGGGCCAAGGCGTTGATGCATGAGTTGGAGCACTGTGCTTGGTTTCCTGTCATGTCATGTGACATCATTTCCTGTTTGTAGGTTTGGATGTCCTTCAAGGGGGAGGATTTAAAGGCATACAATTACAAGATGATAATGTTATGAGGAGGGCGTTAGTGTTCAGCAAACTTCCAACTGCGAATTGTAGCCTCCAAAGAACCGCACTCACTTTGTAATCAATAAGTAATGAGACTGGTGTGATTCCATGCTCCCAGTTGGCCCTGCTGATATGCGCTGATCTCTCTGCTTCCTAACGTTTTGAAGTCGACAGATGTGAGGCAGTTTTTCAGCTAAGATCTAAGACATTCTGCCGCAAAGCAGACACTCTCTGTCTGACTGTCTCTCCACTGTCTGCCTCCATTACCGTGTCTGTAAAAGTGAAGTGTTAATAAATTCGATTATGTAATGTTACCTGTGAAAGAGCTAAAAGTGATGCAAGAGGTATTAACAGATGTCCAAACTTCCAAATAATGAGTCTCAATCCTGACAAGAACAATCAGCAGTGTTACTGTGGTCTCTAGTGGCCAACAATGGTGTTACAACTTCTCAAGAACATGGCAGAATTTTGTACAACATGGAGCCCCTCTCAGCAATGACATGGGCAGGGACGCAACAAGAACTGTAAGACCAATTTCAACCTTAAATAAAAACAAGTCACAATCTTTAAATATATAAATAAATAAAAGGGAGAATTGACAGCATTGCCATGGTACTTTGACCTCTAAAGGAGGTAAATGTCACACTCAGCGATTGGCTGTATAAACGTCGGTTTTGTTGTCCTTTCCTTGAGCATTGAGGTAACATTTAATAAAAAAAGGACTGGCCAAATGATTGGATGATAATGTTTACATCATATGAGTTCAGAGGTCTCATGCTTCAAATAGTTTCTCATGATAAGAGGAATGTCCAAACTGTCAATAGCAGGCTCCTTATTGGCCAAGGCGATGTTTCTTCGTATTGCTAGACGAGTCTGTGTCATCAGTGTTTTGGGGCAAACTGTAACAGAAACAAAGAAAAAATAATAAAGCTAAGTACAAATTCAGGATTTTAGGCAGTGCATAGTGAACAAAGTATAGCAACTGTCTCACCTCTTTCTTTGAGCAGCAGAACCAGAGCTTCATTCTGCTTTGTGGTTTTGTCAATGATCAGTGTGGGTAGATACACATCTGCCCCAAAGTCTATGAGAAGCTGGATGTACTCCACCCCACAGCCGTACCGCAGACATACCTCAAGAACCGTCTTTGGCTGCTTTATCCGTGCCAGCATCTTCTCATCTGTGCAGTTGTAGTTAGGGTTAGCCCCGTGGAGCAGAAGCAGTTTAAAGCAGCCCAGGTGTCCATAAACAGCTGAGATATAAAGAGGTCCCCTGCAGGCTGTTGCATTAGAGGCCCAATCAGGGACTTTGGGTTTGACGTCCACCTCAGCTCCGAAGCGCAGCAGCTCTCTGAGAATGTCCAGGTCTCCCTCCCGAGCTGCAGTCAGCACTGGGGAGCAGTTGTTGTACTGGCTGCCATTAGGATCGGCCCCGGCCTTCAGCAGGGCCACGACACAGTCGAAATGCTTCCCACTGACAGCTGTGAACAGAGGAGTCTGGGCCTTTACGTCCAAGCTGTCAACCTGGATTCAGACACAGCAGAACAACAATGTGATGTTACAAGAAAAAACACATTTTCTGCATAATGAATAAGCGAAAAAGTCAACAAACAAGTACATATTAACACCATTTACCCCATTGGTTTTTGCATTTACAACCAGAAAATGCAGAAAAAAAAAATTTCCTGGTTAATAATTTAAGCCCAAAATCCAATTCCTGTTTTGGTCTTAACGTAATAAATCTACGTTTAATTTTCTTACTCTTTGCACCCAATAACAAATACAGACCTGCAGAAAAATCAGGTCAACCTTAAGAGCAATTTTCATCATGCTGTGCAATTATCAAGTATACACAGGGCTTCATTTAAATGCTGACTGAATACCTGTTTGGAATAAAAGGAAGAAACCAATGAGCCAGGAAATAACGACATTTTGTGTTTGTAAGAGAGACTCGTAAATAATTAAAAATAAAACATTGTAATTTACTGAGAATTTATTTTACAATCACAGGGTGCCACTATTTATATTTTAAACTTCAGTATTATGACATGACTGTTAAAATAATGGTAGAAAACTAATCTGTTATCATCAATGCTGGTTTATAGATTCAATCTTTTTATCATCATTACAAGTTTTTAACTGTCAACCCTACTCAAGTTCTTCCCCTGCTTGACAAAGCCCATGAAACTAGACCAGAGTCTGCAGATTTTTTTTTTTTCATGTGCCTTGTAGAATGAAAAATAAAGACTGGTTTGAAAAGCAGTATCAGAATAATTTATGTCTAGTTCCCCTTACTGTTTGCATATTTTCTGCCCCCTTGTGTCCTGTACTTCCTGTACCCTGAGCTCCTCAATCACTATTTCCTTGCCGTTCTGGACTGAAAGTAAGAAATATTGACACAATCTTTGATCTGTAATTGAAATCATTATTGAAGTATGTAGTGACCTTTCTGGCTCACGTGTGGTGGTTGTATACAGCATATAATTGTAGTTATTAAATAGAAAACTTGAATTACATCCACCAGCAGCTTTACTGTCCCTCTGCAACTACTCTAAAGATCAATCTCACAATCCTTATCTGAAATCTATACAAACAAGCTCACTCTGTTTCTCACCTCTGCGCCGTGCTCTAACAACAGCTCCAAGCACCTCAGGTGTCCCAGAGCCGCAGCAGTGCGCAGGGGGGTTACTGGGACCCCCCACCCGCTTCGTGCATTGATAGACCTCCTGTAACTCTCCTGAGATAGCAGCTCTGCGAGCAGAGTCACATCGTCGCTGCTCACAGCGTTGTTCAAAGCCTGGCACTGCTCATTGTCTTCATCCTCCTCCTTAGGCTGCAGCAGAGAGAAGATCTTTGAAATGTCCATCAAACTCATGTTGACAGCTTGGCCCAGAACCATAATGTTTCCCCAGGCCTGTGCAAGTCAAAGCAAATCCATCTGCAGGGGCCTGAAAAAGAGAAAAAGATGAGAGCACAGCCAACCCTATTGCTGACATACTCTTAGCATTTTGGTTTGTTTTTGTTGGTCATGATTCTTGTATCCACATATTAAATTCATAACAGATACTCCTCTTCCATGACCACACAGGGTTATCATTTGACAGTACGGTTTGTTTACATGACAAATCTAATGGACAGAGAACAAATCCTTACTTAATATCCTTTATAGGCAGAGTAAATGTGACACACATGGCTTAAAAGGCATAAAAGGGTGCAGCTTTCCCCTTAAAGGTATTAGAAAGCACCAATACTAATGGTCCACTGAATTTACTAAACAGAATCAAAGGGATTCAGTCTGTGCCAAAAAACAGCCAACTGGAACTAACAGCATCAAGAAACTTACCTCCTCTAATCCCTTGGAGACTTCAGCAGAGAAGGTCGATTTCTAAAGTCCATGAAGAGTCACATGAAGAAAAAAAAGAGAGGATAGGTCCTCCAAGAGGTGTGTGATGCTCCCACAGTTGAGAAAAGTGTAGTAGGGTTTGGGTGTGTATGTGTAGGTGACTGTGTGTTGATAGACAGAGGGGGCTAGGGCTTCTTTCTGGGGGGTAGGGGGCTAATTTTAGGCCACAGATGGGCCAGGCAAACTTCCATTCTTGGAGAGTCCAGGCTTGAGTTTAAAATTAGAAAGGTGATACAAGTGTGACACTCTGGCACTGATTGGTGTGTGTGTGTGTGTGTGTGTGTGTGTGTGTGTGTGTGTGTGTGTGTGTGTGTGTGTGTGTGTGTGTGTGTGTGTGTGTGTGTGTGTGTGTGAGACTGTCTGTCCCTGTGTCAGGAATAAAAACAAACATGAAATGGACACGTCTGTGTTTCCCTCGAGCACAGCATGTTAGTATGTAAAAGCTTTCATTACAGAGGGAAAAAATAAAAACACAGGGACTGGCTGTAGGTTTGCTGTTTGTTCCCCATTCTGACCATGTTTCCCGATTCAAACAGAGGCTGCCATTTTGGAGTCAGCTGTGAGACTGTCAGAAGCTTCAGAGGAGCAGCCAGTCAGCTGTTCCTCTGCCAAACCCACCAATGTCTTTATTCTGTCCCCTGTTCAGAAGGCAAGCTGTAACACACCACACTCTCTCAGCAGATGGCACAGGGAGCACATTCCTGACATTGTGCTCATACATGAGGAAACTATTTATCCCAGCACACAGATATGGAGCAATTAATTCAGGTATCAAGTTATGTTTTTAATACAACAACCCTCGTTACCTAGGAAATCATAAAAAAACAAAAACAAAAAAAATCAGCACCATCACTGCAACTAAATATCAATGTGTTTTGTACCAATGTGTAGTCAATAAAACTAAGTATAACATTACTCTTTTTAAAAAAAGAATACCACCCCCCTTTTTTCATTTTTATGGTCTTTCATTGTGGATAATATATTATCCACATATAATAATATAGTATAATATTATATATACATATAATAATATAGTATAATATATACTCCATATATGATAAAATAATGTTAGATATACTTAATCTTGATAAATTCACCTATTATAGCAGCTACAGGCCAAGGATGAGTAATTCAAATGATAATGGAGTGATACAATATGAGGCTGATTTTAAATAAAATCAATCAAAATAAAACTGAAATTAAAATATTTTAGTAGGCCTACACTGCATAAAACTTTACCAGTGCATAGTTGGTTGTTGCATTGTAGAATTTGCTCAAGATTGTCTACAACAAGTTGAACACAGAGAAAATAGACATGTCATATTTTATGTTGTATATTATATTAAGAAGTCCTTCGTGGGTTTTGCATTGTGCTGGACTTTTTCTTATGGACACGTAATACACTTTCCTTTTCAACATGGATTGTAAATAAAAAGTTCTTTTACCGTGTACGAGCGTCCCCTGCCCTCGGCCACCACTAGATGGCGGTAGCTGTCTGCTAATGTCAGGGAGTGCAAACGTACTCGGCACAAAAAGAAGAGGGTGTGTAAACAGTTACGTGTGGAGGAAAGACATTTTTTTAACAAAGCCATTCATTTGTAGTTTCAAGTCACATTTTACTATCAAATACTTGGCAGTACTTTAACAATGGTCGTTTATAAATATCGAAAAAAAGGAGATGGACCGTTGCTCAGTTTACAGGCCACAGCACTTATAAAATGAGTGACGGTGGACCCACTCGACCCTCTCTGGCGTGTTGTCTCAAACAAAATGGAGGAAGAGGAGAATGAAGAGTTGAGTAAAAGACTGGTATTAGAGGGTGCGGGATAAACGTTACAGTCGGGGTCAAAGTCGGGGATGAGTCCAGACCCAGAGATCACTGAGTGTGTGACCCTCCTCTCCCGGTTTGTTCCGCACGAGCGAGAGAGCAAACCTCTCCCACTCTCACGTGTCAATGCTCCACAGACCGGCCCGTCCCGCCTTAAAACATTTCAATGTTGTTGACGCTCCAAACTTCCGAAGAGGACGTGAGGCGGGTCAGCAGACCCACTTATGTGACTCATTTATGCCATGTGGTCGTCATTATAACAAAAACGCTGCATTTCTCCGCTCACACGTGTTTTATCTTTTATGAAGGGCTGCCGGGGTGGAGCTCTGTGATCCCGCTGTCTACAGCAAGTGTGAGCAGAAACAGGCTTCTCTGGCCTTGAAAAGTTTTATGTGGGGAAAGAAGGAGACACAACTGCGGTACCAAACACTGAAGGGCAGACTAAACACTCAACCGACCTTTAAGGACGGAGAATATCACTCTCACACGAGCTACACTCACAGTATTGACAGCAACTACCTGACTGACAGTTTACCCCACTCTTTACATTGACTATTTACTGAATGATTACAATACAAAAGAGTGTGCACGATTGGGGAGTTTGTGAAAAATCTCCAAAAGCCCTTCGATGCCCCTCGCTGGATTTGGGAGGAACTACTTAGTGTAGATATGCAGGTCACAGCAACCTGGGGTTGCCTTAGCAACGACTAAGGAACGTGGAGTTGCCCTGGCAACAGATGAAATGAGGGGTTACCCTGACAAAAACGCTACAGGAACTCATTTAGCAAGCCCTTGCTGTCCTTTTTCAGACAGATAGCTGCAGACATGACAGGCACAGCACTAACACAATGAAAGGGAAAATGTTGTTGGGAAGTCAAACATATCCCTACCTCTTTATTTTGAAAAACAGTCTCATCCCAGTCATTTACCCAATAAACACTAATCCATATGCTTTAGGTGTCCTTGCTTTCTCCCAGTCAGCTGTGTTTATGTTCACACTGCTTCATAACAGAAATGGATGTCTAGCCTTCAAGTGTTAAAGAAAGAAATGCTAACAAGGTTATTACAAAACAGCCATTTATTTTCTTCACACTGTATTAAAGTTTAACACACAACACTACTCAGAGCAAAACAGTCTTTTTTCCTTCCAGTTTGTGGTAACTTAAACACTGTAAACTTTTATACAACACTGGGTTTTATCGGACTTTTTAATAAAGCCTGTTTGATTTTTATGTTGGCACAATAACACACAACAGCCGTAGAAGCACACATGCATTGCAAAAAATACACAGTACAGTACAATTTCTAAGCAAATGGACGAGTCAACATGAGCAAAAGTAAGCGGACATTTTTTGTCATGGTCCTTATAGTATAACAGTTCATGGTTAAAAGCTAGTGGGGCTACTACAGACGCCATAACACACCCAAAACACTGATAAACACTGATAAAAACAACTGAAATTTTGGACTTTAAATACATTAAACAGTTGAAGTAAGAAGGTACTAAGACAACTTGTTAAAGTGGGGGCGGTTAGTGGTAATTATCCTGAAGCAATGATCTGTTACTTAAGCCATATACTGAGATGTACATGGCTGATCTGAGATCAGTGTAATTGACCAGGTCCCTAAATACCCCCCTGTGGCTGAGGGGATAGTGGGATCTACTCATCTGGCTTCCTCTTGGGCTTCTTTGGGTTGCGGGAGCGGCTCTTGGCCTTGCACAGTGGGCAGATGGGAGCATTACGGTGGATCTGCTGGTGGCAGGACAGGCAAGCCTGGAGAGGAAAGCAGATATTTAGCAATCCAAAATATGTTCATGCTGCGTTTAAGAGACAGGCAAGCAGCTTTGTCCGGTTCTTTCTGAGTGTTCCGCCTGATTTTTATCATTTTACTCTTCATACTCTTCGGTGATGTCTGAGTTGATTTCCTACAGTTTTAATCAATATTCAACGTATAACAATCAAAATCAAATGTAAAAAGTAGTCATAAGGTCCTGCCTGATTAACTATGGTCTCATTTTGATTAAAAATGGCCGTTACTTTGTTTAGTCAATCCAACAACTATTCCAAGCAGCCCTTTCAGATCATCAGCGGAAATACCTTCATAGGTGGGGGTTGTTGTCTGAATGTGGCTGTCTGGCGTGCATCTTGCTTCCTGGACACCTGAAGCTGTTGTGCTGCTGCTGCGGCGGCAGCAAGGGATTCTGGGATGGCGGGCTCATGAGGCTCCTTCTGCCACTCCGCTTTCTGCTTCTCAAAGTAACTGTTCAAAGCAAAGAAAGAGAAAAACCTGGCTAGCTGTGATTCTTATTTAGAGTCTATGAATCATATCACAGTTGAGATTATCTCATCTACACTGTGTATCTAGAGATGTGGAGTGGCAAAACCAAATACAAAAGAGACTTAAATTGGAGAACATTGTAGCAAATCTCACACATCCTCTTTTTGTGTGCAACTTTGAGAAAAAGTACAGTTATTGTGAGTATTTGTCTCTCTGTGTGTGTGTGTGTGTGTGTGTGTGTGTGTGTGTGTGTGTGTGTGTGTGTGTGTGTGTGTGTGTGTGTGTGTGTGTGTGTGTGGGCAGGGGAGGGCTGGGAAAGAAATTTGGCCTTGGACTTTATGCCTGACTGGCCCATTTTCAAAAGTAAAAAAAAGTGATATCCCATTTCTTTACGCTCTCTGGTTCCTCTCAAAATAGGTTTGTAATAAAGCATTGACAGAACCTATTTAAATGGCTTTATTTCTTGTTATTATGATCCACAAAACCATCAAATATCAGGATTATAGGTAAAAATCACAATTCTTTTTTACCTCAGTTTCAAATACCATTTTTGTTTTATTCAAGTTAATATTTTGCCTTCAGTCTTCGGTATTTCTGGGCAGTGGAGTGCTCATTTGTATGCTGATAAATCACTCTTCAGACTACCTCAAAATGTCCTCAACACCCCACAGGCCTGTGATGTGTGACTTAATTTTCTGTGAGGTTGCTCCATTACACTTTGTAAAACAATTACAGTGGGCCCCATTACTGCTGGGTAAAATTACCCATGAATTACTTTGCTGGCAGCAGAGGTGTCGCGCAGATAGTTTTGACATCATCACCATCCTGATCACACAGACATCACCATAAATCTCTCTAAGTGATGAGATCTGTCTTTTTAGTCAAAGCGGCAAAGAACAAAAGTGATAAGCCTCAAACCTCGGAGTATCTCAGGGAACATCAAGGATCATGATACTGAGAAGGAAAGGAGAGACAGAACCATCTGGACAGAAATGAACTCATCATCTGAGCTTCCACACAGTGCACCGCCAAACTGACGAGCTAGCCTGCCAACAAGGCTGTCAGCGTGTAGAACAGCAGTACCCCAGCACACTTTCTCACAACTAAAGCTCTTTATGCAAAGAAAAATTCATTTTCAGCACATCAATCCCCAGAACCAACCAGAGCTGCACAATTCAATCTCTTCTGTATTTCCCAAGTGAATCTTCAAGAGAGAAAATGTCTAAAAATGAACAGAAAGTCAATTCTTGATGGTTGTACCAGTGAGTACTGGATCAACAAAGCCAGGACCACCACTGGGAAGTGTGTCTAAAATTTGGCTGCACAATGAGGAGAAGACACAGTAAAAATCAAGCCATTTTTTAACTCCATCTCTCAAGTCTGTATATTCATTTACGGTCTTAAAGTTCGGTCTAAATAGTCAACTGTCAACATGTACACTTGACAACACGAATGCTTCCCATTGCTCCGCTTCATACCCCTGGCCATAAATACACAACTCACTTATCACAAAAGCTTCAGGCCAGTGACACATTGTTCTGAGGTCAGACATCTGTGTCCTCTCCAGTCGCATGTACAAAAATAATCAAATCAAGACTCTAGACATCTAGCTTAACAGTGTTATCATTCAATTATGTCAGACCTCCATCAAAACAAACCGTCAAGTCCAAATATCACACTCAGCTGACTGATGTCAGACTACGACTCTGACTGCTGTGTCCCTATGATGCGCCTGCAATATTGTGAGTACCAGGGTTTTCAAAATTCTAATTTCACCACTAGGGCATCTTTGCCATTTTCTCAAGCCAATAAATCTGGAAAATCAGAGGAGCAAATCAGTCAGTTCTGATTTTTCTGAATATGCAAAAAAAAAAAAAAAAGACTTATCCAAGACCACCTGAAGAACACTTTTCAAATCATTAAGCCTTAAGCTAGTCAAATATCCAGCACATTACCGCAGTGAGACGTTTAAGATGTTAGATCCCTTAATGGGACTCTAATGTCTTAAGTGTTGATCAAGAAAGAACATAGCCAATTTTGACTTAAATTCAAGTTGGAGATTTAAATGCCAGAATCTAAAAGCCATTAGCCCTTCTGCATTTTTAAGGCACTTAAACAGCTCGTTCACCTTAATTACAACATTCATTTTCCATTTGCTCCCTCTACTCCCTGATAGTGAAGTTTCTCTTCTGTTGATTTAATTTGGTTTACAGGTATCTGCTTTTGAGGCTTTCTTATCACCTTATTTTAGTGGATGGACTTGTTTTGTGTTCAAAGTCTCAAATGTGTTATTTGAAAAACCCTTTTTTTTGTTCTTCAAAATATTCTTGCTCCAATTTGAGGTGATTTAAAGGTCTTTTGATTTGTTCTGCACATCAAAGCCATGACAGTCAGCTCACCATGTCAACCAATCAGACAATCATTCAGGTTCCTCAGACCACTGATGGCCATCAAACCACTAACAAGACACAGTAGAAAATTAACTGCTCAATACCAAACCATGTTAAACATTAGTTACCTATCTTACCTTTTCTTCGCTTCGACTCACGGTGTCTTAGGAAAAAGCTCCGGCATATTTTCTGCACTTCTCATTAAAAGAAAAAAAGATCTCAGACACCATGGTGATGAAGGCAAGTACAAAGCCACTTTCCCTGACATCCGAGAATCTGATTTCGGTGTCTGTTTTAAAACTTTCCAGCTAATCAGCAGCTGACCCAGCAACTCATGACCTCCAACTGTCCGTCATGTCAACAGCTGCCTTTAAAGGCTTCGCTCATGCTCCCGGATCAGCCACTCAGATGCTTCACTGCAGCAGTCTGTACTTTTCCTAACTACAAAAGCAGAATTTAATACTGCAATTAATCACTATGTTTACTACAGTGTTGCAACTGTATTTTAAACTGAAATCTTCTTAGCTGTCCTCTTTTGCTGATGCTCAAATGATGTTGCATTAACCTGAAATGTGAATGCAACTATCTTTTACTTCTGTTTTAATTCTGAAAATATCTCAGTATGTGCATACATAACAACATCTTTGTTTCTGGCAGAGGAGTATGAGAATGTAACTGAATCACTGGACTTTCATATTCAATTAATCTAAAATGAAATGAAGAAAAATGAATCATCTGTTTTCCCTTAGTGGATCAAAATATCTTATTGCTCCAAGCATGATTGTTTTATAGCCTAATTCAAAACGTTTAATTTTAAAACAACTACAAAATGAACCTTCTGACCCTGAATGTGCCTCTATTCTCGCTAATTGGCAGGAAAGCATCCCTGACCTTCTCAGTCATGGCTTAGTTATCCCTCTTTATTTACCTACAGTCACTGCCCTTATCAAAATACAGTAACATAAAAAGGCTGATCACTTGATTCGGTCGTCTTTTGCGTCAAAACTATTTCTGGACCATGTGCTCCCCCGACAAAGATTGTTTTTGTGCATCCCTTGCAAAAATATAACCTTCAAAATTTCATTAAAAACCACGTACTGGCGTTCTTCTCAGCCTGAACTCCACTGTTGTGCTTAGTCCACACTGTTGGTGCTGTAACTAATGTCTTTTTAGGATCATAAATGATACAACTGAGTACATGAGGTCTGCTACGAGGCTCCATTCTTGGATTTTTTTTCCTGGATTTTGTCAATCACATGAAGCTAAGGCCTTCAAATTAATCAAATTACCTTCGCTGCTCATATGTCATTGAGAGTCAGATTCATTTGAGCTTCGCACAGTACTCAGTTTCTCCCTGGTGGATGCTTGTTTTTAATTCTTGTGCAATTATAGAACACCACGGTTTACATTCTGCTCTCTAGTACTATGCCAATGCTCAGGAAGCCAAAAGGTCATCCACAGCTGTGATCACTCTTAGAGTCATGTTTATACAGACTAACCCAACTTTGACCGCTGAATATTGCAATGTAGTCCACCATCTGATAAGTTTTTACTACCATTTGACTATGGCGGTGATTGTCCTATTCCATTCATATGCATAGTAGTACCCGACCGATTTATCAGCGAGCTGATTAAATCGGCCAATTTTAGCCCATTTGAGACTAATCGGTAAGCTGTCAAAACTCGCCAATTTTCGCCGATATTTTCGGAAAAAAAATGCGGAGAATTTGATTCGGCTTCACTTCGAAAATGTTCCGCCATATGAAAAGTTCCCTGACTTATCCTGTGGATGGCGCAACAGTTGAAAACACTTTTCTGGTCCGAGTTTGATTCATGATAAATACGTGAAATATTACTGGGGTTAATGTTACTGAGAAGTGTTTGAAAGGCTCAAAAGCAGCCATTTGTTAAAAAAATAAGTAAATCTGTTGATATATTACTTAAATTTACAAAATTTTAAAACTTTAAAAACTAAAAAAAAAATTTCCTCCCTAATTATCCATATCGGCCCCAAAAAATCCATATCGGTCGGGCCCTAATGCATAGAACAAAAAACACATACGCACAGTGCATTGATGTCCAAAAAGAATGATACAGCACTTAACATGTGTTTATGGAACAAAAACTTTCATTTGTTGTCAGAAATATTATTGTAAATGTAAATGTGCACTAATCTGTACTGAAGTGCTTCTCTGTAAGAGACTTTTGTGCATGGATGTATCAGTTTTTGTGTGTATACTGACTCCAGAGAAAGCTTTTCCTCCTCCTCGTTCAGGTTCGGGAGCCTGTGTAGACCTAGTGTCATCCTGAGAGCATCAACATGCTCCTTCAGAGGTTTGTACTCATCATGTAGGCGGCGAGTTGTTTCAAGCAGTTTATTCAGGTCATTCTCCGACTGCTTGATGGTACTCTCCATCTAAAAGGAAAAGATTGGGTATTTCAATATTAGCATTTGTGGAATTACATGCTCAGCATAAGCAATTTGTGGGTGCACCACCCCAAGAAATTTTAACACTGAGAATCACACAGGTGCTTCAATTGCATAAGTACATTTGTGTTGCTGATCATACTCAGAGATTTCAGGAACATCTGAAGCACTCACTCACCACATTGATATCAGCATGGATAAGCCGAAGCTCCTCCACATGTGCCATTTTCTCTTGTAGGAGCAGATCCATTTCTTGTTTATACTCTTTAAGATGCTTCTCTTCAGACTCCAGAGCCTCAAACTCAACCTTGAGACGAGATTTGATTTTCTGCATCTGGATTGTCTTGTTCCTGCAGTCAGAGACCCAGACAAAAGGCACCAGCTGTCAGATTATTTCTCATCATGATGCAGATAAAAAAGGCAAGTTTTCTCACTAAAACATCTCTAAATCTTTTCCATCTGTACCGCTCTGCTTTGAATGTTGGTGAAGTCAGGATCAACTTTATACATGTTTGGCAATAGTGACATAAGGCGAGTAATCACACCAGCCGTAAAGTGATGTATTAAATAAATGAAGTAATGAAGCTTGTTAACCCGTTACACTGTCATAACAACAAACACCATCGGGGATTTTAATGACACACCGGTAAAGCTCACCAGCAAAGTAGCTAACTCACTAACGGAATTAATGAGCGCCGCACATCTGGCATTTTGTTAATACACATCTGGAAATTTCTTGCGCGTTTAATCTGAACATTTTGCTTAATTTAAGATTCTTTCACCCGCGATAAATCTCATCTGGAATGATTGTTTTTTCCATAACGTCAGAAACAACCCGAAATGCGACTAGCAAACGCCTCTTGGACAGGATTTGCAGCAGACCCGGCTAATTTGAGCTAGCTTACTAACAAAAGCGAAGCCAAGGGGCTCATCCGCGGTCAGCTAACGTTAGCTAAGATAACGTCTCTCTGTACGTGTCAAAACAGCTGACCACCACTCTTTTCCCTGCTCTTACCGGATTTCCAGGATGTTTTCTAATTTGCACATGATTTCTTGTTCGTCCGCCATGGTTTAATTGTCTTTTGTCGTGCAGTTGGCCAGCTCAGTCACCCCCAGGGCCACGGTGGTCTTCTTGTTGATAAAAACACAATAGCAGATGTGGACGAGCACGCGAGCACGCGCGCGCAATGTGAAACCGTGGCTACGTGTGAAGAGCTGTACCACGAGTTGTCTGACTCTGCTGCTACACTGCCCGTGATTAAACCACGAAGTAGGCACGTCCTGTAAAAGTTTAAACCAGTCTTTTCAGAGCTGTTCAAATGGCTCCACGTGGCAGAAACATTGTCGCTTTTTTGAAAACAAGCAACATCCTTCGCTGTAGACCTGTGAATGGTAAGAAGGAAAGGGGCAAAAACTAACCAAAACACAAAAAAACAACCGTCAAAGTCACAAGGTGAACTCAGGTATGCTGTGTTGACTCTGTGGAAAGAAGTTATCTAGTCTGCAAGGTGAAACACCGACCGGAGGAAACACACAAGTCGAGGATATTTTAAATTAAAATAGCCTAGATACATTTCTTAAATTACACAATTGTAAAACTAGCCCATTCATTGTGTTCTTGGTTCTAGGGGAGACCAGGGTTGGTTGTAGCATAGGTTAGTTGTAAGTTGCTCATTCAGGGCTTTACACTAACTTTTTTCACAAGGAGCACATGTGCTCCTAAGTTGAAAAAGTAAGGAGCACAAAAATACTTTAAATAATGTTTGTCTTATTGGACGACCTTAGTTCTATTGTTTGAAATCAATTTTAGGTATTTGGGTCACATGACATGGAAGCTATTTAAGGAAAACAGCCTTTTTTGAGAACGTCAAACGGTAATTTATTGATGGGCCCTTATTCAACACCCAATGTCGACAGCCAGGATGCTGAGTAGATTTTACGGCACTGCTGTTGCTATTACCTTTCATGGAGAGTGAGAAGACACTGGTAGATCCGCAGTAAATGTCAGTCGAATATCCAACCTAAAACCAACAAAACATTTGTTGCCTCAGCTAATATTTTTTTATGCGAACATGTGCCCCTAAATACATTCAACAATTCGCACACATCTATTTTTACAAATGTGAGTGAAATGGTCGCACTGTCGAGCCCTGCTTATTACCAACCAAACTCTGAGACCTTGTGTCATGTTTATATCACACAACTTGTACGATTCAGTGATTGAGAAGATCTTCCTCTGCCTGTTCCCTTTTTACTTGTTGGACGTAAAATAAAGGGGAGCACTATAATATTTGTAACCTCTGTTGTGTACCCTCACTGAACTAAATAATTGAATTATTTGTAGATTATTAACATTATGATGTTTTAGTCTGGTGTAAAGAATATTTCTATCTGTCCTTTTCTTTAACAGATACAAAATACCAAGGTGAGAAGACATTTGGGGATGTTAAAAGGTTTTGAGTATTTTGCATTCAGATTTTGATTAAATGTTTTAAGCCATTTTACAATAACACTTTTATTCAAAAGTGGAAGTTGATAGCTTTGACTAGAGCATAGTTTCAGCCCGCTAGCTAGCAAAAATCTTTGACAAGAAGTCAGGTGGGGATGGTTGTCTCCCTTCTGTATGAGCTACTTGTTTGTAAATGTTGCACATATGCCTTCTCTTAAGATCACCCATGTAGCCCAGGATACTTTTTATAATTTTTTGGCATGTTAATCATCAAATCTGTTAAGACAGAAAGTCGTCAAAGCAAGCATCTGTTCTGGTCCATATAGTCTCCAGTGCATTTAATATTTTTTTTTTTTTACAAAACATCTATAGATAGATAGGATAACCAACCCCATAAACCAACCCCATAAACTGATGGTTGTCACATGAGTAAGGGGTTAGTGTTACCTGCTTTTAAATCAGTAGACATGAACAGAAGAGCTATCCATGTCAACGCAGGAAAACAAGCTTTGTCTTGGGATGTTGTATTTTTAGTGTGTAATTCACTCAAGAGTAACAAATGTGTCAATCAAACATGGTCTCCCCCATAAAGTTAAGTATTTTAGACTGTTTTGGATATTTAGTTTAATGTGATAAAACAGAAAAAACTCAAGTACAATGAAAGTCACTAATGGCCAAGCGTAGCATATTTCTCGTGCTAGAAAACCGAATAAACTTGGGGACATAAATTTAAATCAAATAAATTTATTTAATTATTACAGAAGAATGCAAATGGGGAGTTTTTCAGTGTCCTCAAAAGTACCTCTGAAGTCCTGGCTGTACAGCCCTGTTAGCCCACCAAGAATGAGCTACACGCTATTTGAGCATTTAGCAACAGGCCAACGAAGCAAACACACCACCACACCAAACTAAAAATGACTGTTTTACAACATATGCTTAAAACATTAGCTGGAAGGATTATTAGATTAGCACAGTGTTCTGTTGCCTTCACAGCTACCAGAACATTGGGTGCTACAGGGTTAATGTCGATTTGCAGCTTTTTATAAACAAGGCTGTGAGACAGAGATCCTGTCCTGGTCCTCAGAGAGTGTGACACAGTCAAATCCATACGAATTTTAAGCAAAAACACTGTTCACAGAAGATGAAGCTTGCCTCTTTAAATGCCTTGGGCCTCGGTCTGCCCTTGGATTAACCAGAGAGAAATACTTGGGAATAATACAATGGTCCATTCTCATTCAGCATAATCCTTGTAGGTATTGCAAGCAGTTTCATATGACTCCGCAGCAAAAAGGCTACTACAAGCACCTCTCTGAAGAAGTGTTACGGCAAGAGATTAAAAAAATAAGAATGTCTACTGTAAGTAGCTCTTTTCATTTTTTTATATCGTCATTTTAGCTGTGTTTAAATGTAGTTGAAGTGGTTTTATTGATATTCATGCACCTGCTCTGTAATTTAAAGAGACAGGAAGAAAAGGCATCTATTCATGCTTGTAATCTCAGAGCAAAACACGAAGTTATCTTGCTCAGCTGCCAGCTCTTTTTTAACATGTCAGGTTTGTGTTCCTGGATTTATTATGTAATGTAAGATCATTTACACAAACAAAAACTGTACCAAAGCTAAGCTGTCTATTCTTGCTTTGATTAAACTTTATTGAGGGAATCTGTTCAGTGAGGCTTACTTCATGACATGACTGTTATTACTACAAATATTGTTATTGCTACCACTACTTTTATTATGGCTACTAATGGAGGCCTGTCTAACTTTTTTTGCTCTCAGAGGACTTAATCAAGAATGGAGGAAATACTTTCTCTTCTGTTCTGCTGTGTTACAAGTCTGTCTATACCAGCAGCTGTAGATGTGTGTGGATGGTTTGATACTAATATGCAAAATTACAACTATTTGAGTGTCATGTTGTCGACACAGGCTTTAATATTATTGCATCATGGAATGGACCCCATGTTATAAATTAAGTATGTTAAAATATACTGTGGGCTTCATTTTTTGATTGTAGTCCCCACCAACCTCTTGCGATTGGATGCTCCTGGTTGAACAGAAAAATGTAAGGAACACTCTTTTTGGTCATTTTGCTGTCAAAGAACCAACAACTTTAGCATTGTTTCAAAGAACAAACTAAATTATCACAGCTTTTTTCACCCAGTTGTTGCTCTGTATGTTCCTTGATGCTTCACCACTGACACAGATGAATGATTAGCATGGTTTTGTCCCTGCTATTTCTCAGTGTCACTGTTTTCTCTGACAGATAAATGTTCGCGTTACAACCATGGACGCTGAGCTGGAGTTTGCCATCCTGCCCAGCACGACTGGCAAACAGCTCTTTGACCAGGTACTACCATTGGATAACTATCAAACAGGGGCTTTGACAGACAAGTGTGTGATCCTGTTATTTATGTATGTTTAGATAGTGAAAACCATTGGCCTGAGGGAAACCTGGTTTTTCGGGCTCCAGTATCAGGACAGCAAAGGCTTCTCCACCTGGCTCAAGTTAAATAAAAGGGTAAGGAGAGCATTTGTGTGAACTTCAGACACCTGAGTTTACATGAAGATGCCATGGTTTTGTTAATGTCATTGTGTCATCCTGATGAGGCTAATTAGTACCTTTTTCCCTCATGCTGGCATCCGTTTGCTTTGTGACACTCATCCCAGGTGACGGCTCAAGATGTGAAGAGGGACAACCCATTGTTGATTAAATTCAGAGCTAAATTTTACCCTGAGGACGTCGCTGATGAGCTCATTCAGGAAACAACACAGCGCCTCTTCTTTCTGCAGGTTATGATGGGTCTACTTTTTTTAATCTCCTTATTAATTTACACGTATGACATGAGAGTAGATCCTGATTGGCTTGCAGATTTCCTGTTTATTTTTTTGCAATGTAAAGGTTGAATGTCCATCATCTTGTTGTAATTTACATCAATAGAGATTGGAAATAAACAATAAGAGGCAGTTAAACATCAAGAACTCTTCGAAAGTGGATATCACAGTCTCCTGAGAGTGCCCTGAAGTGCAATAATAAATAAGTAGTCTGAATGAAAACAAGATGCTGATCCTGCTTTAATAAGCAGCAGGGGTTTCACTGTGACTCACAGATCCTGTTAACCCTGTTTTGGTTTTACATAAGGGAGTATTTACACAAAAAAATGGATCCAGGTGCACAAAATGAACACCAGAACACAAAGGCTTTAACTCTGTGGCTCACTTTTCATCAACAATGTTTATATGGCCTTAAGATGTCAGAATCAAATAATAGGGAATTATGTGTAACAGCCAATTCTTAGAAGGTCTTTTTTCCACATTATAGGTTAAGGAGAGCATCTTAAATGACGACATCTACTGTCCTCCTGAGACCGCAGTGCTCTTGGCTTCATATGCAGTTCAGGTCAAACATGGCGACTACAGGAAAGACTACCATATCCCAGGATACCTTGCAAGAGAGAAGCTTCTGCCACAAAGGCACTCATCTCTGTGGATACCAGTGTTAACCAAAGTTCACCTTAATGCCACTTTGAGTCAGCTGAATTCTAACCATTGTGTCCTCTTCTCTGATAACACCAGGGTTTTGGAGCAGCACAAGCTGAATAAGAATCAGTGGGAGGAAAGGATCCAGGTGTGGCATCAAGAACACAAGGGAATGCTGAGGTAGCCCAACCTTAATACGAAAAGTAAGACTTGAGATGTTGTGGAGAGGTGTTCTGTAGCTCATTTCAATTGGTCTGTACCACAGAGAAGATGCCATGGTGGAGTACTTGAAGATAGCCCAGGATCTGGAGATGTACGGGGTCAACTACTTCAACATTAAAAACAAGAAAGGATCAGAGCTGTGGCTGGGAGTGGACGCGCTGGGGCTGAACATCTATGACAAAAAAGACAAGTAGGTCATTGTTTGAAAACATGAGTATGTCCTTTACTTCAGAGTGAAACAATGTGTATGTGTGTCCATGTGAGCGCCTTTATCTTATCTGAGTGGCACGACTGCAGGAAATCATGGATCAGCCAGTCAGATGATCAGCTGCTTCGGTTCAGACTGAAATATATCTTCTCCATTCAATTTTGTGCAGACAAACAAGAGAACAAAAAATGTCCTTGGAGATCTGAACTTTTCATAAAATGCAATGGCATACTGTAAGCCCTCACAAGTACTGGAAGGTAACTAGAAGTTAAAGTAAGAAATACTGATATCCATTTTCCCTGATGGAAGGATCACATTATTTTGTCCTTGACTTTTTCGTAGTTCCAACACCAGGTTGACATTTGGGGTTCGAAACCAGATGATTCTAGTTCAAACGTCTTATCATCATGATTCCTGGGTTGGACTCTCATGCTTCTCTGAGGGTTAACGAGAATAGACATTGGTGACTCTTTCAGACATATTTTGATACTTGCAAATCTCTGGCTGGAACTATTTTCTTCCCAATGGACCAAACTTCTAATGATGTCTTGAAATATTCTTTGAAAAAAACAGAATTTCTGATGGATTTTAAGGAATCTGGTCTCATTTGAAAATGATGTCTCCTGTTTCACCCAAGCATCCATTCTCAGTGTAAGTGTTCAGGAGGCTTCCAGATTCTACTTTATAGTTAGCCTCGTATTCTGGATGAGAACTGGTTGTTGTGTCACTTCTCACCGAAACACATAAACATCTAAAGTGTAAAAACAAAAAGCAAAAGAACTTTTGTGCTTAAGGAGAACTTTAACTTTTCGCCCAGTTGTGTAATCAGGCTAATATTTCCAGTACTTTGCACTGTGGTCTATGGCTAAATACCTAAAACCTATTACACATCCTCGGCCTCATTTGCTCTTTTTAGTGCTTATTAGCAAATATAGCCCTTCTAACAATTAAAGTAAGACTTATGAACATGGTTAATGTGTACTATGTGCATGCTACCACAGCATATCGCCCTTAGCATTCTGCTCATTCAGGTCAAATCACGGTGCTTTGCTCTTGTTTGACCTCCTGTCCCATTGGTTATCGGTTTTCTATCTGTGTATTATTAGCCTAAATGATGAATTATGCCAATGTTTTTCAGGATGACTCCAAAGATTGGATTCCCCTGGAGTGAGATCAGAAATATTTCCTTCAATGATAAGAAGTTCCTCATTAAACCTATCGACAGGAAAGCCCCGGTATGTACAAACTATTTATGGCCCTCAAAATGGATTTAATTAAGCAGCCGTAAATTCAACTTGAAGACCAGAAACATTATAAGTGTGATAATTTTATTGAAAATTTGCTGTGTATACTTTTACATTCATAAGCCAGACAAACTGGAAGCCTTTAGGGTGGATTAATGGTATGTTGTAACGGAGCTTATCTAAGTTAAATCAGTTTACGGTTGTTTGTGGATGGGATTAAATAGCTGCTCCCTCTCCAGTGCTTCAAGTCCAGTATATGAGTATTCATTTTAGCAGTAGGAACTTTTGTGAAAGAATTCTCACAGCTTCATTTAAAATGTTTGCAGGGCCTTTTTATATTTATTCACTGTGGGTTTCAGACAGATTTGAGACAGGAGGTGTGAGAGAATCCTGTAGTGTTGTTACTGGTGAAGTTACCAATTTTGAAAACGCATAAATTACAGCAAGTAGTAATGAGAGCAGCTGCTACTTGATCTTGTACACAAACAGGAATTTAGCCTCACACTTCTGTTTGGCTTCTGACAGCATGCACAGAATCAAGACGGGCGTCCAAGAGCTTAGAACAAATTTGTGAAATTCTCCCAAACAAAATAGTTTCTCCAGATCATCTAAACCCAAGCTTAACTGAAAGACAGCTAGGAGATGCGAATGATTTGTTCTGAATCAACAATCACTGATTGATTTTTGTATGTTAAAGGACTTTGTTTTTTACGTGCCTCGTCTTCGCATCAACAAACGTATCCTGTCCTTGTGTATGGGAAACCATGACCTGTACATGCGAAGACGTAAACCCGACACCATCGAGGTGCAGCAGATGAAGGCCCAAGCCAGAGAGGAGAAGAACAAGAGGCAGAAGGAAAAGTAAGGAAGATGAAACTAATGAAGCCTTATCTTTTTACAGTTTACAGTGTGTTCTCTCTGCTTTAAGAAAGAACTGTCAGGAGATAAAGTTTTTTTTTCAGATGTGTATTTATGCACAATTCTCCTGTCAGGGCTCTGCTTGAGAGTGAGAAAAAAAAGCGAGAAAACGCTGAGAGGGAAACAGAGAAGATTGCTCGTGAGACCATGGAGCTGATGGAGAGATTGAGACAGATTGAAGAGCAGACAAAGAGAGCTCAAGATGGTCTGGCAACTTTCTGAATACAAATGTTTCTCAACTTCAGTCTTGTTTTTCAGTAAAAGAACATTAAAAGACTTTGTGTATTGATATATTTGTGCTTTTGAGGATCCCTACACAACTTATGCTTTGTGTGCATATCTGGTTGGATGTGTTGCATGCTTGCATGTGTGTGTGTGTGTGTATTTCAGAGCTGGAGGAGCAAACTCGCAGAGCTCTTGAATTGGAGAAAGAGAGGAAAATTGCTCAGGAAGAGGCAGAGCGCCTGGACAAGGAACGCAGGGGTGCAATGGAAGCTAAAGCAGCTCTGCTTTACCAATCTGAATCCCAGATCAAGAGCCAGGAGAGTCTGGTAATAAATGCCGAACACAGATTCAATTTCTGTTGAATGGATTAAATTATATGGCGAATTTTAGTCATCCTTAAGACAGGTATAAACAACTTTTCAACAAGAGTTTACAGGAGTCTATTTACATATATTGATCAAATCTACCTCCAAGCTAAAAACAAAGCTGGGAGGGATTTTGGGAAGGTATTGATGTGATTAATACTGATTTAAATAATACAGATTTAGCCTGGTAGAATACTTCATATTTTTAACTGAATGAACGGAAAGACGATCATCCTGATCCATGACGCAGCATTTGAACATACCCTTGTATACACACACACACACTTCCTCTGACACACATGTGCACTCACAGACAGAGCACAATGACCTCAGATCAGGAGCACTCTTAACTCTCTCCCCATTGTGTGCGTGTGTGTATAGGCCACTGAGCTGGCAGAGCTTACCTCTAAGATCTCCCTGCTGGAAGATGCCAAGAAGAAAAAGGACGACGAGGCAAAGAGATGGCAGAAAAGGGTGAGAACTAATGAAAGAACCAGGAGAGATAAAGGATGAATCGGAAATGAGGAAAAAGCTGTGTCTGACACGACTAAGTGTTGGATCCTGGTAAAATAGAAGCAAGACATCAAAAACAGATAAATTTACTGTATCTGTAGACTTCAGAAATGACTGGATCCATTTAAATGCATTTTGACATTTAGAAGATTTAAACTCTTGCCTAAATTGAGGGGTCTGCTTTTCTCAACTCACATTTTGTCTTTCACTAGTACAGTAGTATAAACCTTTATTTTAGTGTTATTTTACTCATAGGAGACTTTTGGCCAACTCATGAGAAATAAAAATGTACTACCAAACATATCTTCAACATTTTTAACGTTAACAGTGAATTGTGTCATTTAAATTGATTTTAATAATTATTTATTTATTGAATTTCCCTTCAGGGATCAATAAAGTTTTTCCTCTTCTTCTTAAAAAATGATATACACAACGAGGTGAGACTCAAAGCACTTTGTGTCATGGTCATTAGTGTCTTATCAGATATGTTTACAGAGACGTTTATGCGCTTTGGCATGCCCAGTTTGTGCCATCGGTTTGCAGTCCATTGTGTAGGAAAAAGAACTTTAAGATCGATAATATTTTAAAGTGGTAAAAACACAGAAACGTTCACTTTGATCTCCAAAAACAATGCTTCACAGCAAGTCACATGTGTTGGCAGGCGATCGTGGTAGAGGCTGATTTGAGGCGGACCAAAGAGGTGCTGAAGACTAAAATCATGGGTGTCCACATCCAGGATTCTGTCCATCCTCATATGCATGAGCACGACGAGACAGACGAGACCAGTGCAGAAGCAAGTGCTGAACTGACTTCTCCAGGCTCGGTCAGAGATCGCAGTGAGGAGAAGAGGATAACAGAGGCCCAGAAGAACCAGAGACTGCAGAATAACCTGAAGGTAAGATTAAGTGTTAAACACTCAATCTCCAGTTTTGCTGTTCTCTTGCTGGCCTTTAGGTCAGAGGTCAGGTTCAGGGAGAGATTAATGTCGCAAGGTTTTGTCTTGAGATTTAGAGAGTGCCCCTGAATAAGATAAAACCTTCAGTTTCCTTACTTAGAGGTTCTAAGTTCAGTAAATGGTGTTCTCTAGAAACTTGGCACCACCCTAGCTGAACACTGAGACTCAGTGCGTCAGTGCCTTAATCTGGAGTTACTGTAATGGCTACTAGACCAGAGCTCAACAAAAGCAGATTGTATTAAATTCACATTCATTTTCTTAGGGTGCTTTTACTTCCCTTTTAGCCATGCTTTATCATCAGAGTAATATCAGTTTGACATCACAATCTCCATTTTTGTTTATGGACTGCTGTAAATGTTGAGTGAGGGACTATCATTGGCCCCAGAGGATTGCTTCTGCTCACTTTGGCGATCCCTTTGCGTTTCACCTGATGTCTATTTTGACTTCATGTCTAAACAGTTGTAAAACTGATTGCTTTGGAAAGCAGTTTGATGGCTTTATGGTTCAGGGTGGATAAATCTTTTCTCAAGTGCCACTCAACACTATAGGACCTTTGGGGTTCAAATAAAATCTCTTGAGAATATTAGGACACACTGTATATTGAGATGTTGCCATGCTCATTGGATTCAGCTTTTATAGATCGAGCTTCACTGTTCATCTGAGTTTTCATTAGCCCCATTACCAAGTCAAATTGAATGTTTTCAGCACTCTGGTATTTGACTGAATATCTGCAAAGCCAAAGGACTAAGATTTCAGCCCTAACCTTTAAATTCTGGGATGCAGACGTAATCAATTTAGGAAATGGGGAAATTATCGATTGCAAAACAGCAGCCTGATAACATTTTAAGTATAAGTGTGTTTGTGAGCTGACATTACGCATTTTTGCCCAAAGCACCACTGTGCCTAAGTGCAGCCTCATGGAGTCTCTTATTGTTGAATCATTGTCTTGTTTCCAGAGAATCAGTGGCTCTCAGTCACTGACTCTGGATGTATTTTGATGGTAATTTCTAAATTAACAGTTTAATTTAGAAACCATTAGGTTTAATAAGAAATATGAGATTTATGCGCTTACATGATGTGTATCTTTGTTATGCATATTTGTTCATTTTAGCTGCCTCCGGTTATTCTTTGTGGTCTGAAAAGCATAGTTTTGCTATTGCAGCGCTGTTAAGATTTTGAAAGAGTTTTGGTGCATTTGTTGCCATGGGTTCCTCCAGTCATGTACAGGTTTGAATTTAGCTTTAAAGATGGCAGCTTAATTGCTCCAAAAAAACTCAATTTTAACAAGAACTGAGTGCACTCCACTTAATTAAACATTTCTGCAGGTACATTATAATTTTGTTGATTACATGCTGGTCACAAATTTAATGCATACCATGTACTAGATAAAATAAATGATGTCTCTTTCTTGCTACCAAAACAAAATATGATGTTGAGAGAGGCTCAATTATGGTGGTCTTAATTATGGTGGACAATAGAGTGTCTTCAGATTGGGACTGAGGGGAGTACAGGGGTGAGAGGAGAGGGGCAAGGCCTCTGAATAGTCTCCCAAAGAGTCTAGGGAAAGAGTTTTTTATTCACTGTGTGTTTGTGTCCCCTTTCAGTTCCTGAGCAGTGAGCTGGCTGGAGCTATAGACGAGACCAAAAGGACCCTCAATGACCTGATCCACGCTGAGAATGTGAAGGCTGGCCGTGACAAGTACAAGACCCTGCGCATGATTCGTCAAGGCAACACCAAACAACGCATTGATGAATTCGAGTCCATGTGAGAGAGGCGACTAAAGGCCCGCTTACCCTAAAAAAAGCCACAGGAGGATAGATGATTCAAAGATTTTGGAAGGTGTAGGTGCATATTATGACCTAGGTAGAAGATTATCCAGGTGTAACAGGTTAAATATGATGGCTGATGATGAATGATTTTGTCACTGTGCATTGATGCTTTCAATTCCAAGACTTTAAATTAAATGCCTATTAATCTGGAAACATGTCACTGTGGAAACGACAAATTTCTATTACACCCCCTGTTATCTGTTTAATTGGAATAAGTACATGTATTATCTAATTCCATGCTGAGGATGTCTTTACTTTAGTTGATGAAATCTCATTAGACACATTTGCGATCGTTATATGCCAAGTGATGAAAACTGTTTTAATATTGAATTATGAAAGAAATGACATTTAAGACACTTGTTAGTATTCTAGCGGAAAAAAAAAAAATCTTCTGTTCACTTAAATAAGTACACAAACTCCTGCAGGGTGTTATTTGTGCATCAGTGCATATGAATTAGCATCAGCTTTGTCAGACTTACTGTTTGGATACAGAAGCTGGTAATTACTTTATACCTGTGTTTGCAACACAAATAAACAGAAAACAAAAAGCAAAATCCACCACCACTGTACCTCTGCCATACCATCGCCTTTACTCTTACAAAAAAAGGGTTGCAGTTATAAAGCAGGAACCAAGACCACCCTGAGAACCTCTACTTTAATTTGATGTATTTGATTTGTTCTAATTGTTTCTCTGGCTGTCCAAAGTTTTCCCCTTTTCTTGTTCTGCTGCCTCAAAATAAACAAATTATATAAATGAAGTTGTATTTGTTGACTGTCTTTTACTGTCAGTATGAAAATCATTTAAAGGTAATTTGTCATTTGTGCAGTTAAATACTGTTCCTGACATATCCCTATAAAAAACGTCATTGACTTCAAAATTTAAGAGAACCAAACGGAAGTTAATATCTAAAACCAAATAATTGTGCTCTAAGAGTACATGCCTGCTATCATTGAGGGATTTGCTGAGGGGCAAGAAAGAGGCCTGTTTTATGTTTTACTGCACTATAATGCTGTACACACAGTCAAATCAATGTCTAATCCATGCAATTCTCGCGAGATTTATGGTTAGTTTTGCACTGAAATAACGGGAGGCGCGGTGCTGGGATCTCAATTGAGAGATAAATTAATATTTAGGATTGACGTTCAGAATGTGATCCATCCAGCGAGCCAAAGTCCGTCTGTTTTCGGTGTGTGACAGATCAGACAGCCTGTTGCTCCAGTGTGTAAAAATACGGTTACTTTGTGGAAAAGTTCAGAGCTCTTCACCCGCAGAACAAATCGACGGGACGTCCCTTCCGTGTATGAGCGTACGTAGACGAGGTCTCTGAGTTTCCTCACCGTGGAGACATATGACCGGAGTCTCGCAGGGTAGGCGTTTTCTTGCCTAGAAAGAGTTGTTTTATTTGCTCTCGGTGCAGCCACCGCTTTTACTGTACCGACGCGAGTTCAAGTGTTTCCCTCGAGCTTGTCTGCTTCACAAGAAACTATTTAATTATGAATGAACGGGATCCTTTTGATAATGCGGACCCTTGTGCGTGCCCGAGTAGTGCGGAGCTTAGCAAGGCAGTGTCGGTGTCCTTGGGTTTGGATACGATCTCCTCTCCGCTCACCAACACGAACCAGTGCTCCAGCAGCGTCTTTGCAGACTTCGAGCCCGCTGTGGAGAATAGTTCCCGAGGAGTGCTGGAGTTAGGGGCGGCTCGAAACATGAACCCAGAATGCAACAGGCTTCTTCTGGATGACACTAACATGGGAGGAGGTGAAGAAGGAGACGGCGTACAGCAGGTGAGCTGCATGGAGCTGCTGAGGTCGGGCGAAATGGACAGCGCGCGAACCGTGGCGCACGGCCCCGTGATTTCCAGATACGTCTGCAAGGAATCAAACTTGTTTTTGAGCCCGGTGCTGAATGTGCAACCCGAGTCCTCTCAGGTGGAGGCTCCTTTACCCTTGGAGCCATACTCCTCATATCCTGCCAATCCAGAGCACTACGGAGAGAGCCCGAGAATGTGGTGCGCATATAACGGACGATCCGAGCCAGAGAGAAGCGCACCCGACGGACATAATTCACTGTGTAAATATTGTAACGGTGGGCAAGCCTCTTTTGGATCCAGGCAGGAATGCCACTGTGTTTGGTACAATAAGAGTGAGCAGGGTGGTAGAGGTGGCACGCGAGCTGCTGTGGCACAGGGATACGGTCAAGTGGAAAGTTACCGAAGTGCCATCCCTCAAGGACATGCCAACTTTACCACCATCAAGACAGAGCCATCGGTTTGGGTGAATTGCACAGATCGCAGTTTCAGGTAAACACCTGCCCGTCAAGATTTGTTCTTACTTGCTCATCTTTGGCAACAGGTCAGGGAAAATTTTGTAAAGAGAGACGCACATTCTTTTCTTCCTCCCCCTCTTTTTTTTTTTTTCCCATCTCATATTGGTTTTATTCAAAAACAAAAGGACAACTGCAGCGTGTCCAGTGGCCATGCCTCAGTGCTTTATCAAATTACTAACACTTGAGTATCAGCTTTACTGTCCAAGTATGTGTACACATTCGAGGAAATTGATTCCAGTAGACTTTGCTTCCAATGTACAAACATCAAACAAAAAATATTACACAAATATGTACAGGCTTACATTAGACCTCTAAAAACATCAACAAAGTGCCACACAGTGTTATTAGTTTGATGCTTTGTTGCTGCTTCATTTCCTTTTTTTGTAAAGAATACATCACACATAAATCAAATGTTATGCACTTTACCGTTCTCTTAATTTCCATATTCTGTGTTAATGTATCATGACACCATTAACAGTTGTTGGAGATGCATGGTGGTGCTCCCCTATGGCCTTGGCCACGTCCTTTTTTTTTTTTTTTCTACATGCAGCCAGGCTGAATCAAAGTTCACCTTATCCTAACTTTCCAGCACTGTCCTTATTTGTGCTGTGACTAGCTCCACAAATATTAGTATCACTTTAGACCAGAGATACAGCACCTGTTGCTCTGTTCTTAGAATCAAAGGAAACAGCCTGCTTTCATTTTCTGATTTAAATGAAAAAAATCTTCAAAATGAAGTCTACACACCTGTAAGCACAGATTTCCATCAAAGTTCATTTGTTGTTAATTAAGTCAAAGAATTTTTAAGATCTCCAGTCAGATGAAAGAAATCTATCTCAAAAGACACAACTACTGACCAAGATCTGATATTATTTTGTGTGGTAGTCTATGATTAAACTGTTTGCAGATATGTGCAATGTGTAAATTCCTAAAAACAGCTTATTGTGTGTATTTTCTCTGTGTATTTGTTTGTGCACGTGTACTTGTGTGTGCAGGCATGAGGATTTGTTTCCGGGTGTGTATCTGTCAGACAGGAGAGTGTGTCAGGTGTGCGGGGATGATGCCTCGGGTTGTCACTATGGAGCAGTCACCTGTGGCAGCTGCAAAGTGTTCTTCAAGAGGGCTGCTGCAGGTAGGTGTCACATACACACACACACACACACACACATACACTCTCACATGGGTGCATACACACAATTTCTCATCCGCTCATTTAATTTCTTACACCCACACGCTGGCTCATGCAAACAGGGCACACTGACCTGACTACATGAGGGTGAGTTATTTGTTATCAGCAAACGCCCACATGGCGTTGCTATGAGAGGAAGCCTAGGCATTGTTGAACTTGCTCGCTCATCCCTCGAGACTTTTGTGTACCACCAGGTAAGCAGAACCACCTGTGTGCCAGCCGGAACGACTGCACCATCGACAAGCTGCGTCGGAAAAACTGTGCCTCGTGTCGCTTAAAGAGATGCTTCATGTCGGGGATGAGCCTGAAAGGTGAGGGAATAAAGATGGGAGCAGAACCAGAGACAGAAAAAGGAAAGACTGTGTGGAGTGTTTTTGGAAAATGGGGTCAGGGTGGTCAGATACCACACATGCATTGGATCAGAGTTTACCATTAAGATGTTCCAGCTTAAATACAGTGTGACAAATGCGTTTTAGTAGAGGCCAAAAGAGCATCAAAGAAGAGCTCCATTTATGAAGTTTTATCTCCGTTTTTCTCTGTTGTGTAATGATCAGACATAACAACCTGTAACGCAACCTTCTTATCTCCCTTTTACCCTTTTGTCTGTCGTGTGCTTGTCTGTATTGTCTGCTGTGGTTTCTAGGTCGCAGGCTAAAGGGAGCTGGACAGAGCAGGAATGGAGAGGAGGGGCAAGCTCAGGCTTCTTGGGGGCCTGGAGGAGAACGGGCCGGAAGACCTGATGTCATCTCGGAGTCTGGAAATGCAGCTGCCAGGGCTCAGTGTGAGCATTACCATCACAAAAGTTTTAGTATCTGGTTTGTCTTAAAAGTTGTGATTGTGTTTTCCTTTAATGCTTTTTTTTATGTGACTGCATATCCTCCACAGCATCCCAGGCTTTAGTTCTCAGCATCCCTCCACCTTTGCGCTCCTGCCTCTCTCTTCTCAGCGTCTTGCAGGCCATTGAGCCGGCTGTGGTTAATGCTGGACACGACCATGCCCTGCCGGACAGTGCTGCGTCCCTGCTCACCAGTCTCAATGAGCTGGGGGAGCGACAGCTGGTGACTGTGGTGCGCTGGGCCAAGGCAATACCAGGTAAACCAGCCTGGAACCAGGTGACACGCTGTAAACGGATCCAATCTGCATGTAGGTGATTCTACCAGATCATGTTTCCCTGAAATCTATAAATAGTGTTGAAAAGATCAACGCTAAGTGAAACGCTATCAGACAGAGAGCGAATGACAATACAAGAGGCAAAATACGCACAAAAAGTGTCTTACACTGCTCTAAAGTCCAGAGTTATTTAGATAAACGATAAAGCTATAAAAGTAAATAATATCTGCTTGCATTTGGCAAAAGTTCAAGATCTTGTTCACGATATAAAAGTCCTGGCCAGACATTCGTGCCAGTTACACTTCCTCTCTGGAGGAGACAATCCTTTTGACAGGTCTGTTTAAATACTAGCCACTAGAGGGAGGTATGTTCTTACTTAAGTCAAACAGGCAGACTGAAAATGGCCATTGCTGAGTCCAGACTGTGATATCTGTGTTGTTATCACTTATAGTCATCCTTTTCTTAATCCGATTGGCCTTTTTGAGCGTTTGTTATTGTGTCTAATGTGTTTTATCAGTGAATTTGTGCTTGATTAAGTACATGTTTTGATTACAGGTTTCCGTGACCTACATGTTGATGACCAGATGTCTCTGATTCAGTTGTCTTGGATGGGGGTAATGGTGTTTGCTTTAGGCTGGAGGTCCTACACTCTTACTAACAGCTCCATGCTTTACTTCGCTCCAGACCTGGTCTTCAATGAGTAAGTCATACAATTACTCCCTTAGGGCTTTTATTACCAATTCATCTATCATTTTACTATTTAACTGATATTAGTGCTTTCATTAATACGCATCAAAATGGTGCAAAAAGCTCATCCTATAATCCAAAAGTCATGTATTCATATTGCTTCATTTCTTCAACCGAACCGAGTTTTAATTACCAATCAAAATGACAAAGAAATGCAACAAATGATCACATCTCTGCTGCTTGAAAAATGACTAAATCAATTACCAAAGTCAGAATAGCTGGCGATTAATGGCTGCCGAATCATTTTTGAAAAACTCACTTTTGTAGAGAAGTTTAAGAGATCGGGTCAAACAAAGTTGAAATAAGTTTGTCGTGTCTGGTACAGTCTGTTCATCAAACAAAGGAAGTTCGTCTGGGTCTAAACATCTGCAATAATCCGTGTGACAATGGGTTTGTTGAAATATCATGAGATTTCACCTGTCAATGTGTTTTGGGAAAAAAGGCAAAAGCTTCAGAGGAAAACTTTTCATATCACACAATGCATGTCGCCTGCTTTTAGGCGAGACAATAAACAAGTCTCTTCTGTTCTTAACGTTTCCTTTACATCTCATATACATGGCCGCAGAGGGATCAACTCAGATGATTTATTCTGTTTCATCTCTACCAAACCCTTCATCCAAACTGCTTCAACATTGACTTGTTTCCCTTTACTTTCACACGTTTGGATTCACAGCACAACCTCCTTCAGTCTCAATCAAACTGTTTCTGACGCTTCAAGCTTGTGTCTTTTGTTTTCACTTTGTACTTTTAAAAACTTAACACTAACTTTGAAAAGTAAATCGCCGTACATGAAAAACATAAACACCAATTCCACCGCTTCTTATCAGTAAATTGTTTTTCGGTGTTGAGGGCGGGTGTTGCTCAGAATGCTTAAACCAGCCACAGGCCCTCAGAGTAGCTTTCGCTTCGTGTTTCATGCAGCATTAGCAAAACTCTCATTCCTTCTGCATTAGACCTCTGTCACTCTGTTGGGCTGGCTCTGACCTGCATGGTAATAGAGACGCATGCCCTTGTTACTGACCCTCATTTTTCTCTGCCTCTCTGTCGTTCTCTTTTCCCATTATCCATCTTATTCATTTTTGTCACCTCAACTGCTTTTTCCTCTTCCCCTTCGCTCTCACTTCTGCCACAATTAATTGTCTCCCCTTTTTCTATGTATTTCTTGTCCTGACCTTCTCTTAGCTCTCTGTCTCTCCCTTTGTCACACCTTGTGCTCCTTCTTCTGTTTCCCCCCTCCTTACAGCCAGAGGATGCAAGTGTCCAGTATGTATGAACACTGTGTGCGGATGAAGCTGCTCTCCCAGAGGTTCTGCATGCTGAAGGTCACCCAGGAGGAGTTCCTCTGCATGAAGGCGCTGGTCCTCTTCAGTATCAGTGAGTCAGCTGGGACCGTGTCTGAAATATACGGCTGAATGAAGTAAAATATGAATACAGTAGAGTGCGACCATACTTCAGAGAATTGACGGGATGGATAAAGCCCGTGAGAGTTATTGTTGTGTTCTGGCTTTGTGGTCACAGTGCCAGTGGAGGGCCTGAAGAGCCAGCGTTGTTTTGATGAACTGCGGACCTCCTACATCAAGGAGCTGGACCGTTTGGCCAGCCACCGCGGAGAGACCACCCGTACACAGAGACTGTTTCAGCTCACACAGCTGCTGGATTACCTCCAGTCGGTAATAGACACCACTCTGCCTCACATATAAAAACACGGCATTTATTAAAGAAACGTTTAAGTGTCACAGAGCTGCTAGAGTGCAGAATATTTCAGATCACATTTTCCTCTTAGAGAAAACAAACACTAAAAGACTTACTAACAGAATAGTTGGTTTTTCTAAATGAAGGATATGGTTTATAGATTTACAAATCAAAGCAATAGACTCCGTCAGTTGGGTTGCACATGGGCCATTTTTTAAACCAATAACTGTTTTTTCATTTTGATCCCGGGCCAGTAACTCTGACTCCAATTTTAGATCCCTTATACAAGTTGCATGATTCAACAGGAAATAGGAAAGGTGCCCTCTTGTGGCGGCAGCACAACATGAAAAATAATGAAAAAGCTTTATGTGACGTTTTATACAAACTGTCAGTGATGCAGAGCGCTCCAATCCAGTCACAGCCAAAATTAAGAGTTGCAGACTGCACGTCCAGCCAAATTTGAAAGAAACTTGGCAAAAGAAAGCAATCATTAGACGCGTTACTCAGCGACATGAGACAAGGGAATACTCCTGTCTGCAGATTTTATACTTTTTCCATCCATAGGCATTCATTATTACATCTTACAGTGGAGTTTTGTCGTCTTCTCTTTCCTCCTGCTTCCTTGAAAATAGAGGAATTGGTTTCTAACATGTTTTTCATTCCAAGAGTTATTGTGAGAAAATAAAAGCTAGAAAAGGAAGAAGCTTGGTTCTGAAATATAAATAATTTTCACATGTTTGTTTTATTGGCACACATGTTAGCTACGGATGGTTGTCTGAGCACACGTGAGCCCTTCTTTCAAAACTTCAGGTCAAGTGGCTGTGAGGCCTAAAGTCAGGCCTGCAGCAGATAAGCTGTTACTGTTTTATAATGATGGTAAATCATTGAATTGTATTAAAAAGTTTGTAGAGGGATCTCTAGTTTGATCAAATGTTTGTTTTTAGCCGGGGTTTGGACCCTTATATAAAAAGCTCTCACCCAAAGTAAACTGTGAAGCAGAAAAATGATGACCTCTAACAACCTTCACTATGTCATGTGTTTATGTGTTTATCTACACTACTTTTAAATGTAGATATAGTTTCACTAATTTGAGTACAGATATTTTGTAATTTTTTAAAATACAATGTTTTCCCTATTTTTAAATTTCAAGAGCTCACAAACTTTAGAAACACAACCACAGCTAAAAAATAAAAGATAACAGTATATTTATGATAACAAATTTCAGCCTTACAGTTAATTTTAATGTCATCTGTGTATCCAGTTTGACTTTTTTTCCAACAATCCATGCTTTTTGTTTTCAAGACTAATTTTACAGACACGTAGCAAGCAAAAGTTGGGAAAAAAAAAAGCTCCCTTTCTCACCGTTCAACCACAGCAGCACGTGTTGTTCTGTGAATGATCCAACAGAGATGAAGTTCAGATCTGTGATTATTGTCTAGTAAGCTGAGGTAACCTTTGTTATAATTTTGGGCTTTATAAACTGGAAAAAAAGACTTTTGGTTTGGAGTATTTATTAAAGTTTCCAGGACATGGGCTGTAGTTCAACATTTATCACACGGCTCTTTGTGAATCCAATCCTTTTTTCTTTTCTTTTCTTTTCTTTTCTTTTCTTTTCTTTTCTTTTCTTTTCTTTTCTTTTCTTTTTTAATTAATGTAGACTGAGGTCTGTGCCACCACCAGGGGGTGTAAGTCAGCTGCTTTTGTTCCTAACACAGTTGGCGCTTGAATACTTATTGATTGAAAAAGCGATTTGGATACACAGGAACAGGAACATGCTCCTGACTGTGATTGGGATGTTTTTGGACGAGTTGAAAACTTTTTCTTCCAAAAGAGAGCAACACAACAGCAGATCCCCCCTCAGGTCCTTTACTGTGGATTTAACCTTAAAGGCTCAGCTTTGTCTGTGTCCCACTCACATCTCAGATCTTCTAATGCCTCATAAGCTAGAGGGCAGCTTGGGATTGTCAGGCAGGGCCTTTAAGGCAGAAAACCTGAGTTGATCAAGACTTTGCAGTTGAGTCCCCTTCGGCTTTACTCTGTCTGGGGAGCTTAGAGCGCCACAATGGGTGTCATCATTTTAAATCACCCCTTAAAGCTTGTGTCAAGAGACAGGCTTCAATGTCATTTGTTATTTCCTCTTTTATCTGCAGGCTTTGTTCTTTTTTCAGTGCGGTACACATTAAGGCGTGTCATCTTTTTTTTACATGAAACCTCTGCCTGACCTCCTCTTCTCTCCTCTCTTTCATTCTCAGATCGTGAGGAAGTTACACCAGTTCACCTATGATCTGTTCACCCAGGCTCAGTCCCTGCAGACGCGTGTCAACTTTCCAGAAATGATCTCAGAGATTGTGAGCGTTCACGTGCCCAAGATCCTTTCTGGCATGGTCAGGCCCATCCTTTTCCACAACACAGCCTGAAGAGGAGTCGCTGTCATTGTCCTTTATGTTTCTAAAGCTCCGGCACCCAATCCTACGGCCATTTCCTGTTAAGCTGGAAAGGCTTTATGCTATTACGAGGAGGATGAAGCTAAAGCCCCTTTTTTACCTACAGGGTAACGTATGAGTGGAAACGATCAGAGGGGCGCGCAGCACATTCTTCCAGTCTCTTGTAATCTAATTGCATCTGATGTGTTCTTCTTAATACCTGTAATCCGTATCATGCACATTGACTGCTTCTGGAGCTGATTATAAACACTTTTGAGCATGCATTCCTCCACATGAGCCATTAAACACCGACCACCTCTTCATTTTGATAACTGACAACATGACAAAGCAGAATCGTAATGAGAAAAACACGTGTGCAAAGTTCATCATAGCTTGTCTGTGTCTGTGTTTGACATTTGGACTACTTCTTTCCACAATGGACGTAATTGTGTGAACCTGAGATGAACAGAGTTGTTGAGTGACAGTTAATATGCGGTAATGGCATGCATGCTAAGAAGCGGTCTCACCGGAGGGTGACTCAACCAATTTGTGGAAGCTGTTATCGTCCATTAAAAATATTAAGTAGTGGTATATAAAAAACATTTCTAAGTGCAAATGGATGGAAATGCAAATCGAAGATGTATATTAATGAATATTGTGACGTCAAAAGAGCACATGAAAAACAGAAAAGAAAATATTTGCATGTAAAAAAGAAAAAAAAGATAAAATCTTGGGTGACTTTTTTGTACAGTTTGCTTGTTTTTTTAGTGTCAAACTTTATTCGAGAGTCATTTTCCTGAGCTGACATTTCATACTCTGTAACTTTTCTACTGTTTCTTAAAGTGTCTTTTGCCAGTGCTTTGGTGTTTATCATCATGTATCTCAGTGTTGCTCTCTGACATTTTTGCTAAAAGTCATGCCAAGTTCTGCTAATTTGTTACAACATTGTCGGCTTAACGTGTAATTAAAGTGGAGCATGTGTGTATTTCTTTGTTGATCATGTGGGCAGAGAGATGAAAGAAATATAACACTGTCTCATTACGGCACAAATCTGGGAGTGGTGGTCTCATGTGAGAGCATGCAAATGAAAAGACAGTAATATTGCTGTTTTGTTTTTGTTTTTTTCTTATCTGGCAGAATCAGTTTCAGTCTGCAGTGCAGTCGTGTGGACAGACAGGCTTTAGAAAACACCAGACAGACAAGTCTTTTCTACCACTGCGTTACCCACCCTCAGGATTATCTCAGTCTCCACCCAGCCAGGTAATAGATCTCAGCGGGAGAGCAGAACATATCACACAGTCAAAGCAGGAGGCCTGGCTGATTTATTTCCTCTATTTCTAACAGCCGTGTCTGCTGATCTGACATGAGAAGTCGCCGCCTGTGTTTTAACACCACCTAGTGGCAGCTGTTGGATCTGCAGCAGTAAACTGAAACTTAGCTATAGTGTTGTTAGTAGGACAACATCTGCTGGATCCATTGACATTTGCTTGGTAATGTAATTGGACACGGATTTAGTCAGTGTTTGAAAGAGGTTGCCATTAAATTGTCAGAGTCACGAATGGGGAAGTCAGCATTTAGGGAGATTGGTGAATACATAATTAAATGTAATTTAATCAGAAGTTGAAATGTTAAAAATTAAATAGAAGTTTGAGGCTAAAGCTTTAACTGGTATGAAAACTATTTCTAAACAAAAGTGAAGTCTGCTTTTTTTTTTTCCAAGGGTCGTTGTAGAAAGCAAATTCAGTCCAACTGTTTTGTTCAACAATATTTACTTATGTCTGAAGGGCAAAAAAAGCAACCTGTCTTTCAGAGCTGGTTTATTTTTACTTTCTGCATTTAAAGGGCCTGAACTGTAAAAAGCAGCCTGTCTGGGTAACCTCTACCGCCATTTTAAGGCCCATTTCCTGAGCGACCTCTTTCAACAAGTATTTGTCCCTCTCATAAATGAATTGGAGCTGAACGAAGTTGGGATTGAAAGACACGCTGAAATATCACTTATTTCTAAAAATATTTCCTGCTACACATGCCCCTGTGGCTTCCCGTAAAAGGAATGGCGTCTTGTAGGTTTGCAATGATCAAAAATGTATGTGTTGTTGTCGGCATTTGAACTTAGTTTGGATTCCATTTGATTTCTGTGTTTCTGCAAGTCTGCGCTGCATCAATATTACATGCCTACTCTAGCAGAAGAGGGATTTTTCCTGTTGGGTAAAGAGAACCACAGAAAGCACAAACACACTGGCCGCAAACAACAAAAGTTTTAAATATTTCCTCATGTGGAGATTGGGGGGGTTAGGGGTTACAAAGGGGGGGAAAGAGTTTCAACACAACAGTTCACTTGAAATGTGAAAAGCTGACATGAAAGAAGAGAAGTGGAGACAGTTAAAAGTTTACGCTTTAGTAACCAAAAACCCACAATTCCAATCTGGCACAGCACAATCTCACACAGCGCTATACTTCTCGCAGGAGCTTCCATAAAACTCCGTCGATAATGTCTTTAACACCAGGATACTGCAACTCAGGGCTACAGTGACCGGGAAACAATTAGATCGTAGAGGTGGTAAGATGACACCCCTGAATGGGTGTTTTGGTGGCCTATCTAATGGAGGGCGATTCCTACCCAAGCACCAGTCCATTAACAACCAATTAACTTCCTATTAATATTTTACCAGACAGGGCCTCTCATCCTGACGTGTTTTAAGGAGCTTTTCCCAGGAGTGTTTGAACATGAGCAGCTTTTAGCACAGCATAAAGAGGCCTGTGTAATGGGCTGAAGGAGGAGGAGTGGCAACCTGATATCACTGAGAGTAGAGGAGGGGAGAGAGGAGAGGAGACAGACTTCTGCAGCTGGTCTGCCCCGCGCTGAGCCAAGCCTAAGCCAGAGTCCAAACACACACTGTGACTGCAGCACAAGGAAATCCACGGCTTTATAGCTGCGACACAAGATCAGACATGAGTAACGACCTTGTGCCATGCACGGAGTGTAATTGTGTTTTGATAACTGAGGATGCTTGAAATTGCAGCTGGGCAGCAGTTTTTCCTCTGGGTGTTTGGGTCCTCCTCCTCGCCCTCCTGAAGCTCATCATGAAATAAGTCTGGAGGAAGAGAAGCAAACTCGTTTCTGAACTAGTTTTGTGCTGCGTAAGGCTGGTTTGGGTGCATGCTTAAAACTAGTTCAGGGAAACTCCCCGCCTTGAGACAAAAAGGAAGAAATAGAGAGAGAGAGAGAGTGAGGGAGGCAGAAATAGAGAGGAAGGGAGAGAGCGAGAGGGGCCATTATGACTATAGCCTCAGGCTACTCCCAACGGATAAGGCATTTGTCTTCACTTGAAAGTATGATTTATTTTTCCTCCAGTCAGAAGGGTTATGTTTGTCGCCATGCACTGGAAGGACTTTTGGAAATAGCTGCAGAAGCACAAATGTGAAAAAAAGGAACGTCCACCAGGACTTCTAATGCGGGCTTCCCAAAGACTTCCCGTCTACAGTTACTTTGTTTGCGATCACTTTCAGTCTTCATTAACTTTGGTTAATCATACTGAACCTTGTGTCTAATTTATCAACAGGAGTGTGTGTGTGTGTGTAGGTGTATGTGTGTGTGCACATGTTTGTGCGTCAGTGTGTTGATGATTAAGAGAAAGAGGGCAATGAAGGGAGGGGGGGAAGATGTGGTTGTATCAGGTTCCCTCCACTGGGTGTAGATGTGGTCTTAGATTTCTCTCTGGGCTGCTGATTAACCGTTTATGTGTGCATGTGTGTGTGTAAGTGTGTGTGTGTGTGTGTGTGAGCTGGGAGTGCACTGAGGAGGAGAGGAACTTCAGCTTTAATTTCCCCCAGCTCCAGATATTACACCCCCGCGCTCTCTGTTTTTATTGGAACAGAGACCAAAAAACACCAAGTGTTTATGATGCATTAAAACACGATGGGGAACTCGAGTGTGGAATTGTAAATCTATACATTTGGCTCTGTCTCTCAGACGCAGAATTAATTCTTTTATAGAGGATTTGGTGTGTTTTATGAAGACTGATGATTGTAACGCGCCATGAAATCATGTTTATCATCTCGATATGGAGGACGAGGGGCTGGAGAGAGAGATTTCTCCGTCTAGGGGGAAAGAGAGGGAAATGGAGGCAGGACTTAAGACAAAAAAAAATGCAGAGGGGCACATGGGAGGAGGAGGAGGAGTCACTGAGTTTTTTGGGTTGAAGCACAGAAGGAAGGAATTATTCTGCATTACCCTAATGACCATTTGAACAAACGGATGGGTGAGGAGACCACATTACATTCTATTAACTCGGCTTTTGTTGTCAGTGAACTGTTAATGATGTACAAAGGGAGCTGTGCAGCGCCCTCCTGGACAATGCATGCTCTGTGCTTCTAATTATTCTCAGGAAAGTGCTGACAGCCCTTATACCTGGAGACACATTAGCAGCCTCTAATTAGAGTAAATATTCTTCTGGTATAATACTGGTATAGCTTCACCAATCCAACGGCGATTAACTCCTGGCTCTTTTTTTTCTGCAGGGCTGCTTATGCATTCCCAGCCTTTCTCTGCCTCTCATTCTCCTTCTGTTTTTTTTTTGTCTTGATCAGTGCCTTCGCCTCTTCCTCGCTCCTTTCTTCTCTGCACTCAATTTGCTTTCTCTCCTTCCTCCCTTCTCTCCTTTTTTTTTTTTTTGCAGCAATGGAGCACCACTAGCTGTGACAGAATCACAGCGGCTGCCTAGGCTCCAGCCATCTCCCAAGTTCATTATATCAGTACACAGTGTCCATGCCCTCCGCCCCTCGTAGCTCCTGTGTCCCAGCCAAACACAATGTGACAGCGCCGCCACAGCCCTCATTTACAGCCATCACAGGACAGATTTCCCCTTCCAAGGCTCCCCCGTCTGCAGCCTGATAGATGGCACCCCTGCTTTTTCTTGCGCGTGCATGCGAATGTGGTGTTACACTGTGCGTCCGTGCAAATATGTGTTCATTCTTGCCCTCCATTCGTCTACGTCTGCATGTGTGGAGCCGGGGCCTGAGCTGCTGTTTCCTCTGTCAGTACTGATCCCTAAAACAATGTATTATGATATTACTGCGCTTTGTTTACACTCGCTCACACACTGTTTTTATATTTAATGCACTCTGCATGCATTGTTGAGATTTTCCGCCTATCCTCCCGGAGTGCTGCTCAGTTTTAAGTGCATAGTTTGTGTAAGTCCCTCCATTTCTGTGGCGCACTTATTGGAGCACCCTTGGGGCGGGCACATCTAAAGTTTGGGAAATGCTGCAGCACACACTTTCAGATATCTTGTCTCTCCTCTTCTCTTAATCGTATACTTGTAGCCTTAGGCGTAGCTTCTGTGTCATACTGAGAAGGTCAAAACTGATACACACACACACACACACACACACACATGTGCACCAACTGCAGAAACTCATGGATTTCTAATATCTCTATCAATTCTCAGAGGGTCCGATTGTTTTACGGGAACTAGTGTCACAGGTCAAATGATTGAATTATTAATGGAAGTGCTGTGCAATAACAATCCTTGTCTATTGTGATTCCAACGTGATATTCACAGACCCTCTCAGCCTAACTTGATACTACCATGTTACAATCCAAATCCAATATTGCAGACTCTGCAGAAGAATGCCCCCCCCACTCCCCACTCTTCTATTGTTTCGTCAGTCAAAGAGCGTCTCCTGCTCCCACAGTGGAGAGTATAACCCAGTCTATAGAAGCTTATTGACTGCTATGCTATATTTCCAAGGACAAGGCGCTGCATTTTCATCAAAACTGTCACGCTGAAGTCATTCACAATCATGGGGTTCTTTTACTGTAAAAAACCCTGTGTGTGTTTTCATGCATGTGTGTGTCTATACCATACTGTGTGTGTGTGTGTGTGTGTGTGTGGGTAATCCCAGTCTCTTTACAAAACTCTAATCTTAATTCCTTTTTAGTGCACCAAATATGGATTTTCTTTCTGAGCTCAGCTGGAAAATCAACGAAGCACATCTAAAGCACATTCATGATTCACATTATGGAAATTAAAGCAGACAATCCCGCATTTACACATTTGCATATATAAAGAACCACACTCGGAGAGGTATAAGTATTTTAACCTTATTTAACGTGCAGGAGATTCAGTGGAGGCTAATATGCTGTTTTATGATGTTTAGAGAGGAGTTCACTGCAACCAGAGGCCGTCTTGGTTCCCTCAGGCCTTTTCTCACACAGTCTGTATGGAAATGCGTGTTATTGTAAAAAAACCCTGCTGATGGATTCTTGACCTTGGCTCAGGAGGATTTCTGGCTGTTTTGAGAGTGACCGTGGAGCAACATGGAGGAAGGAGACGTAAGGTCACCCCTTTAGCATTTATTATCGGCCAGCGCCAGAAAACACAACTCTTTTAGACATCCTAAACATAGCACACTGGACACATGGGCTGACAACTTCACTTAGGAGAAGCAAATCAAACAGGCTTGTTAATGCAGCTGCTGAAAACAGTCCCATTAGGAACAGTCACTCCTATTCGTTGTTTTTGTATCATTCATTCTTCCCTTTTCATCGTCTCTCCCTGTTGGGGAATGACTGGGGAAAGGAAGGGAAAATGAAAAAGAAATGAAACATGTTCTCTTAAACATTTAATGAAGACATTTCACTTCCACTTATGGTTGGGTCTGGATATCATAGTGAATAAAACAAGAAAAGGAGAAAAAGAGTCGTGAGAGGTTTCGTATTCCTGAATGAAGGCGCTGCCATGTCTACCTTCATCAAGCTTGTTTGCGTCATTATGCATTCTCATTACTGCTTAACAGAAGTTTCCCATCTGGAGTAGCAGAGTCCCTGTTTACAGTCCTCTCTTCCTCTCCTTCTTCTTCTTCCATTTCAGACCTCGTAGACGTTCTCAGAGGCCTAAATGAGCTTGAAGACAAAAAGAGCACAGTGTAGTCTCTTTTTTTCTCTGTCTAATTTGCTTTTTCCCTCATTATGTTCCCCTCTTTACGGGGGATAGAAAACAAAAGACGACATATGTAATTACCGCATGACTAAAGCGTAAACATGCCTCATAGGATGAGGCTACGCTTTAGGCAGGAGGTTAATTGTAACTTTCTCCTTCTCCTTCAGTGCCTGAGTTATACGATAGCTCAAAGTCAGATACATGAACATGCATATGTGCTAACATGCAAGCTCACACCCACACAGATGCCCCCATGCTGAGTGTGTGCACCCACTTTCGTTTCTCTTTCTGTCTTGAAAGAAAAAAAAATCCTTAATGTGAGTTATGGTTTGTTTGTTATGGTTTATTGCTTTATAGAGTGAGCTACGTGATGCTTTATCGCCGCCATTCTCGCAAGCACATGACAGCTATATTTTCTGCACTTTGTTCAGGTGTAAAAGAAGACACTGAAAGGGAGTACACTGATATCACTGGAGATTGTACAAGTCTATGTGCTTAAACTACTGTATAAAAGCTGCCAGCCACAGCCTTAAAGCCTCCGGCAGTCCAAACCACAACACTACAACCATGAATGGCATCCTGGCCTTGGTCTACACACACATCATTCCACACATTACTCTCCTTAGCTCTCCTTTTGATGTGTCAGAGAGAGAACCAGCCACTGTTCCTCAGTTTTTATTGCTCACACAGCAATGTGTGTAGATATATACGTGTGTGAGAGAGGTGGGGGGGGAGCAGGGGGGTGTTTGCTCTTCAAAGGCAGCAAAGGGGGTGCACTACTTAAGACCTATTAAACCTGGAGCTCTGTTCATTGTAGCCGTGAGAGAGCGCTCTGCGTGCTGAGGCAGACAAAACGGCGAAAGCGTACCTTTGAACTGGAATCATGTGGGAGCTCACATTTTCACAAGTGCTGCAGAACTGAAAACAATGTTTTGGCGAGTCCCCTGATATGTGTTTCTTTTTTTTCTGCTAAGGGCCAGCAAACAGAGGATCTGCTTGGGCTTTGCCCTGACGGTGTGATATTACAAGCCCACAGTACATAATCCAACATACTGTGAGTTATTAAAATATGACCGTAGCAGCTCCCCGGGGCTATATATCTCACACATACAGTGTCTCTCTCTCACGCACACACACTCTGTTGCAAATTCCTGTGGCCCACATACATGCACACTGTCCATACCTTTCTCTCTCTCTGTGTTCTCCTCTTATGCAGACAGCCAGACATGAGCACACACTTATTTAAAGCTACACACCAGCTCATATCCCACAGCAGAAGGGGAAACTTCACCCACAAATCAATACTTAAATGGAGTTTCACTCCTTCATCACATACTTCACACTGCAGTCGGTTGCCTTGCAAATGTGGGGGAGGAAAATGTGTCTGAGGAAATATAGGACCGGTCTACATGTTACTCTAGATCAGTGAGTTACAGGAGATAAACATAGCCGAGTTCTACCAGGAAGCAGGAAGGAAGTGAGACGCTCTAAATCTGATCAATGCCACAGACTTTGGTTTATGTGCAGGGGATCTAAAAACAGACGAATTATCATAACCTTATTATAAGCTGCAGGGTGGTTTGTGCAGAGCAGAGAATGCGTAGATTTATTTTCAAAACTCATTCCAAATAAAAAGAAGCAAGCTGAGCGCAAGTGCTGTGTTAATGATAGATATGCAAGTATTGGATTCATTTATAGTGTGGGAGTGGAACACTATTGTTAGATCATAATTCAAACAACCTGCTTCTTTCAACTATGCTAGAAGACACTCCCCAGAGGACACCACTGCAGTCATCTGCAGTGAATGTGTGTCTGCACACACGCACGTCCTATATCCTCAAACACACACACATGCATGTTCTGTAGATTCACACATTTTTGGTTTTCATGTGGTCCCCGGGGCGCAGAGCAGGACAGGAGATTTATGTTCTCTGTCGTCCAGACATGGTTCTCCCGGCTAGCTCGCCGCTCATTAGGGCTCCTACACGGTCATACGTGTTACTCTAACAAGCTGTATAGAGCCCCCCACTAAAACCTGATGGATTCGCGGGGTGGAGTGGGGTCCCTCCCTGCAACAACCCGAAGGAAACGTCACAATGCATGAAGCATTGCAGAAACAACTTATCTCCATCTAGGCAGGAAGAAGTCTATAGAGTCGCTCAGCCATCAATCATGGTTAGCCGAGTTTATTAGGCCTCAGTTTAATGATGCTTTCAAAGACATGGAGATGCACTGGAATTAAAATGTTTGTTTTGCGCCTTGTTTGTGTAAAACAGAGGCGGGGAGGGCTGTAATCAGTGCTGCATTTGCAACTGAAGCGGGCGAGCTTGTTTGCTAATCTCTATAGTTACCTGATATGAAATGAGTGTCGTTCTCATTCTCTGTTGGTTACTGAGACTGGAGCAAATAGGGAAGACCAAATGAACAAACAGATGATTTGTTTGTGCTTCGCTCTGCGTACAGGGTTTTTCACTTTTGCTCCTAATCTGCTTGATAATGCATCCAGAGTCTATTTTGCATCTCATGTCTGACTGATCACGCTGTATTCACGTGGCTGTGTGTCTGTTTTCGTGTGTTGTTCACAGCACAGAGTCAGCAGACAGCTTCCTGTGAGATCTGTTACTTGTCATGGAAATCGACTTGATGGAAAAAAGGAGCTTTGCTTTGTTAGAGTACCATTTTCTTGTGAAAGCTCAGGCAATAAATGGTAATATCGCTGCCAATGAAGCTCATTTCATCTAAGTCTGCACCCTGGGATTTAATCAAAAATCCTGTAGCTGCTCACTTACGACTGATGTGATCGGCCTTTCCACTACAGAGGAATACATTATAATGATTCCTGTAATGAAGACATATTGCGCATTCTCAGAGCAGCTATTGAGGCTGTGACCAGAAAAATAACGGACCTGACACAGCTAATGATCTCAGGCTGCCCTTGTTTCATACTTTTTATGTCCAAGGTGACAAAGTGACACACAGGTGAGGCTAGGCAAATAAAGGGTAAAGGGAGGGAAGCGTTATTTACAACTGTGTGAGATGGAAGATAAGCTCACGTTTAGATAGATGCCCCTACATGCTCGCACTGCCAGTAATTCAAGCAAAGCTATCAAGAAGTGGCAAATAAAATGGCTGCAGTCAAATTTTACAGACCAGTAAAGTGTAACTTAATAAAGGCAGTGAAATGCATGCTGTATTGACTGCTCGTGCAACAACATAGTGTTTCCGAAATGATGGAGGATGCCATTAACAGCATCATTAATGAGCCAACTCAATGCCTCTGTAATCAAACGGTTCCATTCAGCAGTCTAACTTATTCTAACAAACAGTGGGAAGTGAAAACAGCGACGATAGCACAGGCACAGCCGGCAACACATTCCCCCCAAGCCTATCCTGATTAATCACGCTACAATTTTTGCACGCAAGGTCTTTCACCTCCGCAGCCTTGGCAACAGTGAGGAGTTTGATGGCTCTTGGAAAGTGCTGTTTTATCATCCCACCAAGCACAGGCTTTTTAAATATGGGACAGGTCGAGTCATTCAATCTAAAGCTGTTTGAGTTGGCGTGCTGCATAGGTTTTTAAAAGATATTTGGGTGATCTGGAGAGGGTTTCACTTTTCTAACACAACATCCAAAGTAAACCTTTTCATTTCCAATGATACAGAACCAGCGCAGCACAGACAGAGAGCGCTGCCATTGTAAATTAATCAGACTTGTGGAGGAAAAACAGGAAAAAGCATTCCTCAAATTAGACAAACCCCAGCCGCAGCTTGACGCGGGCAAACCCTGGCTGTGATATGGCCGACTTCCATGCTTCGTACAGAGCCAAGGCAAATTTAGGGCTGATAATGTTGGCCAGGTCTGCTACAGTTAACCTCCGAGTTATCAGTTCTCTGGCCAATCGTGCCTCAGATGCCTCTACTCTCACTCTGTCGATCACCGAGAGCATATGAGTGGCATCACATTATATTGTTCATTTAGAGGAATAACAACAAAGGCAAGCTGCGCCTTTGGGTTTTTATCCAGACACATTTCCACTGCTGAGTCGCTGTCAGGCTCATGCCTCTTCCTCTGATCTGGGAACAGAGTGAAGGGAGACTGTGGTGTAGTCAGTCCAGATCCAAGCTGCTCAGTCTGGGGGACACCAGGCCGGCCCAGGCTGCGGCGGCCTCTTCATGGAGACAGTGCTGGGTTTAATTATCCCCAGCTGTGCTTCATCTCCCTCCCCAGCTGGGCTCTGTGTCCCAATGTCCTCTGCAAGTACGCCACATTCACAGTAAAGTCAAGGTGAGACACACATGTGAGTGCGCACACACACTGAGTCTGCACAGACTGACATGCAGCCACACAAGGAGAGAAAGTGCAGACATAGATGAATACTGGCAATGGACACAGTAATGGGAGCACCTGTACGACATAGCAGTTTAAATTAATCACGTCGTAGAGGGAAAAAAAAATAGAAGCTGGTGTGACTGTCTACTGTCTGCTGCTAATGAAGTGTGTGTTTTTGGTGCTGCTGTATAGGATTTCATGGTATTGTACTGTGATTATATATTTATTTCTCCTGCTTCATGCATATATATTCAAGGGGGCACAATAATATGAAACCCCTTCCAGGATATTAACCATTCCACACCACTCAGGCCAATTATCAGGGCTAAATGGTGAATTTGTATTCTGCTTTTTATCAGGGAAGTTATTTTCTCTGGGAAACCGGAATGATTCTTGCTCTCTGTCTACACACAAGCCAGAATTACTATGAGGGGGTCAATAATCTCCCCTGAAACCAAAAATAAATACCAAATATAGACCAGACCCTCTTCATAGTAGATATTTTAACAGCCTGACCTCCAGTATATCACAAATACACACTGTGTCTTTACAAAAACATTACATTTTAATGCCTGCAAAATGGTGTAACTAAAGTATTTAATCATCACATCCTTTTTTCCAAATTTCCGCCAAGCTGATGTAGTAATTCATTGTTTTAAAGCGTTTTCATACATCACTGTTGACTCACACTGCACCTATAAACAATTTAAGCCGTTCAATAAAATATTTGTAAGCACCGCAATGACTGAATGAATGAAAATTTAATTTTCATGTCTGATCATTTACATAACCCATCCCTCAGGGGATTATTTAGACACATTAACCAACAATAAGCCAAACACTTAGTCATGTTAACTCCCCATCATCTAACAGCACAAAACACCAACCCCATTTAGACGTACATAACATAAACATCATCCAACACATTCATAAACATAAACCTTCCTCAATCACGCTCCAGGATATATCCCACGGTACTAGTGTTTACTAACACACAACAGCCCACTAAGCACGAGGCAGTATATGGATTATAAAAAACTACATCTGTATCCGTTTGTGGCACAGACTGTAAATTTCCTCCATGCAGTTCATAAACTGATCGCCTGCAGTTCTGTTATTTGATCCTCTTCTCCTCCCGTCACATACTTGGGACATTAAAAAAAGAAAATCATTATCACATGAATCTTTCAGCTCTGTTCATATCGATTAAAATTCAAATCAGGTACAGAAACTATTTTGGGTCCCAGATGTGTCTAGTATTATTGTAAAAGTGCAGTGTGTAGTATTCAGTGGCATTTAGCAGAACAGCCTCGGTGGAATTTATCATAAATATTCATATTTATAATGAAATAAGTGTCCAATCACATGAATATGAAAATTGTTTTGTTTTTGTTAACTCAAAATGAACCTCTTATAACTACAAAGGAGTGAGTCCCCTTCATGAGGAGGCCACAGTTTTGCTCTACCATATTCATACAGTAGCTCACAATAGACAAACTGCTCAAGAGTGTTTTTGTGTTTAGCGAGCACTGAACATAATGCACGGTTACGAGGACGAAGCAGAGGAGAGTGGTTGTTGTGTCCAAAAGAGTTTTTTGTGGTAAAAACTTGACCAATAAAGGATCATATTTATCCTCAATCACAAAAATGGCTATGTTGGTGAATAAATTACCTTGTTTTGGTCTAAAATAGAAATATACTAAGTATATGTATGAATTTAAAATTAACCAAAAACAACTCTTGTTAATTATTAAATAAATTTCGGAGTCTATTTATCATGTTTTTTTTTAACAAGTACCTATTTAAAGCTCCTGTAATGAGTTTTTAACTGGGTATGAATGAGGCTGAATTTCACAGTGGCAATTCTTTATAACTTACAAAATAAAATAATCGCATTATCCATCAATGACGATTGCTTGTATTGTAAATTTTTAGTGCTTGTTATCACTGTGATGAGTAGATGTCAGACCAAAGAGCCAAAACCCAACCAAAGAAAAAGTGTTGGTAACTCTTCAAATGAACGCTTCTCTTATAATTTATCATAAGTTCACTTATAAAACCTCATTAATGTATCTACAAAGCTTCATAACAATCCTAATGTGTTATCATCAGCTTTTATAACAGCTCATAGCAATGTTTATGAAGTGCTATAAGCTGTGAGCATATTGTGTATAAAGGTGTGGTTTATTATGCATTAAATGCTATATAAAAGAGTAATGGTGTTTTTTGAATTCTGGGTTAATGACACATTTTAACTCTGACAACTTTACAGGTTTTACAGGATCATAAAGAAATCACTCTGTGTATCAATAAACAACAAGTATATAAATCTTAATTCCATGTCTTATCAATGCTCAAAATACACCCAATCATGGCTTGGGGGAGAAAAAAATAAAAAAAAATAAAAATATTTCTTTTGTGTTGAAGTATTTTTTTCTGACTCCTTACTCACAACCACCAAAAAACTTGCTTATCAATTTTTATTAATGTTTTATTTTATTTTATTTTTTTTTAGGATCATATAATTGTTAATGACCTTATACAGGTCTGTCTCTTTACTTAAAGCACCCAAGTCATGAGTGAGTGAGTGTTAATAATATATTTTTAAAATTATGAATTCAAAAAATATGTGTATTTTTTTATAATACGTAGATTGAGTTCTTTGTGATCCATTATAACAGGAAAAGCTATGAGAGCTATGATGTGGCAGAATTCAAAAGACATGGTTTTTACTTTAGCATGAAGGTATAATACATTAGAAATCACACACTATGGTACTTCATAAACATTGCTATAAGCTGTTATGGATGCTTATTGTAACTCATAGGTGTTGTTACAAAGTCTAATAGATGCCTTTATAAGGCTTTATTACTGTGTTTATGATGTTTTATAAGAGGTGGGTTACCAGAGTGTTTATTAGTTTTGCTTTTCCAACGCCAATCTTCACAAATAGTGATACATATCAGTGTTGAAACAAATCAGGATGGCATTTATCATCAGGAACCATGAATTAAGCATGTGCACGGCAAGATCATCAAAGATGTAAGAGGTATCACTCTTACCTCATGGGGCATCAAAGTCAACACAAACAGAAAGTTCCTTACAGTAGCTTTAAATTTAGCTTTAACTTTTATAAGGAGGGTTGGTAAAATTCTCTTAAAGTGAGGTTTGACCTTTGACCCCTGATTTCCGATATCCCAGCTCCAGACCTGCCTATAAAACACAATAAAACATGTCATGCATGATGTCTAGCTATCAAATGGTTGTGTTATGGCCCGTATACACGCAAAGTGATGAATGCATGAGCCACACACACGCACGCTCTCAGCCTCCTAAAACAGATGTGTCTGCTGAGATACCGGAGCACCACTGCCACATGCTGCTTTCTGAACGAGACAAATGCTTATGAAAGCTGTCCTGGCGTGAAGCTTTTGCATGACCACTGCTCTGGCAGATTTGATTGAATCCCAGTCTGACTGGGTTTGACTTGGTCCATCTGTGCGACTGTCCTTGGCCTTGGTCTTGGGTCTGGAGTCGAGGGGGCTGCGGAGTTATCATACTGAGAGGCTGTTAGGGTCATTACAACCCTCTGCTTCGATATTTCCACTTTTCTGATGGGAGCCAAATGTTGTGCTGGAATCCCCGTGTCTGTCTGTCTTTGTTCCCGTCTCTCACCATCCTGTCCAGGGCCATGCCAGCACAGCTGTGAGCGGCAGCGTGTAATAAAAGTCTAATGCGAGCAGCTGCTGGGGGTTTAAACTGTAATGAGATGGTGTGTGAGATTACCACACTTCGCTAGTCGCTGAGAGAAAGCCTGGCACCCTGACAACATTGTGTCCTCCCCCCCTCAATGGTACAATTACACTTTAGATATGGCTAATAGAATATCCACACAACGCCTGTAAGCAAGATGCGTAATGAGCTTTAGCTTAGCCTCTTCGCTCTCTCCTCCTCTGTCTCTCCATCGCTCTCTCTCACATGCCCACAGCTGCACCGAGCGTCCACCCAGAGGAGTTGCAGTAAACTGCGAGGGGCTGATGTAGGAAACAGAGACAGAGCCTCTGAAATCAAAGGCACGCCTAGTCAGGAGATTCCCACAGAGGGGGACAGGCTTCTTCTGGAAACACAGTTTGCCTACATACATCACACAACAAATACTTCAAGCTTCAAGTCATGAATAGTTGAAAGCCCTGTGTCAACTTCATTAGTCATCATGGGGGGGTTAGTGGTACAGGATGTATGCGTACCCACATGGTGCCCATACCTTGAATAGCAGGGTTACAATGGAAAAGAGGATTGCTATAGAGTTGCTTTAGGCCTGCTGTGGAGCCTTTGTTATGCACTACTTTATTATGCAAAATCTTTTCTTTTTTCCCCCCTTTCTCATTGTCTTCCTTATTTTCAATTACCTCCTCTTTTTGTGCTT